TTATTATAAAAGTAATATAACTTAAGGCTTAGGCTATAAAGAAATAAAAGTAATAAAAGAGGTAATTATATAATAAAAGCCTACTAAAGGTATATAGTACCTAAGAAAGTATTATAGTTAAAAAAATAAAGAGATAATAAAAGTATTATAAGTAAATAAAATATCTTTATTATAAAGTAAGTAACCTTTAATAAGGCTAGTTAAGTAACAAAGGCTTATAACTTAGCTAAAAATAACTATAACCTTAAGAAAATAATAGTCTTAGCTTAGTTAGACTATAATAGCTATAAAGGTAAAGTTAAAGGTAATTAGCTAGCTAGAGAGATAGCTATTTACCTAGTAACTTACTAAGCCTAGAGGTATTCCTAGATACTTTTAAGATACTAGCTAGTAGTAAAGCCCTAGGGGCCTACTAGAGTACTACTTAAGGTCCTAAGGACAAGACCTTAAGGGGGGGGATTATGTTAGGTGCTAGAGGTAGAGGGCACTAGGGGACTACTAGCTATAGAGCTATAACTAAGAAAACTATTATCTAAGGGTTATATAAAAGTAGAGTTTATAGGAACAAGAGAATTAGGAGAAAGTAGATTAGAAAATAGTTATAATTAACCTCTAACTACGCTATTTATAGACTTCTTTACTTAGTACTATAACACCTCTAATAATTTAGCTAAATAATCCTAGTTTATGTATAGGTTTAGTCTTCTTAAACCTATATTAACAAAGGATCTAGTAAATACTTAAGGCTAATATATCTATATTATGCTCCCTTTGTAGCTTGCTAGCTATATTAGTATATGTCTTTTCTCTGCTATAATAATTACAGTAAACCTTTTGTATAATAAGGCTAGTAATAGACAGTGTTGCCTTCTTAGGCTAGCTAGCTTAAAGGGCATCTTTAATATATTTAGGAAGGAGAGAAAAGGTAGGAGCAGAGGGGTCAAAGCTATGCTTTTTTACGTGTGCGAGAATCTTATTAACTGTAACTTTAGGTATATTAAGAGCCTCTGCAGCCTCGTTAGCGGATTTGCCTCCAGCGCGGCTTCAAAGGGCAAGAATAGATGCCTATAAGTAGGGGTCAACGCAGGCCATAACAGCAGTAGTTATAATAGATAGTTATAATAGTTATTGTTGTTGTTGTTGTTGTTATTAGTAGATAGATAGTTGTAGGCAGGGGCCCTGGGGAAGAAGAAATAATCCTATTGCTCTGATTGGTTGGATATATATAAAGTGGGTCTAGGTGAGGGGGTGGGCCTTGGCATTATGGATCATTACTTTTGACACGCTCCTCCGTAATGGGGGAAGATTGCCGGTCAACAAAGACGGAAGCAGAGGGCGTTGGCGTGTCAGACCGGATAAATCTACAGGTACACGACTGCCATACCCGGAAAGCACGTAAATCTTGCAGAGAGCCCAGGTCAGCGGAGGACTCACAATCTGCGTATTTATTGCGGGGTGTGGTGTGCATCCCTGTTTCTTGGTAGGAGGATGACTTACAAACTCTCTCTGAATCGAGCCCTTCGTCTTTTATCCTATCCTAGTAGAGACTCAACAGTCGTCAATTCCTACCACCTTACTTCATGGCACAGTCGGCTGCGGCCAGTGCCGAGGCGTCTTGGTTGGCGTTGTCTACGCTCTGGAGATGCTTTTGCAGGACGTCAAAGATCTGCCTCTGTGAGGAGATGGTGCAGGGCTGAATATCTAGGATATCGTGATTTAGGCCCTTTCCTGGTGTCTGCTCTTGTAAACTCGACTAGATTAACTTAAGATGGATCCGACTCCTGTTACAGCGCCTACTGGACCGCCGTCCACAACGGCACCGAACCGAACACCGACAAACTGTTCCTACGTAAGCATATATACATCCCTTACTTCTGGGAAACTAGGACATTCTCTTTATTCTAGAGTCTAGACGAAATTTCCCTGTGTGTTGTTTCAAACGACTGACAAGACCTCTTTCGCTACAGTTCAGCTTTAACGGAGAGCCCTACAACGGGCCTGGCACGCCGACGTGAATGTACGCAGAACATGCAAGACAGCAGGTCGCTGACGCCTTGGCGCCCAGAGGGTTTGGTTAACACAGGTACCCTAGCTATTTCGGGAGCAAGGCCCTGCCGCTGGACCAAATGCTTCCTCTCTAGGCGTCTAAGCTGATCCAACACGTGCCCCTCGTTCCCGGACAGTCGACGCCGTACGCACCTGGAAACAAGCCTAGGGCGTGGCGTGGCCAGCTTTCTACAACGACGAGAACCGGGCTGAATTCGACGTCGGCCACCACAATTCCAAGAAGGGGGGGTCTGCTCGTGGCCACACGCTCTTCAGTCCCGGAAACTACCATCCGAAAGCCTAAACGGGGAGAAGATTATCCGGGTATGGGTGTGCCATAGTGCTCGTTCAATCCTTTATTTTTTTCTTCTGCTTGCTTTTTGTTTATTGGCCCATTCCGTTGGATGGTTTGCCTCATCTATCAGACCATAAGGCAGAGTGGGAAAACAGGACACCTGGTACTTGTAATTCCCATTTCGCTTGCTCTATGCTTGAATATCAGCAAGCGGTGATGGTGCGAGGGTTTTATCGGAAAGACAGATTTGGTCCAGCTATGGAGGGCTTTGACTGCGAGGTGTGATGGCAACGAATCCAGAATAGCCCGGGGCGAAACTCGTTCGCGGCCATACCCTTTGTCCGCGATAACGAACGGATAGATGAATGGGCGGCTATTTGTATCATCGATACTCTGGCGTTCTCTTCGGACCGGCTTGGTGTTGACAACAATGGGTCTATAGCCGTTGATTATAGCGGCCATAATGGTGTATAGAATACGCGCCCCATACAAATCCGGGAGAGCATCAAGATCTATCATCGCCTTGTCACGCTTCCTAGCTTGTTGAAGGTGATGGATTATGTCAGTCAGTTTTCAACTCAATCCTCCAGACATTCTTGCTATCCATGACCCGCCGTCCACTGCCACGCAAACATTCCACCGCATACGAACCTCCCTACTTGGTTGACCAGGCGGCAGTGGACGCTCAAAGTTCGGCGCGTTGCATTCTACTTCCGCAAACTAGTCGGTCTGGATTCTTGGAGAGTCAAATTCGCCACAGGAAACAACCCGACCCTGGTCGCCGCTTACTCTCGCCACAGAATGCGGCGAGGTGGTGATACACAACGCTTACAACCCAAATAACCGGTTGAACCTTGAATCACTACTGGTCCCGCCGATTACCGACCCAAACTCTATCCTTCTCGGCGACTTCAATCTTCACCACAAGAGATGGGGCGGCGTCAAGGTCAAACAAACCCACCCCGGGGCCAGGCGCTTGGTCCAGAGGACGGACGCCGCCGGCATGGCTTGCGTGTTGCCCCCGAGCCCCATAACCACGCGTCTCCTTTGGGGCAGATACAATGATGATCGTTTCACCAAGAACTGCTAAGCGCAATCTGTTACAAGTCGGCTTTCCTGAGCTCCGCAAAGAATCCGACACTGACGCCTACACTGAAGGCATTCTCGACGCCCTCAGGGACGCCATCAATGAACATGTTCCGTCGGCTAGGCGGAAGCCTCAGCGTCCTGCGTTCAAGCCGCCTGCGTCATCCGAGATCGACAAACACTCGAAGGCAGAGAAGCGTGCCTTGCGGGCCTTCCGAGCATGCCGCCGAAGAGGTCGCAGGCATGGCAAGCTCTGGGAAGAGGTACAAAAAGGCCCTCAGGGCAACCTCCCATCACCTTCGCACGGAGAGGAAGCGCATGTGGCGTCAGTTCGTCGTCTCACGGACCGTGATACTCTACAGCTCTATTTATATGGCAAGACAGTCTTTGGCCTGGTGCGCCAACAAAGAGACGGCCCACAGGCCACACCTGCGGAAACCAGACGGTTCGTTATACCGCGACGACGCTGAGAGCGCCGTCTGCCTACGCAAGTCTATCTGGTCCGACACAAGCGTGGGAACTTGTCCGGATCCCGTGCCGCTGCCCCGTTTGCCACCAGACAGGGCCGAACATTCTTCATTCCCTTTTAGCGCCGGCGAGGTTGGGGCGGTTTGCAAGCGACTGGCCAACGGCAAGGCTTATAACCCTGATCGTATTCCAATCGATGCCATAAGCTTGACGGCAAAGCCGCTGGGGCCTTACCTGGCACACTTGGCCAGCGCTTGCGTTCGCCTGTCGTACCACGCTGATATCTTCAAGCTGTGCAACACTGTTGTGTTGAAGACGCCGGACAAAGCCGACTATTCCAGTCCAAGGGCCTGGAGACCCGTCGCGCTACTGCCCTGCCCCGGGAAGGTCGTCTGGAGGCTGATAACCCACTACCCCAAGGACCTGGCAATGGAATACGATCTTCTCCCTGGCGTCCAGTTCGGCAAGAGCCGAGGATGTCCCTCAAAGGCCCTCGAGTATCTCTTGACGCCCGCGTACAAGAGCTTCATGCACCCAGTCTCAACAAAACACGGAAGAGGTTCAAGTGGGTCAGTACACTCCTGAGCCTCGACATCAGGGGGGCATACGACCATGTCGACCGCGACGAGCTCCTCAGGATCTTGGCCAGCAAGGGAATCCCTTTCTGGATCATCCGGTACGTCAGGTCATTCCTTTCTGCCCGCAAAACCTGCCTGAACCTTGCCGGTTACGTGGCCGACGACTTCTGGGTCAATGTCGGGGTCCCTCAAGGCAACACCTTGTCCCCCATCCTGTTCGTCTTCTTTACTTTTCCCATGCTCGAAAAGTTCAAGAAGGAGAATCCCGACGCCGAGATCGTCATTGCCATGGCGCACGTCGATGACACCTACATACTCGTTACCAAGGTTCGATTGAACAGTGAAGCAGAGAGAGGGAGTGCATCTCGCACACACATGACCTTGCGGGAGTGTAATTTGTCATCATTTAAGCAATAGGCCGGTTATTGCAAGAGTGGACGACGCCTAAAACGTCTCTTACAAAGTGGCGGTACACAGACGGAGCTTCGCCGTAGGGCCCTCGAATGTCGCACCTCATGGGCATTGCCTTAGTTGCGGCTCTCGGGGCATCCAGTAGGGATGTAGATTGCGGATACAAGGCTCTCAGGTTGTCGTACGCTTCTTGGGTCATGTGTTCCCCCAACATGCCCAGGAACATGGCCCACCTGTGACTGTCGAGGGATTTGCTCAGGTAGTCGAATGTTTGAGCGAGCAGCCGAAGATAGTCGTCGCCGGAGAGCGTCGAAAACGTGATGGAGTTCTTGCGCAGGGCTAGGCCGTGCATCTCCTTGGCGACCTGCCTGCAGGTGAAGATGAGAGCCATGTCGACCTGTCCGCCGTCGGCTCGCCTCAGCCTGCCCTTCACGAAGCCCTCGGTATCGCAGAGGTAGCCGCCCTCGACGGCCACGTAGTGTCGGTAGATCATGTCGCGTATCTCGCGAGGGAGGCCGAAGAAACCCGCCATGACTTTGACTGGGCCGAGCCGAGAGCGTGTGATTAGGCGTTTGTGGCGTCCGAGTGGAAAATGCCGCTTGAGCTTGATGCTTTGGCGCGAGAAGAGGGAGAAGAAGATGGCGATGAGGAAGAAGAAAAGAAGGAGTGGATGTTGACTTATTGTTGAGCGGCGAGGACGGATGTCTTTTTTGCCAAGACGTTGTGGTTGAAGAGGAAGAGATCAACAAGCCGCTCTGATATCAGCATTTGATACTCTTTAACACCCGAGCCAACACCGCACACAAGGACCGTTTGAGGCCAATCGGACATACTTAGCATCCATGCACGTGTGTGTATATAGCCTTCAATGAGACCCTTCAATGAGACCCAGCCAGGCTACTGAGGGGATGACCTTGACGGATGCTTTTGAGAGAGGCTATTCAGGTGCAACCGCAACTCTTCTCTGCGCGGCTGCGGGACCGGTATTCGGACGCAACGCCGGGCAGAAGTGAGCAGGACGTCTTATGCGCAATCTACACTCTGAAAATGATACTTTACCATATCGGGTGAGTGAGCCATCGGCGCCTCATTTGCATTATCCATTTGGACTATATCATTATGAAACTGTAAAAAAGAACCAATGTTTGCTTCTAGTTTGACTCTCACTCCCCCAGCTAAAAAGGCTCCTCCTGTTCCCTCACCAGCTTTCACTCACTTTCACTCATTCACTCACTCACCCACTCACTCACTTTCACACTCTCTCCCTCTCCCTCTCTAAATCGACCCTCGGCATCCGTGCTCCAGAGCAAGCTGCTCCAACTCCTCCACCGCCTCCGCCTCCCTCCCCTCCGGCACGAACAGGTGGTCGTGGAAGAACCCGCTCACGGGGTTGACGCCCATGCCCCTCGCCGCCAGCCTCGCCGCGACAACGGCCATGAAGCCGACGGCCTCGAGGCTCGAGTGCACGTCGAGCGTGATCATCCTCGACCGGAAGGCGTGCTCCATCCCGCGCGCCGTCGCCGTCGCGAGCGTCGTGACGAGCGTGAGGCCCTCGCGCTCGCGGAAGAGGAGCCGGACGTCGGCGAGTGGCGGCGGTTCCGCCCCCGAGGGCAGCGTCACGAAGACGTACGTCTCCGGGTCGAGGACGGGGGTGAGCGTTGACAGGAGCGTCTTGAGGGACGTCTCGCCGAGGGGCGCAGTCATTTGTGCCGCGCGGGCCACGACGGCGATCGGAGTTTTGCTGGTATTTTTTTTTTTTTTTTGCTTCCTTTGTTTTATTTGGTGATCGACACTGGCGATGCGGCGCTGGTTTCTCCGTGTAAATGTGACACTGGGGCTCTGCGATTCGATGACGCCGGCGACGGGAGGGCGGAAGAAGCCAAGGGGGAAAGGAGTTCGGCGCAATCAGTAGCGCGTGAGTTATATGGAGTCTCTTATCAACCAAGGGCGTCAATGACATGAACAAGGGGGGATCCAGCACGAAGACTTTCTAGTCAGCCAGCGATATACCATTACATGATAATAACTATTGCTTCAATCTCTCTATTACGCTTTTTGAGTCTGTCCGGCCAACAAAGAAGCTCGATAAGAAACAGAAATAACAGGAGGAAAGACGTAAAGTGTCTGGCTTGTCGACCCCAACGCCTAGAAGCCCAAGTGTCATGGCATAAAGTCAATCCGTATCCGTCATCGCCGGCGTGCAACTCAACACGCCCCAATCTCGGAGAAATGTAGACAGCTCAGCAATCCCGACAACGCCCCGTCGTCATGTCTTCTGTGCCGAAACCAGGACGAACCCCAAGATCGCCGCCCCAAGGATGAGGACCGTCGCCGCCAGCATCAGGGCGAGGAACGTGAGACGCCGCCGCCGTCGCCGCGCCGCCGCGTTGTCCCGGCGGTACTCCTCGACTACACGCGCGGACGCTGCGCTGCCGGATCCCCGTGCCGCAGCGAGCCTCGCCCCCGGGCGCCGCGTGTAGATGGCGTGGCGCAGCGGCCGGCGCCGCTTCTCGTGGACCGGCAGGATCGAGTCGGCGTCGTCGCCATACCGCCAGCGGCGGAGGACGCGATGCAGGTATGTCGCCCCCGGCGGCGAGGGCGTGTCGCAATGGCATCGCCCGCGCTCGATCTCGCGGACGAACTTGGTCTTTGGCGGGAGCATAGTGATAACTGGTGGCGGTGGCGGCGGGGGAAGTGTGCTGGAATGGTCAAGCATGCTCGGGATTGCGCGGATTGCATGGAATGTGTCTGGGTGGAAATTGGATGTTTGAGCAGATGCTGGAATCGGACACAGCAACCGAGGAGGTGGCTGGCCAGAGCCGGTTTTTAGATCTCGCGTCGGACATGGTGCCGCGGTGTGCGGGCTGGCGATGCACGCATCCGGCCGTGTTACGTGACAAAAGATATGCCAAAGATGGGTTGGCTGGCCGAGAGAGGGACGATGACACTGGGATCGCTGCAAGCACCGGTGGCCGTATCAGCTCGGTGGGAGTAGGCAAAGGAGGCCGTTCCCCCATCCTGCCTCGCGCCCTGATTGCCGGCTTCCGTGGTCCGATGGGCCATCGTGTATCAGTTGCGCAGCCTGGGAGCCCGTCCATAGTTGTCTTGCTGGCGAGCAGTGGTGACGACAGGAGGCCACAAAGGGTGAGACGACAACAAAGCATTGAAAAGTCAGCGGCCGCCGCGGGCTCGCATCCCGAGGAGCTGCATGAACGCATTCGGAAGCTTGGCTCGGTTGGCACGCGGATTCAAAAGATAAGCCACCCCGTTGCATTCCGGAGCCTCTAGTCAATTACCCAAACCGGTCGTGCCTTGACGACATTATCTATGAAGCCGACAAAGAAAACATCCGCCTTGCTGGTGACGGCAAACGATCGAACATGAGCCTAGACTCCATCCTCCTTGACTCCGAGTGTGTGTGTGTGTGTGTGTGTGTGTGTGCGTGTACATAGTGCCTGTACGTGTGTGAACGCATGCATGATACGACAGCAGCCTAGCAGGGCAATGGCCAAAGATGACCAACGCATCATGCATCAACCTCGTCCTCGTCCAAGAACCCCAACCCGCTGTCGAACCTCCTCTTCTTCCTCGCCGACGACCTCCTGGCCAGGCCGCCAGCAAGTAGTAGCCCCCGCTTCGTCCCGGTGTCGCCGTCCGATACCCCGTCGCTCGGCCCCACTCTTCCATCCGCCCCGGTCTCCTCCGTCCCAACCACTTCCGGCCCGGCCACCTCCGCGCCCGCCGGGCCCAGGAACTCGCGACTCATCCCGACGACACGTTCCAGCTCGCCGCGCATCCCCTCAATCACCGCCTTGGCCGCCTCCCGCTCGCGCACCATCTCGACCTCCAACCCCCTCTTCTCGACCCGCAGGTCCTTGATACCCTCGTGCGCCGCCCGCAGGCCCGCGTTCACCCTGTCGACCTCCTCCCGCAGCTCCTGCACCCGCGCGTCCCGCACCGCGAGCGCCAGCCCGCCGCGCCGCGTGGCCTCGGCGACCTCCTTCGCCCGGGCCTCCTCGGCCTCCCGCAGCCGCCGGCGCAGCGACCGGCCCTGCGCCACGGCGTCGGCGAGCTTGCCCTCGAGTTTCGCGATGGCGTCTTCCTTGGCCCGCAGCACGCGCCGCCCGACCTCGACCTGCGCGTCCCGCGTCGCCATGGCGTCGCGGTGCTCGCCCTCCATCCGGTTGACCACGCCCTCCAGCTCCGCCACGTCCCGCACGTAGCCCGCCACGGCGCCCTTGAGCCGCTCGACGCTGACCTCGAGCTCGGCGACGCGCTCCCCGCGCTCGCCGAGCGCCGTCCTCGCGCGCCGCAGCTCGCCGTCGAGGTCCTCCATCGCAGACACGCGCGCGCCCAGCTGCTGCCGCAGCGAGAGCTCGAGCTCGTGGTACTCGTCGATCGAGGCCTCGTCCTCGCGCGCGCGCTTCGCCAGATCCCGCAGCCGCGTCAGCAGCAGGTCGAGGACCTCGCCGCCGTGCGACGACAGCGGCAGGGTGATCTCGCCGGGCGTCAGGTACTCGAGTTCCAGCCGGGCGGTGCGTAGGGCGGCCGAGAGCGAGGCGATGACCTCGGACGCGTCGGCGCCGGGGAAGCCCAGCCCGCAGAGGGACGCGTCGATGTCCTGCAGCGCGGCGGCGCGGTCCGAGGCCGCGCGGAGGAGGGCGGCGATCTGCGACTCGATTGTCGCCAGCGGGTCCGGCGAGCTCTCCAGCGGCGCCACCGTGCACAGCTGTCCGGACAGGCGGTCGGCGAGGGTCGAATAGGACGCGAGGGCGCTCGTCAGCTTGGACATTTCCAGCCGCAGCGACGCCACCTCTTCCTCCAGACGTTCCGTGTCGGGATCGGGGAAGCAGGCCTGCACGCCGACGTCGGCCAGCGGGCGGACCTCGCTCGTTCTTGTCGTCCTCTTGCGCGAGGACGGTGTCGGTCCAGGACCGGAGGCGGCGACGGGGCTTGTGAGCGGCGGCGTCAGGAACGACGAGCGCACCCGCGAAGGCGTGCTGCAGACCATGTCGGCCATGGTCGCGTCCCCAAAGGCCGTGTCGTCGCCGAACTGCGCGCGCTCGCCGCACACGGACTCGGCCTCAACCGTATCCGTCTCCATGAAGAAATCGTCGGCGAACGGGTCCCGTGCCGCGAGGGTCCAGTCGAAGCAGGTCCGGTCCCGCGCGGCGCCGGCGGCGGACCGCTCCGACAGCGCGGCGCGGAGCGTGTCGACCTCGCGCTCGAGGGCCCAGATGCGCTCGGTGTCCAGGATGATGGTGGCGTTCTGCAGCTCGTAGATCTCGGCGTCCTTCTGCCGCAGCTCCTGGCGCAGCCGCTCGACCTCGGCCTGCGCCGCCTTGGCGCTGCGGCGCTTCTCGGCGGCGATGGCGTTCATCTCTTCGCTGAGGCCGTTGCGGCGGATGCGTCGCTGGACGCGGCCCGAGAGGACCTGGCGGAGGGGGAGGAAGTGAACCTCGCCGCTGGTAGGCAGGTCGGTTGTCGTTCCGGCTGTGCGGCCGCCGCTTCCCGAGGGGGTGCTGCTGCCGGCGGGTGTGGAATGGCGGCGGCGGCGGGAGGTGGACGGCGTGTTCCGGCCGAGGAGCGTGCGGTTCATCATCGGGGTCAGGCCGGTGGTGGATGAGTGACGGGTCGTCGTGCGCGGTGTCGACACAGACGGCCCAGGGTCTGAGAAGCGAACTTTGCGCTTTGCTATCTTGCGTGGGGTCTGGGATGTCGAGGGTTGTGATGTTGAAGGCTGTGACGTTGGGACGGACGAAGCTGCGGGATTCGCCCCGGGTAAGCTTCGACGCGTGCGCCGTAGCGCAATAGGCAAGTCGTCGTTGTTCATGGTGAGACAGACGGCTGGATGATTCGATACAACAGCAAGTTGACTATCGTGACACGAACAGAGAGATGTCCAGCGGAGAAAATATCTGACAATGGTCGCGGGCGGAAGCAAGAAATATGCCCTGCTACACCCGTTGCGAGTGAACACTGATCGATTACAACGACGTAAACAGATCAACGGCTCCCGTCTCTGGGCATGTGTTCCATTAGCCAATGCATGTAATGTTTGCTCAACCCACGCTTCTCTCTCGTCCACTATGTCTATCTCGCGGTGTGTCCCCCCCCCCCCCTCCCTTCTTGTACCCCAGGTTGTTGATAAAGGCTCTTGTTTACACATTGCCTATCTCGGACTAGCTCTGCCATCCTCCCTCCCCCCCTGCCGGGCCTCCGTTTCGGCTCCGCCTGCGCCGGGATCCGTCGACGCGCGTCGACCAATCGTTTCCATCGCCGTCGCGGTCGTTCCAAACAAACCTCGACCGGGTCTGTGGCCGTTCTGGCGTGTTTTCGCTGTCCACAGCCGTGTCACCGTGGATGGGTTACTACAGCATACGCTCACAAAGTTGCGAGGGACACGCCTCGTCGCGGTCCGAGGCACCCTTGACTTGGAGATGGCGAGATCGCGATTCTGGACGCGCTCATTGGTCGCGCAGACTGATACAAGGCCCCGAGGGTTTGCGTGTTTCTACTTAGTCCATAGCAACCGCCTTCAAGGGCGTTTGCTCAAGGCCTGACAACATTGAGTCTTGTCTCTGCTGCTGTCATGGACGTCCGTGAATCCCACGCTCCCTGGCTCAAAGAGGGCCATCTAGGCTCGAGACGCACATTGTTGTTTTCTGGATTCCTGTCCCGGCTCGATACAAGATACATACCCAGTCCCCTGTCGACGCCATCGTCGTTAACCATTGGATGACACCCTGCATCTCGGCCCGCCTCTGCACCTCCAAATCCCTGTCCATCTCGCCCCCACCACACATCCCACTTCACACCGCCAGATATTCTCGCCTGGGAATAATAATCCCGCATTCCAGCCTGTCGTCCAACAACTAAATGGTCTGGTGGTGTAGTTGGTTATCACGTCAGTCTAACAGCTTCGAGAGACTCGCCTCTCTCTTGGCTAGCACACTGAAGGTCTCCGGTTCAAGTCCGGGCTAGATCATCCACATGGGCGATTGGTTTAGTGGTATAATGACCGCTTAGCATGCGGTAGGTCCAGGGTTCGATTCCCTGATCGTCCATCTTTTTGCTAACGAGCTTCGCTGCAGCTGTCCGGGTCCTTGGTCTGTATGAATAGTCTGTATGAATAGTCTGTATGAATAGTCTATATGAATAGTCTGTATGAATAGTCTGTATGAATAGTCTGTATGAATGGTCTGTATGAATAGTCTATATGAATAGTCTGTATGAATAGTTTGTATGAATAGTCTGTATGAATAGTCTGTATAAATAGTCATTTTGCCTAGATGAGGGAGAGTGGTTGTACAAGACTTGGTTGCTAAGCAAGAAGCAAGACACGATGAGAAGAATCAGCTATTTATAGACCTATGGCTGCGCATTATGTATTGACTGTATTCTTCCACTGTTCTCACCATCACAGTCCAGTGTTCTCTTCATAAACGCATGCATACATACATATAGCCTGGACAAACGACTCATTAAACGTGGGAACATGACATCGATATAACGAGGGTATCATCATCGCTCTCCGTCTCCTCCACCAAAGCCGCTACCTGTTCTGCGCAATCCACTCCGCCACCATGCCGCGGTAGTCCGGCGGCGCGTAGCTCTCAAACAGCTCGGCCCAGACCCCGGCCTTGCGCCGCGTCTCCACGCCGATGTCCCCGAGGAGCATGTCCCAGTACGGCAGCTGATCGAACACCAGGTCCGGGTAGCACCGGCCGTGCCCGTACGGCGCCCGGTACTGGGCCCACCGCTGCAGCAGCGCCGTCTCGTCCAACACCCGCCCGGCCCTGCGGTCCACGTCGAGCGACGGGATCCGGCCCTCCAGGTACGCCAGCGCCCACAGGCACTGCACCTCGAGCCGCATGATGTTGGCGAGGTTGCTGAACGCCCCGACGAACACGAGCGACCGGTCGTCCCGCGCCGCGAGCCCCGGCGGCGCGATGCCCCGGTACAGCCGCCACGGCGTGTAGGCCACCTCGGCCGACGCCCCCGGGTGGAACGCCCGCGTCTTGGACGACGACGGGTCGAGGAACGGCCCGTCCAGAAGCCGCGGGAAGCGCGCCCCGATGACGCCGTCGGCCCTGGCGTTGGCCTCGTTCCAGACCGCCGTCTGCTTCGGGCCCAGCGACGTCGTCGGGATGCCGAGGTCCGAGTGCAGCGACGCCGGCTCGAAGTTGATGGTCGGCTTCGCCGAGAAGCCCGTCGACGCCACCAGCAGGTCGGCGGTGAGCGTCGTGCCGTCGCCGAGGTGGATCGTGTGGTCGGAGAGGTGGTCGATGTCCTCGCGGTAGATCTGCACCGTGCCGTTGCGGACGTACTCGAAGAAGTCGTCCTCGAAGCTGAGGATGCCCGAGGCGGTACCGTACCTGCGTGACCGATCGTGTCAGTATTTTTACACATCTGCCCCAGATTCTCCTGTACGGCCAAGCAAAAAAGGGGGGAGATGGATGCTCACCAGAACTGATTCTGCTCGGGCTGCAGCACCTTGGTCTTCTCGTGCGTCTGGTACCCGCAGTCGTTGATGGTGTCGTTACGGATCAGCTTCCAGAACGTTCGGCTGACGACCCTCCCCACCGCGCTCTCGTGCAGGAACCGCCGCACCCACGAGAGGCCCGACAGGTCCGGGAACAGGCAAGGCGACATGAAGGCGCAGATGCGCCGCGTGACGAGCCGCTCGCGCCAGACCTTGAACGGGCCGAGCTGCGTGAACGCCGTCGCGACCCACACCGGCCCCCGCCCGGAGCGCCGGATCACCCACCGGACCTTGTGGCCCGTCGAGGCCGCGAGGTGCACGGCGTCGTACGCCGACTTGCTCCCGCCCAGCACCGCCACCGTCTTGACGTCCGGGGACGCGAACAGGTGCGCCTGCGGCCCCAGGTCGGACGAGTGCACGATCGGCGCCGCGAACGCCTCGGACCCGGGCATCTCGGGCACGTGGGGAACGGTGAGCACGCCGGTGGCGACGACGAGGCGCGCGCACGCAATCGTCTTCGCCTCGCCGGCCTCCTCGACGTCGACGCGCCACTCGCCCCCGTCCTCGGGCCGCGTGACGCGCACGACCTTTGTGTTCAGCTGGATCTTGTCCCACACGCCAAAGTGCTTGGCGTACTCGACGAGGTACTCGTGCATCACGGCGCCGAGCACGTGCTGCTTCATCTCGAGGCCGAACCGCTTGAAATCCATCGGGAAGTCGGAAAAGTCCATGGACGTCACGAGGTTGTTGGTCTTGAGGTTCGGGTAGATCTGCTCGCGGGACCAGACGCCGCCGACCGAGGCGCGGCCGTCGACGACGAGCACGTCGGCGGCCGGGTCGCGCTGGAGCAGGGTCTTGGCGGCGCAGAGGCCGCTGGGCCCGGCGCCGATGATGAGCGTCTCGACTGTAGGCGCCATGGCACACGGTTTTCCAGATCGCGATTTCGTAGGGGAGCTCGTTGTTTGGAGGGGGGGTGGGGGGCGCACTTCGGATGAGGAGGTGAGAGACAATAGTCAAGTTCAACGGTTCGGAGAGAGAACATGGAGAGATGCCCGTTGTTCTTAAACCCAAAAAAGGATGACCGGAACCAGTGGTTGGCTGATACCCAAAACACGACGACAGACTCTCGGGTTCTCCGGGTGAGTTTGGGACATCCTGAAATCTGCCCCAAAGGGCGATGAGGCCCCCTCATTCCCCCTCCCCCCCCCCCCCCCCCAGCTCAGAGTGCCGCATCTGATTTCGGTAACCAACATTGCCAACGAGGATTATGCGCTTGGTCGGGGAGGCGTCCGCCGGCGCGCGAGAGCTGAGCATCCGGATTCCGCTCATCGTCTGACGGTTATGTCGGAAGGGGAATAGACCAGGCGACAGAGAGACGAATAAGCTGACATATCTGCCCTGTGGCGGTCCTTTGTCATGGCCAGCGCGCAATCATCGGGCCGCGAGCTGTATACTCAAGCTTTCCTCGCGACGCGCCACCTGCAATTAGGCGATGCCATGGGCCCTCCAACTAGCACTAGCTGCCCATTCCTCTGGAGACGATGTCAGTCCTTTGTGCGACCACGGGCGCAGGTGTCAGACAGCGCATGCATGAGGCGCATTCCAGCCCCTTGGGAGATGGCGCAAGTCTAGCGTCCCACGACTCTGGGTCGCCGGCGGCTGAGGCCAGCGCAGTCGAGCGTGGCGTTCTCGAACGAGTGAGCTTGGAACCTAGGGGGGGGCGCCGACTGCTTCCGCCTCTCGATCCTTGGTGCGGATTCGCATGTTGATGGTTGGCAACTTTGTCTTAGACTGTGAGGAGGATGAGGGGCGAAATTGGGACGGTTAAAGCGTGTACCACGGTGAAAACTCGCACGTCCCTCTCCATTCCACCCGTGTTAGCCGGCAATCTGTTACTAGATGATAGTAACCACACCAGGGAGACACAACGGTTGCCAGAATTCGTATCAGCTGACGTTTAGTTTGGCAGCGCTGTCCACTCAGGTTTCCCATCTACTCAGCAGCAGACGCTTTTCTTCTTGATCCTCTTCTCTGTACGCCAACGTTTGTTTCCACGTGGTCGCCTACATATGCATGATCAGCGGCAGAGCGTCGTTTCGGGGGCTCAGGGAGACCAGATCCCCGAACGCCACAGGCCCCAAAGAGCTGCCGGATTGCCGGCTGGATGTGCTCGAGGGCATCGGCATGTAGTCTGATAACGTGTCGAGCATGCGGCAGCATCCGCTTGCCAAGGACGCGCCACGTGTTGCGCGCTCATTAGTACGTCGGCGAGGTCGTCGGAATATACCGTATTCGAGACCGGGAGACGTGTTCTCGGCTGTCGTCCGTCAGTGAGACCGGGCATGCCAGCTAGCCGAAATCGACCTTTGTGAGTGCCACTCTGTCCTACGGTAAGTATGGGCTTCTTTGGCACTGAATATGTCTTGCTTATCTGGCAACGCCTCTCACTCTCTTTCCATTTTGGCGCTCCTCACAAACCTGTACTGCACAAACCCTCGGACGAGTCCATAACCTTCACCAATAACATTCGCGCTTTTACCGAAATAACGGTTCCTTCTGATGTTTCTGCCACGTCGGGAAGAGCCGTCTTGGCGCTTGTGAATGAGCTCGATGTGGGCATGGAGACCAAAAACATCAAGGAGAACCTCGGAGGGACCTCAGTTGAGACGCTCTCGGTGTGTATAGCTCTGGATTCATCCCAAAAATCTCGCAACCCAAGAACATCCTCAGCAGAAAGACTGGCACCAGTATCAAGACTTACTTGACTTGATTTGAGTGATTGAAAACAATGTCGAGTCGGATAGAGAATCAAATCATACGAACAAGTGGAAAACCATTTGACCAAAGTAACCGAGGCCTCTGCACGGCCTGGAACGATTGGACCTGGGTTATTAAAGTTTTGAGATTGGCGCGGGTGATAATGCTGCGCCAAACTCCCCGGCGCAGTCCGGACCCAGCGCCAACCCAATATTGATACAAGTAGCAATGCCTTACCAGATCATCTACAGACGGATATCATCTCCTCTGCGGTTAAAGGCTTGAGATGTATTGTTTTTCTACCAATAATTACACTCAACCCCCCCACCCCCCCCCCCCCCCCCCCCCCCCAAAAAAAAAGCAAAGAAAAGAAAAGAAAAATACCCTAGATATAGATCGACGCTCGTCGACCTCAGTTCAATATGCTTTGACTTTCGATAAAGTAATGATGGCGACGGTCATTCCAGCTTGCTACCGCAGGCGATGTCGCGTATGTCCGCATCCAAGTGGAAGCTTCTGACAGTCATCAGAATCATCGACAACGTCAATGAACCTTTCTTTTTCATGCTCTCATCAACGGGCCTCTAGCCACTTTTCGGTGACAGCGACGATTGCCACCTCGCCTCGGAAACGCTCTGGGGCCGCCCCATCCCCTGGAAGATGTCCATCCTGAACTATCAGCAGGAATTCATCGACAGCGATCCCTGAGACAGTAAGTTTGGCTCTGACAGCACGGCTTCCACGGAAAAGGGGCCGGATCCCAGGAACGGAATACGGTTCGCCAGCTAGGTCGCGCACGACTAAGGTTTCGAAACGCCCTTGGCCGGACCAGGCTCGGACCAAATTGCGTTCTGCGTCATTAAATCGCCGTATGCAAACACAGACCGATTTATCGTCCGCGAATCCGTAATGATGCGTGCGACGTACGGCCCAATATCCGCCTGACTGCGTTTCTGAGCAAACCTCCAAGAGACCTGACAAGATATCTGTCGCGCTAAAAACGACGCCGTTAGTCGCAGCAACACAACTAACGCCTTATATCACATCGTGACAATATCACTTAGCGTTGAGCTGTTTCTTTTCACATACTCAACGCGATTTTGTTGAACTTGTCCGGCTCCTAGTCTGGTGATACGTAGATAGCTAAGGAGTATCAAATCTGCCGGAGCCGATAGATCGGTACCGAGGGTCGGCTCCGGAGCCCGGAGCCGAAGGCCCCACACACAGTCCACTGATCGGATCCAACCCACCAGTAAGTGCGCAAGTAGGTAAGATGATGTGTATTACAGGACGCGGCGTCAGGATGCCAGCGTGATTCTGTTTTAATCCTTGGAGGATAGCCCGGACTAGCTTCTGTGGCCCACCTGCAACCTAAGCTGATATGCCCCTGTATTTTTTCTTCTTGCAGGTGGTGCAAAGGTAACAGCCGTAGAACTGGGATACGATGGACCCTATGGTGATAAAATGACGGCCCACGGGGCTTCGGCGGCGTGGCCCGCAAGCTTGACAGGGGTTTTGGTGTCCTCCATACAAAAGACCTTTCGCCTGTCTGCCCTGTCCCTTCTTCTCCTCTGTAGAACCAGCAGACGCAAACACCGGGAAACGCCCTACGGATATCCATCTCCAAGGCCGCGTACCATGCTGCGACCAGCTAGCCTGGCCACGGCTATAAGCTCGCGGCCGCGTCCGTTCTGGACCGGTTCTTCTCCGTGTAGACATCGGACCCGGCCACGAACTTACCCATTCGTTGCAGTCAGGACAGTCATGGATGACAGAGACAGGGAGGACCTCGCCGTCTATAGCGGAACTGCCTTGCGGCAAAACCAAGCAAGATGGGGCGCAAGCGACGACCTCCTCGTCCATGGCATTCGACACGTCGAAGCCTTCGCCACGTCCTCGGAGGTCGCACGCGTCTGCTCGGGTGTCGACCTGTACACCAGGGCCCGAAACGCCCGTCTCATCATGAGTAACGCTATCCCAGACATGGCCTCTGCGGCGGAGAAGCCATACTGCATCTGGTATCCCGACGTCGCCACCGAGAACACCTATCGCGAGCTTGTCCGCCGGTACCCGGACATGCGCTACCAAGCCGGCCGAGCCTGTGCCGTCGCGGGATACAAAAAGCTTTACGACGACCTCGGCTTGATGCCGGATGTCTCGATTGCCGAGGAGGCCCGGGACAATGGCCACGCCAACATCTTCGAGGCCATCGTCGCTCAGCCTGTACGATATGCCGTCATGAACGACTACACGCGATCTGTTAACCTACAGAACCCGCAACCGGGGGCTTGCCTCAACGGGGACGCCGCCGTGCGATCTTCCCTGCAACGCCATGCAAGCCCTGAAGAGGTCGAGGCTGCCTCCAAGGAATACGAGCCCTTGATACGCCTCTGGCCCGCCCACTACTTCGATATCCAAGAAGACTCCAATGCCGGCCCTTACAAGTGGCCCCGGCCCGGGTGCGCTGTCTTGAAGGACGGGGACATCAACCTACTGCATAAGCCCCTCCCCAGGGACTTGCCTCCCCTCAACAAAGACATCTTGATCCTTATGGCCGCCTGGGATGGCAACATCGACCGATACGCTCGCCTGCGCCGCCCGGTCACCATCCCGAACGAGGTCTCGGCCGTTGTGCGGGGAGCGTACCACCACACGCCGTTCGCGCGCTGGCTTGAAGCGTGTGTTGACGAGATTTTCTCCTGTGACTACGACAACACCCTTGTCTGGCAAGCCGTCCACGCGAGGTTCATCATGGACGACGACCTCTCTCGTATTGACAGCGAGGTCAGGGGCGAGAGGCTTCCCGAGTTCTTCTGGTGGCCCCACTGTCCGCACGAGGATACACTGCGCGAGCTGGCGTGGCGCCGGCCCGACTTGGAACACCAGACCACGCTTGCCTGCATCGCTGGAAATCACCGTCGTCTGTTCCTCGAACTTTCCGAGGGCACAAAGCCAACACAGCAGCAATGGGAGGCCGCAATCTCGTCTCCGAACGAGTTCTACCGGAAACACCTACAGCAGCGCGCCAAGGAAGAGGGGTTCAAGCTGCAGCAACGCATCAGTTTTAACCTGCCGGGAGGCGAAGCGTGGCCCCCCGAGTCCCACTGGAGTAAGGACTACCTGCGACCCAACAAGGAGTTCTATAGAGGCTACTATGCCCTGGCCATGCCGCCAGAGCTCGTCAACATGCCCGACAACCACAGCGAAGACTGGGAAGAGGAGTGGAGCCCGCCTGAGGGAAACCTTCTGAACTATCACATGCATCTGCAGTTAGGCGCTTGGCAGAGACTAATTAGTGCTACTGATAGGACGAGGCAAGAAGCGAAGGCTAAGGGGGGTATCCGTCTATATGCAACAGACGAGGACCGGAAACGCAGAACGGGACCGCCTCCCCAGCCAAAGTATCCAAAAACGTCAGTGATTCCTGGTTACATACAAGGCTAAGTACGTCAAGCTACGACTACTCTTTGTTACGTACTCATAGTTGTCCCCTACGTCTTAGGTAATGATAGCGACTAGTGTCTAGATAGGGGCGTGGTTGCTTAGTGTTAGAAAATAACAAGGAGTTTACCCTCTATAAAACAAGCTGCTTTTACCTTACTGTTTGTTGCTGTCACAGGACTTACAGGTCGGCGTGTAGATCGCCTTTAAGGATAATTCTCTTCCCTCACACTAGAACCTCAACCAAGGTTCGTTTCTAGTAACACACCTTGGTTGTTTCCTATGAGGCCGTAGTAGCTATCAAAGGGGCCGTTTTCAAGCACATACAGTCATTCCGTAGAACCTACGTTCAGAGCTCTCTCGATCCATCACTATAAGACTAGTAAAGTAGATTAAGCAAGCTACGCCGCTTTCATGCCCACAACTCAGAGACGCTAGTCCTTCCTAGTGTTCACGTATTATAGTATTCGGCTTGTTAGGGAAAAATAAGGGTATAGTAGGGGTTCTCCTGAGTAGGGGTTAGGATCAAATTCTTCCTCATAATGTAGTACACTACTTAGGGTCCTTATTGTCCTATCTGTATAAAGGATTTAGTAAGGATCACAGGGTATTCGTATATACTAGATATCCAGCTTAGGGGGTGACGCTTCTAATTAATAGTTATCTGTTACTTTAATTATGCGTAGGGAACAGAAGAAGCCATCTAGGTGAACCGTATTCGCTGTAGTATATATCATTAGTAACCCATAGGTACTTAGTGCTAGGCCCCTTCAATTGTCATGTTAATACAGGTCAAAAAGACGCTCTACTAACCGCAGGTCCTAACTGTAAGCTCAAGCAGTTACAACCAGGGCCCGCGATCACGTGGTCTCCGGACAGGTTCATTGCAGGTGGAGTTGTAAAGCTGTTCAAGCAGCCGGATTTGAACCTAAGAACTTTCAGCCAACCGGCAGTTGACCAGATATACTGGGCAGCCGTGGGTTGGGACACATCGACATCTTTGGCGTACAACGTGAGGGCTTCCCTGACCTCCGGGCTGAAAGGCGCATGCGTGGAGCCGGTGTGGCTCCTAGTCGGGGCGTTCCTCGTGGGATCGTTTCATCCGCAGACCGAGACGTGGCGAACAAAGGGGTTCCAAGTGACGGACGAAGCCGCTCGGAAGATATTCTCCGGCGCAGCTGTCGGGTCCATGTACGTCTGGAAGAACGTTACATCGCTGAAAGAAGCGTTGAGAGAGGGGGTCGACGAGGACAGCCTCCTTCTTACGTGGAAGAGCGCAGCGGCTCATTTCTCTGATCTACTGGCGCAAGTTCTTGACCTGAGCCAGGACACGGAGAGCGAGATCTTCAACGTGCTATGGTTTGGCACTGACAACACATACACGATACGTTGTCCAGGACGGCACCCGCGACGGGATTAGCTAAAACTACGGATGCACCTCAGTCAACAATCACGGCATCTCTGATTACCATTTACCCCTTAATGTCCAGAGTGATTGATTCGGTCGAGTTAACGAAGAGAGTCGTAGACTTTGAACATAGTACACAAGGTACTATCAACGATGAGGTGCAGTCCTACCTGAATTCAGTTTTGACCAAGGCTCTTGATCGACTTCCTCAACATCGCCGACGCGCTACGCTTTATGGGAAAAGTCCTTAGATACATGGAGACTACTATAGCTGAATAATGTCAGCCCATGCTTTCTGGTGCCCTATTGCTAGCAATATGAGGATTGCCTATTCAATCAAGATAGTACGTCCCTACCGTAGTGCTTGACCTCGTTATCATCGTCAGTCAACCTGAAGGAATCTTAGGCTCGGTGTTCATTACACCAGAAGCGATGAACCAGGTTTGACCGAAACTCTGACCATGGCTCATGGGCGAGGCTCGACCTTCAGTAGTTGCTCCTGAGACAAGACGGGCGAGCATACCATATCGCATACGAAGTATAGCACGTGCACCTGACAGTTTTGTCACCATCAAGTCTTTGGAAATTTCATTTCTCGTGGTATTTCGTTTCTACCTTGGCCGTATGACACCTCTACGGCGCTTCCGGTGTCTGCGCATCTTGTTGGCAACAACAAGGAGTCCTAGACAGGCCTTTGAACAAACTATGCCAATGATGAAACCGGGTATATCTGCGCCGCCTCGCGGTAACTCTGCTTTAAAACACAAAACAAAACTCTTCATTCTCCAGATCCGTCAGGTCGTCAAACGCCCTCGCGCCGACGTCTTCCGGCACGGGCTCCTCGCCAGACGCACCCATCTCGTGGCCGGCCTCACCCGTCTTGCTCGCGGCCTGGTCCTGCTTCATCTTCTCGGCCTCGGCGGCGGAGAGCAAGCTGGTGTCGACGATGACGGCGCTCTTGCCCATGGCGACGCGGCGCTTGCTGTGCGAGCGGTTGAGGAAGGCGAGGTACAGGCTTGTCGTGATGACCAGGACGACGATGACGCAGTAAAGGGCAAGGTTGGAGGTCAGGCCGCGGGTGTATTTGGGCGACTCGGACGGCTTGTACAGGAGCGGGCCGACGATGTTGCCAACGGACTGGCCGACGAAGAGGAACGCGGATGTGCACTTCCTTTTGGTGTCACCGGCCGTGTTGGCGGCGGACCAGCTGTAGATAAGAGGAGCTGGGGTGACATGTTAGTCGGGAGGTTTTCCTGGCGGAGGAGGCGAGAAGGGAGAAAGGGCTTACTGATTCCGGGGTAGACAGAGATGAGGTAATATCCGATTAAACGCGCGGCTTTTTGGCCGGTGGTAGGAAGAACCAGCAACACGACGCAGCCGACGATGGGGGGGACACAGAGTCCGGCAATGACAGGGCCCTTCTTGTGGATCTTGGTGGCTATCCAGGAGCCCCCAACGGTGGAAACGAGTTGTACAAAGCCAAAGGGGATGTTGAAGAGGATGGTCTGGAAGGAGTCGAAGCCGAAGGACTTGACGATCAAAGGGCCAAAGGTGGAAATACCTCCGGAGGGGATACTGCGGCAGTGTCAGCAGGCCGGTAGCGACAGGTTACAGGAACGGCGGTGAACACTTACGAGATGGAAAAGACCAGGAAGAACCAACACCAGGTCTTCACATCCAGCAGGCTTTCCTTCAGGTGATCCCACCGCCATTCGCGTGACATGACACCCTGCTGGTTCATGCGGAGACGCTCAATGGCGATGAGCTTGTCGTGCTCCTTGAGGAACTTTGCCTCGACAGGGGAGTCGGGCATGAAGATGAACATGACGACGGAGAACACGACCGTGATGATACCGAAGAACATAAAGATGATCTAGTTGATGTCAGGGGAGGGGGGAAGTTCAGCAGGGTCATAGGAGGGAAGGAAAGACGTACCTGGTACTCCTTGAGGGGCGACGAGATGTGGCCGAGACCATACGTGATGAGACTACCAAACTACGGGATATCAGAGATGGGGGGAGGAGGGCATTGGCCAGCTTAGGAGGTGACAATACACACCATGTTGGTAAAGCCGTTCATGGCATACCAGTAGCTGATTCTCAGCGTCTGCTCGCGTCGGCGCCACCACATCTGGGTGATGGCGACGAACGAGGGCGCCACGCTCGCCTCGAAGGCGCCGAGGAAGAACCTGGCCGTCATCAGGCCGCCAAAGTTGTGAGCGGCGGCCATGCAGGACAGCGTGACGCCCCAGAAGGCGACCATGCAGCTGGTGAACTTGCCGATGGGCAGCTTCACCAGCAGCCAGGCGAGCGGGAACTGCATGACGAGCTGGGCGAGGTAGACGACGGAGCCCAGCCAGCTGTACTGGTCGCCGACGAGGTTCGTGTCCTGGATGAGGCCGAAGACGGAGGCGTAGGCGAGGGTGGACTTGTCGATGCCCTGGAGGAAGTAGACGAAGAGCATCAGGGGCAGGATGACCATGTCGATGCGGCGCAGGACGCGGGCGTTGTCGGCGGGCGTGACGACGACGCGGTCCTCGGGCGAGGCGCCCGCCTTGCCCAGGAGCTCGGCGGCGGCATCGCGGCGGTGGGCGGGCTGCACGGGCGCGTGCTCGACCTGGTCGACGGGCGTCTTGCTGGTATCCTCGGTGGTGGTGGCCATGATGACTCTCTGTGCTTCGTCGTTTCCCTCTGACCAGACACACGGATTCTTTGTGTTGAAAGGTAGGCAAGGCTGGCTCAGGTGAAAGCGAGATACAGTCGATAAGGGACCAGAACGAACGGGAGAAGTGGGAAGAGCAGTCGAGATATGGGCAGCCATCAGCCCGGGAACATATCGGCTGACAGCCCGGGTGCGACTCGGTTGCCGAGAGCAAGTGACGAGGGGTGGATCATCACATTGTTCATCATTGGTGTGTATCATTGGTGTGTATCCGTATCTCAGAGCATCAAGCCAGGACTGGGGGGGACAAGCGATTGGCAGGGGGGGTGCCGTTGGCCAAGACCATGGCGGCGGTGTCAACAGAGCCTCAAGTGATTTTTCCAAGGAAAAAGGACGCCTTATCGTCACCCGATTGGTTCAGCAAGTGTGCAAGGAGTCCAAGATGACGGACCATGTGTGACGAAGTCGACTTCACATCTTGACTATAGCTGCACGCAGTACTCGGCTGCCAAGCAAGTAATTCCTCACGGTCGAAAACAAACCGCCATCTGGTCTTGATGGCCAGGGGTCGTCGGTCAGACCAGGAAGGACTTCACGCGGCACGTTGTCCGTCCCAATATGTCGGCGACAAGCTGAGGAACGGGTTCAACTTGACTCGTTCCGTAAGCGCGGAACGCACAACATGGAGTCCCTCACCAGTAAGAAAAAGCATCACGAGTGTGGCCCGGGTCAGCGTTGACGTTTCGTAACCCGAACTCTTTGTGTGGGGTTGTTGGGGTTCGGAAAAGAAGCTAACATGTCCCTCCCCCACATGGAAAACCGGCTTCTCCGCGCGGGGAACTTTGGGGATTTACTTTCTTTCGTGGAGGAGGGAAAAGGAGGAGAAAGGGGGGAGAGGGCGGCGAAGGACCGCGGAGAGAACCGGCACAATGGACTGGCTGCCCCAGACGACCCCAGACATTGGAAGAGAGAAGCGGAGGGAAATGCGGAGGAGAGTTGCCTTGGTTGGACAAGAGGACCATGGATGAGACGACAATGGCGCGGACGGGGCTGTCAGAGCACCGGAAGATGGCCGATATCGTGACGAGCCCACCGAGACGACATGATGTTCTTGAGCCACTCCGGCTCTCATTGGCTGTGGTCCGTAACTTGCCGACCTCCATTGCCAAGCCGGCGGGGAGGATTCGGAGATGAAGAGCCACGTGATGGTCTAAAGCATGGTGAGAGAAAGATCAGCTCGTTAATGTGCTCCCCGCGTAGCATACGGCGGTCTATAACCGCTTTTGGGGCGGCACGGGTGTCGGCATCTAACCGCTTTTGGGTCGGCTTATGATACGATCCTACAGCAAACACTCCACAACGGCTCGGACAAGCCCCCGCCGACGAGTCAGAGATCCGACACTCATTGGTCCTGGTCTCCATCCGTGACAGCAGCCGTGTAAACTACCCCGTCCGCAACCCCTCATCAGTCTGGGGGATGTGGATATCCGGGTGGCTTTCGGTGGGGGGAACGTCTCCTCTTCAATGGTAATGGTGTCTCGTGAAAAGGGACGCGTCGTTGGTCCATCACACTCTGCATGAGGTTCGGCCAAACACGAGCTGCCAAGTCAGGTTCACGATGCCAGAGGACCAAAGCCGCCGGTTTGCGGCAGTGCGGTTTGTACGAGAGAAGGGGCGACATCGGGTGAGGCCTCGAAAACTTTGTCCTTTTACTGGATCTCCCAGCATCCGATTCCCCTCATCCTGTCTATGTATCCGTAGTATCTGCATGCAAAGTCCAGCATCCTTCCTCAACCCCACCTGCTTTGTGTGTTTTGCTCACATCCGCTCGGCAATAAGAACGGTCTGCTTGCCTGAATACATACGTCCTTTCGTTCTGTCTTGTGCCTTTCTTTTCCTCATTCACGAAGCTGGAGTGCGGATAGTCCCAACCAGAGACCCAGATATCACTTGCCCAAGATGCTTCTCCAAAACGAGAGGATTCCTACAAAGTACGCACCCCAAGAGGCAAAGGGGGCGGCTTCAAATGCTTCCATCCAGCTGCAGTCATCAGAGGGCCAGACCGAGCCCTTCACCTTCACATTCGAGGTCGTGAGGCCAACCGTCTTCCGCACCACCGTCACCTCCAAGTCCCGCCCCCTGCCCCCCTTCCCTAGCGCACACAAGCCCAGCTCTGGCTCGGCGCCCACGGATGTCGAGGTCAAGACGTCGGAGGGCACACAAACCTTCACCACCTCGGCCGCAAAGGCCACCGTCGAATGGACCGGCGACACGCCCATCGTCTCCCTCTACGCCGGCCTGGATGCCACGGGCAAACCTATCCACGCGGACCTGCCGTTCCGCTCGTACGCCGCCGACGGCCCCGGCATCGCCCATTACTCGGTGTACAAGAAGGGCACGCTACACGTCGGCCTCGGCGAGAAGGCGGCGCCCATGGACCTGAGCGGCCGCGGCTTCATCATCTCGGCCAGCGACACCTTCGGGTACGACGCCTACCGCACGGATCCGCTGTACAAGCACATCCCTCTCCTCATCAATGTCACGCCCGAGGGCGCCGTTGGCATCTTCTCCACGGCGCACTCGCGCTCGACGTGGTCCATCGGCTCCGAGCTCGACGGCATGTGGGGTGCTTACAAGGTGCACCGCCAGTCCCACGGCGGCCTCGAGGAGTACCTCGTCGTCGGCAAGACCGTGGCCGAGGTCGTGCACTCGTACGCCGAGCTTGTCGGCTTCCCCCTGCGCGTTCCGAGGTACATGATGGGCTACATCGGCGGCGGTATGAAGTACAGCGCCATGGACACCCCGCGCGCCCACGACGCCATCATGAGCTGGGTCAAGCAGTGCGAGAAGCACGACATCCCCTTCTCGGCCTTCCAGATGAGCTCCGGCTACACCGTCGCCGAGACGGAGCCCAAGACCCGCAACGTCTTTACCTGGAACTACCACCGCTTCCCGGACCCGCGCGCCTTCACCCGCGAGGCCCACTCCCACGGCCTCCGCCTGCTCGCCAACGTCAAGCCGTACGTGCTCGCCACCCACCCGGAGTACAAGAAGCTGTCCGCCGCCGGCGCCTTCTTCAAGGACCCCAACACGGGCAAGACCGCCGTGACGAGGCTCTGGAGCGCCGGCGGAGGCGAGAGCGGCGAGGGAAGCCACCTCGACTTCACCAGCAACGCCGGCTACCAGTGGTGGTACGACGGCGTCGTCGCGCTCAAGAAGGTCGGCATCGACGTCATGTGGAACGACAACAACGAGTACACCGTCCCCGACGACGAGTGGCAGTGCGCCCTCGAGAAGACGGACCTGGTGCCGATCCCCGAGGGCCTCAGCCGCAAGGACGTCGGCATCTGGGGCCGCGCCATCCACACCGAGCTCATGGGCAAGGCCTCCCACGATGCCACCATCGAGGGTAAGCCCGAGGAGCGCCCCTTTGTCCTGACGCGCAGCGCCACGGCCGGCACCATGAGGTACTGCGGTGCCTCGTGGAGTGGTGACAACGTCACCGCCTGGGAGTCCATGAGAGGCGGCAACTCCTTGGCCCTGAACGCCAGTTTCTCTCTTCTTCACGTAAGTCCCGGCACACCTCCCTTTTTCTGTCCCTCGTGATCACGTCACTAACAAGCAGCAGTGCTACGGACATGACATTGGAGGCTTCGAAGGACCCCAGCCCACCCCGGAGCACCTCGTCCGCTGGATCCAGCTCGGCGTGCACTCGCCGCGCTTCGCCATCAACTGCTTCAAGACCAGCGAGGAGGACAACCTCATCGGCGGCGTCATCGAGCCGTGGATGTACCCGACGGCGACGCCCATCATCCGCGCCACCATCAAGCGCCGCTACGAGCTGGTGCCCTACACCTACTCCCAGAACCTGCGCGCCCACCACACCGCCGTGCCGCCGCAGCGCTGGACCGGATGGGGCTACGAGTCCGACCCGGAGGTGTGGACCAAGGAGATCAAGAACGGCGACACGCAGTACTGGTTCGGCGACGCCTTCGTCATCGGCGGCGTGTACGAGCCCGGCGTCGACACGGCCAAGGTCTACCTCCCCAAGAAGGGCGACGGCAGCGACTACGGCTTCCTCAACACCAACGCCCCCTACGAGCACTTCGAGGCCGGCAAGTGGCACACCGTGCTCTCGCCCTGGTACACCTCCATCCCCGTCATCGCGCGCGTCGGCGCCGCCGTGCCGGTCGGCAAGCCCGTCGACACGACCTCCCGCAAGGAGGACGACCCGGAGTTCCCGAACCAGGCCAAGGACGACTGGCGCGGCGTCGAGATCTTCCCGCCGCCCGCGCTGCGCGGCGCCGCCGCCAAGGGCGTCGTGTTCGAGGACGCCTGGTACGAGGACGACGGCATCAGCCGCGAGGTGGCGGCCGAGTTCAAGTTCACGATCCGCTACGAGATCGTCGACGACGCCATCTCCGTCGATGTGAAGGCGGCCGTCACGGAGGGGTCCAAGGAGGGCTGGAGCCCGCTCTGGCTCGACAAGGGCATCGACGTGCTGCTGCCGGTGGGCGAGGAGAGGCGTGTCGTCGCCAAGGCGGGAGAGGCTACCGAGAAGGCTTTGGATGCGAGGGGGCGCAGGACGTGGAACGTCCCCGTATCCCTGTAGCTGAAAAACATCTTGTAATATTGTAACGCACCAAAACTTGGGACTATGTATGAAATGAGACAAGTGTCATGACAACACAATGATGTTCTTCGCCATCTCCACGTTTATAAAGATGAGACGCCTTGATCGACCTCGCGGAGGCACGCCAAACCCAGACTTAGACCAGCAGACCCCAAGGTCCCGTCACAATCAACGCCGCGTTAGGGAGCTTAAACTACACCTTTTCCAGCTTGACGTAACACGACTTCGGTATCGTCGTGAGCCCAGAGTAACTGTCCCAGCTACTGAGCTCCTCGCTGAGCTCCAGGAACTCGAAACTCCAGACCAAAAGGAACAGCACGATCCTCATCTCCAAATACGACAACCTCTTCCCGAAACACGCCCGCGGCCCGTGCCCAAACGTCATGAACGGCCCCGCCTTCGAGTCGAACACCTCGCTCCCGCTCCCCTCCTTCAGCCACCGCTCCGGCACGAAGTCTCCCACGTTCTCCGAGTCCCACGCGTGCGTCCTCTTCAGGATGCTCTTCCCGCTCTCCGACCGCTTCGAATCGTCGACCGGGACCGCGGGACGCAGGACCCCCGGCCCGTGGGACAGGAACATGATGATCGTCCCCTTCGGTATCGCCGCGCCGAGGATCTGGGTGTCGACAAGAGCCTCGCGCGTCATGAGGGGGAGGGCCTTGCAGCAGCGAAGGACCTCTTCGACGACGGCGTCGAGGTACGGGATCGAAGTCTTGATGATCTCGCCGACGGACGGCGGGGCGTCGGCGGAGGGAAAAGCCGCGCGGAGTTCGGCCCGGAGACGGGTTTGCGCGGACTGGTTCCGGGTGAGGAACTTGATACCCCACTGCGTTGCCGCCGACGTTGTGTCGTGCCCAGCGACGAGGTAGCCGAGGAGCTGTAGGGGGGGTTAAGGGTGGTACTTGGTCAGTTTCGCGGCCCTGCGGTGGCAGGAATCGGAACCAAAACTCACCTCGTCTTTGATGGTGCCCGAGTAGTAGTCAGGACTCCTCCCTTCCTTCTCCGCAATCGACCTCTCCCGGATCAGCATCTGGTCCATGGCACATCTTGGCGGCAGCCCGGCCTCGATCCTCTTCACCGCGTTCCCCAGCTCCCGAGTCTCCATGACGGCCCTCTCGACAAGAGCTTCCTTGATCGACTGCTGTCTCAAGATGGACCAGCTTCGCAGACGAGGGAACGCCGACGATAAGAGGGTGCCGGCGGCTTCCCCCATGGCGCTAAGGGCTTTGACCAGGGGATCCGGCTGCGGGTTCTCAAGCTTCACCGGGAGGTTTTGGTCGCCGGACGTGGCAGGCGGCGATGGAATGGACTCAAAGTGCGCGACGTTGCGCGCCGTGATGTTCCTGGCCGGGTCCGGGTTGAACGCGGCAGACAGGATGACATCGAGGGCCACGTTATGGATATCTTTGGCGGCTTCAAAGGGCCGTCCGTTGCTGATCCTGTTCTTCTGCTTCCAGAGCTCGATGAGACGCACCGAGCTGTCATAAATCTCTGGCCCCGACACCTGTTTTTGTTCGGCCCCGCCCCGGCCCTCGGTCAGCAGCTGCGCCCTGCTATGACGGCGACGGCCATTGGCAGCCCCGACAGGGACGCTCTTCTCACCTCGTTCAGGAAGCCCGGCAACATCAGGTCTTTGCCCAGCTCCCGGTTCTTCTTGAGCCGGGGATCACCATCCGCCATCGTGAGACGATGGTTGGGGATCAAACCGGCCAGCATGTCCTTGAGCTTGCTATTCCTCTTGAACTCAGACGTTCGACGCATTGAGATGTCCTGCACCTCGACCGGGTCGGCGCAGAGCACGAGAGGGCGCGTGAAAGGACCGAGGAAGACCTGTACGAGAGGGGTATTGTGACGACGGGGCTGGTCGGCGAGCCACTCACGTCGAGATGCCGCGGAGCCTACTTCCGGAAGGTCGCCCAAGACCCGTTTCGCTGAGCCAACGTTGTAGTGTATTCCCTCGAGGGGCTTTGGAAGCGCCGCGTTGCGCAAGATGTAGAGAAAGAGTAGCACACCGACGATGGCCATCATCCATCTAGGCGGTGCCCGTGACAGGACATCGCGTAGTCTATTTTCCATCTTTTCTTCCATCTCGACAGGTCGACCACAGTAGAAGCAGAGTTAGAGATAGGGCCACGACAAGATTGAGAGGATGCTCGGGGGCTCGGTGTGGATTCCCAGTGCAACTTTATAGAAGCTGTGCCCATTCCGGGTGAGGCGCCAACTCTATGCCCCCATCCTGCCACTCCTTCAGGATCTAGCGGGCTCCTTCAACCGGGAGAAAGTGTGATATAACCGCGAGCTTTTATATATAATGGCCAACGTGCTGCTTTGCCCAATGGGATGGGAGAAAGGTCCGAGGAATGGAAGGAGAAAACCCCCAAGGAATGGGTAAAGTTCCCGACTCTTCCGGCCTGATGGCCCCAATCGCATGCTTCCTTTCAGCTTGGTGTGCGTCAAAAAAGCTTCACTACAGGTACAGTCAGATTTTAGTGAAATGCTTAGCCAAAGACAAGTCGGGAATCACTATCGCCGGAAATGGCTGATTGGTGCAGCGGATTCTGTACCAGCAAACCAATGTGTTTCCACTTCCTCAGTCGACCTCGCTCCGGACGAGGATATCCGTCCACACAATGAAATCGGTAGTCACGGTCAATGGCACTCGGAACCTACGATAAGTGTTCAAGATGGTGTCATTGGTGCTGGCGACAACGTATTCTGCTGAATAATTGACGTGAGCCGACGGACCAATCGAAGTAGCTGATGGCGTTACGCTATAATCCAGACTCTACCAATTCCGGTGTAGCCGGAGGCTACCGAGTTAGGATAGACTTTTACACCTTATCTTATTCCCTATAGGAGGAGGCACGGTGTTCCTCCGGACGTCACTCGTCGAGCTTGGGATTCGTTCGGGTAACGGGCAGCTGCTCCCACGATAGCCTGGGGCACAGGTCCGAGTCTCATCCTATCAGCATACAGTGATTTAGAACTACTGAAGCATGTCACATGAGCGTTTCTCTGTTCAATTTTCATACGTTTATATATCTGTCTATATGTAATATTGTTTTCTCCAGGTCACCCGGTTATATGACGGGCCCTCTCCGTAAGTAAAAACGTAGTGTGCTAAATAGAAATGTGTGAACCCCTTACACCCGTACCCTCGAACTTGACTTCATGCCTGCGCTCTTATCGCGTCCGATCTAGGCCGCAGGGAAGTCGTTTGGCCAGCACTTCTCCTTAGGCCACAGCTTGGCGTCATGGGTGCCAGCGTGAACCTCAAGCTGGGCCTTGTTGGTGTTGACAATCTCCTTGCGACAGTTTTTGCACTGACGTTATGAGTCAGCCTTCGCGGTGTGGGTGACGGCGAAAGCGACGGTGTTGATTCAACTCACGATTGATGTGGGCTTGGGAGGCTTGACAGGGAGACCATTCGGCTTGTGAGGGATGCGAGTGCCGGCCTTTTCGGCGGCCTTGTGCTCGCGCTGGATCTAGAAGAGCGTAGCCTCAGTCGTGCTCCACCGGCAGGGAAAGAAATACACTTACTCTGGCTTTCTTGCTGATGGGCATTTTGACTGTGTATGACACGATGATTGATTGATTGTGGCGGCAGAAGGGAAGATGAAATTTCTTTCTGTGTAGAAATAGCGGAACCCAGCGAATCATATGCCCGAGATGCTATTCTACCCCGTTTGACGAAACAGTTACATCGGTCCGTGCCTATACATCAGAGTCCATTCAAGCCTAGCTCCTCAACGTGGGGTGTTTAATCCAGCAGGTAAAACATAATAGTATGTGCGATGAATAGGCAGGTCAACTCGGATAAGTCCACGGGTCCCATCCGATGTCTGGTATTGTTGCTCCGGAAGTCTAACCTTCTAAAGTGCAATTCGGATGCGTCCCGGTGGGCCGGAACAAGTTGACACCCTCCCCGAGTTTCTCCATCCATGATTGCGCAGACGCCACCTGATAATCCACCGATTCGCTCTGTCAATTGCCCAGTCTGCCGCCCTTTCCATTGCCTTATATGCTTCGGACTTGCCGCAGGTTTGTGTTCTCATTGGCGTCAAAGGCCATTGGGCATGTGCCGTCTCGTCCTAGCCCATGTCCTCATGTATCTTCTGCGGTAGAAAACACTCACCTGTACAATTGGAAGCGCGATGTGATTGCCAGCTTTCATGCTAAACTGGATTTGAAAGTTAACCGTCTCATGAAAGACGAAAGCCCGCGGTCGAAGATCGTGTCCAGCAGCTCGGGGAGCTCTAGCGCTCCCTGAAATCATGCGTCTGGACTCGCGTCATGTCGAGGCCAACTACGTCTTACTGATATACTAGCGCATTCAAGCAAGCCGTTTGGCATTCTTGAGCAGGATCATATGGTCATGACTTTTTTCTGCATCTCTGTCCTGGCTTGATTAAGCCATCCAAGCCTAAATCGGCCAAATACCGAAGTAGGGGGCCGACTTGTTAAGGCAATTTACAGGTAGGACATCTAAATACAGCTCTGTCCATGTTTCGAATCTATCAGTGTATAGTTGTTCAACTTAAAAAGGTGGCCGATTTGAGGCAGAACGAGGCAGACGCGCTGCATAGGGTTAAAAATATCCCGTCCATAGGGATCCAAAGCAAGACTTACTATTAAAGTACTAAAAGAGATGAGAGATATTTCTATACGATTCAATCTCTTCTGTTTATTAGTTAGTTCCTTCTTATCTGCCTTAATCTGTTTTATTTTGAAGCTATAATAATTTAGATACCTATGGATACTATATAGGTGAAACTTGTATAGATATCTATAGATATTCTTAACCTTAGACGCGGAAGACTTAACTGAAGTAGCTTGCCAAACAGCATAACAGGCTGGCAAACCACAAAAGGACGCACACGCTCAATGCATTTGGACAAAGTAAAAGCAAGGATGAGGAAGCCGGGAAGAAAGATAAATGGTGATGGCACAATGCAGGAAACGTGGCATCCCATGAGGTCATGGCCAATTTCCAAAATATTATAGCACCTGCACGAATACATATGGCAACAGATGAGGGATATCTCGAGTTGATGTGCCATGATGGTGAGAATGAGTTTCTAGATAACATAGATTCCTTGACTCTACCCAGTCACATGATTTGTTCACTTCGGTCGAACAAGAAGCGCCTGATTCAACATCAAGGGATAAAAAGGGGGACTTCTAGTTTCCCAAGCTCGACACTATCCGGGGACAAAGAAAGCATATCGGTTACTAGGCCTGTTTCCCTCTGCTATCTCATCTATAATCCAGCCAATGATGACAATACCATTACTTGGTATCGATGCTGGTCTGCCTTGCCCAAAGTGCATTCTCAGAACGAAATAGCCTCAAGGCCCAAGCAAAATTTATAGAGAAGCTCCTCACCAAGTTCTGGCATGCCTACTCGGGGATTCAAGTTGTTCACTCAGGATTGTTAAGGGACATGCAAACTTCGAGGCTACTTATACAAAAAGCGGAAGAGGTACAATACAATAAAACAGACAGGTCCTCTGTGAGTGACAACGAAGAAAAATTATCTAGAAAGGCTACAAGGTGTGTCTAAGGGGAAATTGAATAGATTTTATGCGAGGTAAAAGTCATCGGAGGGAATCTAAGCAACTTAAAGGTCGAACCATAATCGCATATTTGACGGAATCAATTTCGAAGATAGGCTTCAACGGCCAAGGAGAGCCTTCGGCTATTATTAAAGACAACGCAAACTCTTATGCTCAGCATCAAATTGACCACCTCATAGATGGCATGGCCATAACACGCTCAAAAGTCCGAGCTTACATCAATCTTTTACAATGATCCGCTCAAAATCACAACTTTTCTGGATATCATCATCACCTTTCTATTGGGTTCGCACTCTCATATGGCCACTGGTATACGACACAATCGCATTTGCAATATAGTAAACTCGGTTCTTTTTCGCCACATTTGACCCCCCATCATCTTTTTACCATTGTCATCTGCCCCATACGAGGCTTTACTGCAAGACTTGTCACACCTCGGCCGTTGCACATCTAGTTTCCCTTCTTGCCCTTGCCACCATTGCCGCCATTGAGTGCCTATGGTTATATGTCAGAATCTCGCTTCGGGCAGCAGATTGCCAATGGTACTCACAGCCTTCTTGTTATCCTTGTTCACTTGTATACCCTTATCAAACTCACCCTGGAGCTTGTTGAGCGTCTTCTTATCGGACGCAGAGTTGTTGCCCTTCAGACTCTTGGCCTGCTTTTCCTCCTGAGCCTGCGCGCCTTGGACCTGGGAAGCAAAAAATAGTCAGCACCCAGTCTCGCTCGTCCGCCTCCTCCAACGCCAGCTCTCGGAGGCGTTTTTTTTTCCTCACCTTCTTCAGGCCATCGTTGAGGGCTTTGTTGCTCTTATCGGCGTTCTTTTGGTTATTTGCGCGGACTTTCTCTCCCTCCTTGATGGTGCCGACGAGCTGAGACTTGGCGCCCTTGAAGTTGCCGTTAGTTTCGGCCTTCTTCACGGCGCTGGCGTCCTTCTTCTCCTGCTTCTGGATGGAAATGTTCTTGTCAATGCCAGCAGCCTCCTTTTTGGCATTGCTACCGCCACCACCACCGCCGCCCTTGCCGCCGCCGGCTTTCGCTTTCGCCCCGCCGTTCGCCCTTGCGACGACGGCTTCTACCGGCGCTGGCAAAGGCAGAGCAACGGCAAGGGCGAAGAGGAGGAAGAAGGAGAGAATGAGCTGGGAGTACCGCATTGTGAGAGGCTTCTTATTGGCGACGTACTTTGATTAAGAGTAAAGTATGTGAAAATGTGAAGAATATGCTTAAGAAGTGGTGGCTGTGAGGAAAGTCGGCCTGACGAGCAGAATACAACGGGTGTCAACAGTCCGAATATATAGTTGATTGTTCGACTCCATCACTGCATGATCACTTTGTGAAGCTGTCTAATACGGTCAAGTCTGTTTGCTTTCGGCAAGGGGCACTGAAGAGCCCTGCCCCGGCCCGATCGTAATACCCCTCACTCTCTAACCCGTGATGCTTTCGGGGTGTTTCTTGCTCAGGAGGGAATCCGGCCTTTGCCTTTCTGCCCACTGCGACTACAATCCACACATCGCCATGTCTTGTCAGAAGTCCAGTTAGTTGACAAGCGACAAGCTTTTGGGTAGCCCCAAAACGAAGAAAGTTCAGCCGCATCTGTGTTTTAGGCTGAACTTCTGCCTTGCTTCTCACGGCTACGGATTCCATGGGTAGGAGATTATCTAGTTTACATGTATTACCCTAATGGATGCCGAAAACCGAGAAGGTTTCTATCCCGCCAAATCATGGTGCCTTGCCAATAAGCTAACCATGGATCATGAACTTCGCCGGTGGGGTCGATGGTCTCGAACGATTGATGAATGCTTCTCACGAATGGCGTCCATTACGATCGCCCGTGGTCAGGGTGACACGGCCGTGAGTGATATTATGGTCTGGGCCTGGCTTTGGACCTGGCTTTTCCATCTCACACTCAATCTCTCTTGCAAGGTGTATCAAGTCTCCTCGAAGCTTTGCTAGGTTCGGCATGCCCCACGATGCTCGCTCCAAGTCTAATTCTGATTTTCTTTCCTTCTTTTTTTCTACCGTCTGCCTTACGCCCTTCATGAACATGACTCTCCAATCATGGCTCTTCACAATTACACGTCGCCATTGGATATAAACACCGGCCCTGTGGGTAGATATTGGACGCAGCCACGGTTCATCTGCCAATCAATTCAATAACCTCACAACCCTGAAGACATCGTGTGTGGTTACTCAATAATGCCAGTCAAGACGCCAAGACGCCAAGATATGTCAGACTGATCCTCCTGTCGCTGTTTGACGTGAACCTGCTTGTATCAGACGCGACCAAACGAAGAAACAAACATGGCTGGATAAAATTCGAGGCCACACCAACTATCAAGCGGATCGACAAACATCCCTCAGTCGAAAGTAAACCGAAGATGGCACGCTTGATCTCCACAATTCAAAAGCATCTTACCCGGAACACCCGGCAAAGTTGGAAAATACAGAACCTGGGCACAGGGAAGCCTGGTGGTCTGGAACTGAGTAACCAGAACCTTGTCGTCTCAGATTCGCCCGCGATTTGATTGACCAACTGGGAAGAACTTTGCACGTAAGGGTCATCTAGGCAAAATGTGTCTCTTCTGCTATTCATCAAATTGTAGACATGACACAAGGTTTGGGTCAGGCGTCTCCGGACAAGGTACCAGTAGACCATATAGTCCCAAAGTGAGGCTCAACAGTTCTATTGCAGGAAGTAGGCTTGTCCGATGTATGAAAGCCTGCTAATGCGCTACTCGGTGGTCTGTCCGCCCTGCCCTATTGGACAAGGACCCGGTCTTAGTCTCTTCCCCGTCTTATTGCTATCCTCGCGGCGGATGGAAGTAAAAGAAAGTTGAAACTCAGACGGCATGATTCGCTTTAAACTCTCGACTAGTGCTGCGAATTCTAGGCTTGCCTTCCATTATTGTTCCAGCCATGTAGACAGGATCGAGATTCTTGTGGTGCATACCGCACATCGAATCTCGGCGAATGGGGTGATCAGGCGGGGAATGCCCGAGGTTCAAGTCTTTGGTAAACTTCGGTTGGGTGGGATCTCCCCCAGGGTCGCACATGTGTCTGTTATCGTCTGAAGATTGCTCCTTCGGGAGATTTACCGGAAGATCTTCGTCGTCCAAAGAGCACCGCCAAGAAGTCCGTCGCAACTGTAGGCAGCTGCCAGTGAGCCGCCATCTAAGACAATGGGCGAACGGCCTCCGAGCGGGCGTCTCCGTATCGACTGACACATTCCAATGCATTTTTTTTCGACGTAATATTTCGGGAATGAAGTGCTTCATCGGTTAAGGATACGGGTCCTCCGTTTCCCCTTAACACAGGTCTGGCCGTGAGGAGGTCAGCCTTCTTGTCAGTCCTAGCATGTTTCAAGCTCGTATCCAAGACTGAGGGCATCCCTGGCACAAGCTAGAGCCTATCAACAACATCGAATCTCATGGTTCTAGCGTATCCAGCTAGTTTTCGCGCCTGTCTAGTTTGCTATGTAATGCTCAACGTCGTGAGTGTCGAGGATGCTGGTAGCCGACGAGGCTTAAACGAAGATCAGCACTACCAATTTCGGCGTGACGCGCGCTCGGAAACAGTGCAGGAAAAGGCAAAACGGACAAGGTTATGAGCCCATAGCTGAGACGGACCAGGCCAGTCAAAGTCAATGTCGCGCGCATAGAACCTCTCGTGGCAGGATAATGCCAGACGTCGATGCCAACAAAGACCGTACAATGAGGACAATGCAACCAATCAAGAAAAGCACATCACGAATGCCGTGGTACATAGTATAAACAATATGGCTAGCGTTTCGACGCAAGGCACGTACCATTCCCAGCATTGATGCCACACCGACTATTCCCTGGAATGTAGGGGGAAGATTGCGGACCGTTGCTGGGGATGGTCCGACCCTTATTCGTCAGTTCCTGGGGCGCCACTATGTCGTTGGGGTGCGGCCAGACACTCCAAGGCGGTCATTCTCTTTAGCCGGTTGCCTGGAGGAGCTGGTGGGCAAATGACTCACGGTAGGCATTAATACGAGAACTGGGACCTAATGACCGACTTGGAATGATGTAATTACCAGATACCAGGGATAGTTACATTGGCATGGAGTTGAGATACGAGAACAATGGGAAGAGTCACCTATCGTGTAGATTCTGCTGCCTACAGACTGCTGATGATACGGACCAGCCGTGGGAGACCCCAGGTTGTCACTACATTTCTAGAAGTGAAGCTAGTAGGCGTAACAACTTTGATACGCAGGTTCAACGCCAGCTTCTTTCATCAAAGCAGGCACCACATCAGAGACGACGCATTTCCAATTTGGTTATGCATAAACAGAACGCTAGCCCAAGGGCATCTTAAATTTCATCATAAGGGACGTCATATCGTAATCATCTGGAAGGGGGGGTACTAGTATACAATAGCAGGTCGAACTTCAAGCATGGCCAGACGCTCTCAAACCAGACTCGGCGCTGTACCAGACCACAATGCTGTCGTGGAAACGAATAAAAAAAAGCAAAAGAAAAGCAACGCGAAGGGGGAGGCAATGCTGCTGTCGGACCATCCGTGTACGCCTCCGCTGCGCCGAATTAAAATAAAGAAGGGAACACAAAAACTCTCAAAGGAGAAAAGAATGCCAAACAAACTTTGCTCTTCGCCCAGAATTATCCCCTTTCAGACTCAAACCTGCTGAGGCTTGTCGACGCACGCCGGCCTGTATCCCTTGTCGACTGAGACGAAGGCGGACTTGACCTGGGTCAGGGCGGGCTTCTCCTTCTCCTCGTTGCTGTCCTCGTCGGCCTTGCGGTTGGCGTTGCCGGCGATGACCTCCATCTTCTCGCGGAACGAGTCGTCGTAGTGCGAGAAGACGGACGACGGGCGGTGGCTGTCGAGGGACGACCGGCCAGTGGTTATGCCCCCGTACGAGGAGAACGTGTCGGCGATGGACGCCGGCCGGCTCCGGGTCGAGTTGGACCGGGTGAGAGGCGGCAGCTGCTGCTGCTGCTGCTTGCTCTCGAACTTGGCCAGCTTGTCGGCCACGCTCCCCCGCACCGTCTTAAGCACGGTGAGGTCGCTGCTGATGGTCGAGTTCTTCTTGCCCTGCTCGAGCTCCCGGATCCAGCTGAGGCGGTCCGTCGCGAGGCGCGCCGATGTCTGCCGGTCGACGGCATTGCGCCACGGTGCGGATGCGGAGGGCGGTCCGGAGGGCGTCGACACGCCCGATGACGGAGCCTGCTGCCAGGACCGTCTCCGATCCGTTCGGTTGCTGCCTACAGACAGGGAGCCCGGCGTCGTCGAAGGCGTCGAGAAGCGCTTGTCCGCCTCGGCAACGGCGGCGACAACCTGTTGGCGGTATCTGGCGATGGGTTCCGCCGCGGCAACGGGGCCGGCACTCGAGGGTGCATAGGCGGCGCGCGGCGGATCGCGGAGCTGCAGCTTGCCGGGCTGTCTCGCGTCCGAGGTTGTGAGCACCCGAGTGCGGATGGGCGCAGACGCGCGCGGGGCCATCGGGGGCGGCCAGGGTTTCGCTGGTTGCGGTTCAGCATGGTCGGAGCTGATGATCTTCACGGTGACGACGGGACCCGAGGCGTTTGTCGAGCGAGAGGGGGCATGGCCGGGGCGGCGTCCGTCGGCGGCGGCAGCAGGCCTGCCGGCTTTGTTTGCAGAGGATGCGTTGGTTGACGGCGAAGCCTTGTTGAGCGAAGGTTTGGCGGCCGAAGACTTGGCGAGCGAAGACTTCTTGTCGTCCGAGGAGTTGGCGAGCGAGGAATTGGCGAGGGGAGACTTGGCCTGCGAGGAGGGCTTCGTGCGCGGGGACGCGTTGCCCGACGTGGGCTCGAGGATGGACGATCTCTTGGAGAACATGTCGGCAATGGGCGTCGTCGACGACGCCGTCGTGGGAGGCTTCTGCTTCTGCGCACTCTTGTCGGGCCGCGTCCGCGTCTGTTGCGGCTGGGGCACGTTGCGGAAGGCTTCCAGAGCCTGTAGGTCGATGTCGAGGGTCGAGGTCCCAAAGTCCTGCACCTGGACTCGCGGGAAGCCAGACTTGATGCTATCGTCGATCGATGGCCTCTCGTCCTGGTGCTCGCCGAGTGTCGACATGGTCTTCTTCCTCGACAGCCCGTGTCTGAGACGCACAAAGCCCGACAGCTTCTCCCTGACGGAGGGAAGCCGCCGCAGGCCGGCCCAGTCGACGCTGTCGCGTTTGGTCGACATTGTGTGCCTACTGCTCTTGGTCTTCTTTTCTTTTCTCCTTCTTCTGCTTGCTGTGCTTCTTCTTCTTCTTCTTCTTCTGCTGCTTCTTCTTCGTCTCCTGCGTCTCGTCTGGTGGTTTGGTTGTCAAGCTTCAAGCCCGGCCATGGGATCCGCGTTGGAAAGGGAAAGCATAGTGGGGGATCACGTGAAGTAAACAAAATTGGCCCGGAGATCGCATTGACGCAGGGGCCGAGACGGATATTACCTTGTCAAAACAACGTCGACGCCGAAAAGGGGGGGATGCTGGCTGCATTCCAGGGCCTATTATTGGCTTCCACGATGCAACATGTGTCCCCGGCAGCTGGTGCCACCGGTCATTCAAGCCCCCTTGATGATGACTGAGACGTTGTGTCCCTCGATAAGGGGCAAAAGCTGCCACGTTGCACGGGGATCATGCCGGTTTCCCAAGATGTGTACGATGTACGATGTAAGAACACACAACCCGGCCATTAGGCATTTCGATACCGTCACCAAATAGTAGTGCCCTGAAGTATGCGATGGGTGGCTGCCCTATATCTGGCGTCGCTATTGTCCGCCTCGCCCTGTCCGCCCTGCTGGTTCAGCCTTTTGTTCTGCCCCCCCCCCCCTCACTCCGTTTCCAACGATCTTCTTTAGCGCTTCGGGTGAGGCGCAGTTGCGATTCAAGCAACAATGAACTCAATACCAGATCCGGGCTCTGTTCTGCGTCCTGGTTTTGCCGCGGGTAACGCCTCTTACCTCAGAGGCTCAGACTCGTGTTCTCTCGCATGGTCCGGTTAGATCGGCGGCCGTTCCATCACCTCTAGTTTCGAAAGAGTTCGGTTCGTGCCACTCGACGGCCCCGAGGGGGCAGAGGAGGGGCTATGTGTGCACCATAACAGTGTCGCACGAACGACCCGCGGCTACTACGTAGGCGGAGATGGCTTCGGCCGTTGCAACGGCTCTTCATCTGCACGTGGTTCCGTGTAACCTGGTAACCAGATCTCCGTCACCACCCCCACACAAGCGCCTCTGGGCACGGTCCGAAGCGTAGACTACTGGGTATAGTAGTGCTGTTGATGTTACTAAACATGGATACTGGATGGAACCGTTGGGGGGGCTCGGCACACAGGTTGTCCGGCTCCGGCCACGACCCCTTCTCCGGGTCTTTCGTCTCATCTTGGTTTTCTTCTTCTCTTTCTTCTTTTTTCCCCCCAGGGGGTTTCTTTTTTTGCCACTTATTTTGGCCCCGGTCTTTCCTCTTCTCTCTTCCCTCTCCCCTACCTATCTATGAAGAGGAAATAGGCTTCTTGGACATGGTTTGCCTAAAGACCTCGAAAGCGACTTCTGGCTGATACGCCGGTATCTCATGGCCGGCCTCGTATACCCTCAGCCAGCTCAAATTCTTGACGGTCTTGTACTCTCCCCGTTTTTTGCCATTGAGATTAAAGTCTTTCATCTCCGCCTTTTCGAACTCTTCGCCTCCGATCTTCTTGACCACGTTGTAGTTCCCCACGTAGTTGCAGATCCAATCTGTCAACAAGGGTCAGGACAGTTTGCCGAGGGGGAGGGGGATGCCTGTCGCATGCGGGCTCACCTGAATCGCCGGCCCAGATGAGAACCTGGACGCCCGTCTTGGTCACGTCCTGAAGCATGGTGAGGAACGATCTCTGGCCTGCATGCCATGTCAGCTTCCCGTGCATCTTGTCTGATGCAGTCAGCATGGCCTCACCGTCTCCCGTGGAAGCAAATCTATCATAAGGCGCGTCCGCGCACTCTTGATACTGCGATGTCACACCGATGGCTTTCCGAACCTCGGGCTTCTGCAGATACTGGACGTACGCGTCGGACGGGAAGTTACCCTCGGCAGCCCTGACGTCGTACACGTTGAAGGTCTTGGCGGATTCAATCGGGGCTTCCACGGCATTGTAGCACGCGTTCTCGGCCGCCATGCAGGCCTCGTTCTGGCCCTGAATCTTGGTGCACTTGTTCAGGGCCGGTTCGCAGTCTTTTTCGTAGGCCTTGAGAAGCTCGTTATACTTGCGTTGGTCGATGAGCTTATTGTACGTGTTGTTGACCGCGTAGTCGAGATAATCGCGGTACTGCGTGGCTAGATCACCATCGTCAGCACTTCCATCTCGGCCCATCTCTATCGGTCACAGGGCGTCGACGTGCCTGCATCAATCCAGCCGTTGTTTATACCAAGGGCAACCAGCTTGATCTTGTCGCCCTTGACCGACCCTTGATCAATCTTCGCATTCTGGTCCTCAAAGTAGGCGGCAAAATCCGGGCCGTAGTGGCCGCCGTACGACTCGGTGAACAGACCGAAATCTCGGTTCTTGTATTCCGGGAACTTGCTGTAGAAGGATTGCATCAACCCCCAGACCTGAGGCGCGGCCTTGACCGTGCTCGTGGTGTTGTCCGAGCCGTAGCTGAAACCGGCCCCGATCGGCTGGTCGACATAGAGCTTTGACGGATTATCAGCACGGAAAACGATACAATGACATGAGATCAAATGAACGAGGGCGGCCGCATCCGGTTCTACAAGCTCGTGTGACTGGAGCCGCAACTCACCATGTTGGCGAAATTGTTCCATGAGTTGGGATTCAGCGTCGGTTCCGCTCCGCCGCCCTTGTTGAATGTACACGGCCCGTTTTCCTGGAAGAGGCCGAGCATAGAGCTACACCCGGGTCCGCCGCTCAACCACAAGGCGAGTGGCGCCGTGCTGGCGTTGTTTCGAGCTTCGAAGAACCAGAAGAACGTGTGCTGGTCGGTCCCTACAGCCACTGGTCAAAACCCAAGCTCATATCGCTCATTCATCGCAGGTGTCTCCCGGAAACATTTGACCTACCGACGTCAAAGTAGCCCGAGTACTGCTTCACCCCCTTGGTCGTCTCGCAGATACCCGAGTTCTGGACAAACCTCGTCCTCGAGTTCGTGGCCGCGTGCTCAAAGACGCTGAAGTTGGTTCCCGCCTCCGACATGAGGCTGTACGACCTGTCGGCCGCATAGGTCTTGGGCATCGCAAGCCCTATAGCTACACCTGCCAACCATAAGGCACCTGAGAGAATAGGAGAAATATGCTTCATCTTAGCACAAGAACAGCAACAAACTAGTTGAGAGCCGAAAATGAAAAGCCCCAGTTGGGAGGAGGACGAGGTATTAAGAGCTCCCCTCCGAGATGCGGTAGTTGGTGGCAGAAGGTCGTTGTTTGAAACCGTCTCATGGGTGAACATTAAGTCTAATGAATGAGCAACGCGGCGACCCTGACGCGGCAGTCGGCACCGGCCCATCCCGTCCACGAGGGGCTTGTTTCAATTATCTTGCCGAGCGACATCACTCTCGACTGTGTAGCATCTCTGCGAACAATGAATTCCGCGATGTGGAAGATTACGTCTCCCTGATGCCGTCAATCAGATGCAAAGTGGCAATTGCCCATGACGACTCCGGCACGACGATCCCGCCTTTCAGCAGCGCTAACCGATGGGGTGTGTTGTCAGGATCCAGCAGGCTAAGCGGATGCTTCCCCGGATGAAGGATCCGTTGAACAGCATCTCGTGAACCTCTGCCCCGTGGCAACGAACAGCAGCGTCCTCTTCGGGTATAGCCTGCAGAGGACGTGCGGCCGCCCGCAGGCAATCTCGGTCAAAGAACCCTTGGGTTCGTGGTGTTGTTTCGTCTGAGCGTATCGTCCGATCAACCAGAAACGAGAATAAGGTTATCAATTGTTTCGTTTGCGAAGGCGGGGCAAACCGCTTCCACGTTGTTGCCTCGTCATCAGCGAAGGAACTCGTTGAAGGGCCAGACTGAAGAGCTGGCAGTAAGGAACATGGCCATGACTACAAGTGAGGTTAAACTCGAGCTGCCAGTCAAAAATGTGAGATTAGACACTGCAGAAACAGATCCATAGAGAGCGTATAGCCTTTGGCGACAATCGATGATCCTGATAGCTTATTCTGTCTAATGCTTGGCTCCCTTGAGCCAACCAACGTTCGGTCCTCAGTATTCAATAGCCACATTGGAAACGCTGGCACGGAGAAGCGCGGAACACTCCAAGACACCGCCAAAGTTAACCTTCGCTCCCTCCAATCTGACATTTGGGATCGCGCTCGGTGATAGATGTCCTGCAGCAGAGATTTTTGACGCTCTAGAAGGGCTCTATGGGTAGCGCAATAGAACAACCTCTGCCGCAGAGGCGGCAACTTTAGTTTCAAAATGCCACGTTTCGTTCAACGTCACGAACGCGTGGCTATTATCTTGGCAATTGTATAGTACACCTTTATTAATTATTCTTCATAGTGCTCCACCTGTGGGAGAAGAGGGAAGACAAGCTATCCTCCGTTTATGTACAGGTATTATTAGGGGTATATTCAAGGAGAGCCTGGTTTCGTTGGCTCATGGAAGTGTCGTAAGTGTTTGGACTCTCCTCCTAAACTTTGGATGGTTTTTCCTGAATCGTACGGTCCGTTTGACTCTTCGCGATGCTGTTCCTTTCGCTGTCGCTGTCGCTCACCACACCGTGGTTCTCCAATTCGGTGATCTTTGCCGTTTGCTCGCCTCGCCAATCTAGATTTTTTGTTAGCTGGCAATACAAATGTGGCAGCTTTTGTGGTAGAATGAAACTTACGTCTTGACTTCCAGGCCGGTACACCGGCTGCGAACATCTCGTCGATCTCTTCCAGCGACTTGTTGGACATCTCTGGCATGAAGAACCAACCCCACACCAAGCCCAAGGCTGAGATGGAGCCATAGATCAGACCAACTCTAGATCCGAGGTTGGCAGGCTCCTGAAGCAAGTACGGCAAAGTGAAAGACGAGAGGAAGTTGCACAAGTTGGCGGTCAGCCAGAAAAGCATGACAGACTTGTCTCGGAGAGTGATGTGCGGGATCTCGGTTTTGGTCAATTGTAGGCTGCATCTCATGTTAGTCGTGCCCAACCTCTCAATATCGTATAAGACAGCTCCGGGGGGTGGGGGGGAACTTACGGGCCGCCAAAGGAAACAAAATGGAAAACCGGGTACACCATAGTCATGGCGACGATGCCCTTGTTAATGTCCAGCGTAGGACGCGCGATGGTTCCCAGCCCGCCCATCACCATCAGAACCGCCGTCTGCATGAAACCCATGTACAGAAAGAGCGGACGCCGGCCGGCCTTGTCAATGATGAACATGAAGATGATCGCTGTTGCGAGCAACATGGCTCTCTTGACCATGGTCGCCATAAAGGGGTCGATGACCTTCAAGCTCTTCAAGAAGATTGTGCCGTACAGGTTTGAGAATGACGCTCCGGAGAGTTGGGACAGAGCAGAAGCGATCAATCCGTTGCCGGTTCGGCGCTGAGCACAAAGGCTGCGTTAGTAACCAGTTTCTATTTCAAAGAAGAAAAGAAGAAAAAAAAGGAAAAGGGCTTCCAGTGGCAACCTACCAAGTTGGGTCCTTTGGTCAAATCTTTCCATTTCCCCGTTATCTCGCTAGTGTCCAGAGCTTCCTGCAGAAGCTTTGCTTCCTTCTCAGCATCGTAGTTCGGCATGGCTCCGTATATATAGTCCAGGTTCTTGACTGCTTTTGCGTATTTCCCTTTCCGTAGCAACCATCGGGGAGATTCGGGGATGAGCGCCCAGAAGAACAGAGAAAACGCCGGGAAAATGAGGCCGATGCCGACGGGAATCTTCCAGCACCTGTCGTCCTGATACTTGCTCGTAACGTCCGTGACTACAGACGCGATGAAGGATGCGAACACGCCGTTGACGCCGTAGATCGCCGTGAGCGAGCCGCGGACCGGGGCGGGAGCGATCTCGGCCTGGAACATGGGGATTAAGAAGGCCTCCATGCCCACGTGAAAGTTGACAATCATTCGACCGGCGAGGAGCTGACTGTAGTTCTTTGCCGTGTATACGGTGATGGTTCCGGCCAAGCAGACAATGTTGGTCAGGACGAAGACCAGCCTTCGACCCCAGCGCTCGCCGATCTGGGCACCAACAATCACGCCCACCGCGTAGATCAGCAGAGGGAACGAATTCATGTAGGCCAGCTTGTTGGAGGTGAATCCATAGTCATGCTTCTCGGGCAGGTAGTCACCGAATCTCCTTTCGAATGCTTTTCCCCAACAATGTCAACATCGAGCGAGCCACTGGAGCATTCAAGGGGTACTCACGCGTCATGGCCTGGATGGTGTTGAGTGTTGAACCTTCATATCCGAAAGTGAAGACACTCATGCCGAATATCAAGGTGACCATCAGCAGGTTCGATGTGATGTGTGTCGTCACCTTGTAGTTATGTGTGCGGAGGAATTCGAGCATGATGGGCAGGTGTTTTGATGAGACGTCTGAAAGAAGATATTCGCAAGATCAACTTACTTCTTTCCCCTTGTCTTGGCGTCGTCTGTCTCTGTTCCTCGTCGCAAGAAACCAAAGACAACCGACCGCACAACAGGCTGGGCCTTCAATCTCTTTTATGAGAGCCTTGCCCTGGTGCTACGGGATGCGAAAGGTTATGTCTGGACAAGGCGGCTTGGGCCCAGGGTTCACGGACAACGAGGAAACCCAACCCAAACCCTCAGACCCCGGATTGGCGATTCTTCGGCCGGTTGTTGGAGTTTTACCACGTCCCGACGTATTTCTTCGGGGCAAGTCGGCATCTCTCTGGCGCTCTGTCCTTCAAGGATGTTCTACAAATCGTTTCAATCCAGGCCGTCACCCTGATCATGAAGCATACAGCATCCCGAATCCCAGGTCCACCTCGCGGTCAAAAGACACTGTGCATCCCCAACGTCGTCGAATAAAATATGGGATGTGCCGATCAATATCATTGTACGATGTGCCAGAATTCTCCCACGGCGTTTCGTCAACACTGGTGACCCTGGCCTGCCGCTTGAGGCGCGAGGCGCGAGCTCTGTAATAGCCCGGCACAAGGAGCCCCGTCTTCCTTGATCCCCGTCTTCCTTGATCCCTCCCGGTTATACCGCGTGATTCGAAGATTCCATTGGTGTTCTCCATGCAGATGTGTATTCACGGGACTGGGCCGGATGTACTATACATCGTGCCTCCACCACTTGGCTACGACTATTGGCTGCGTGTGGAGGGTACATGAGCATCGTCCGAAATGTTTACTTTCGAGTAATGCCGAGTGACCCCCCCACTCTGTGAGAACCAAGTTGATCCACCGGCCGAACAAGATTCCTATTCAGCCTGACTGAGATGGCTCATTCGCATGCAAGCCAAACCGCGGATCCGGTGGCGCCTAGCCTTCAATCAGCTAGGACTATTCTTATTCGGCGTGTTGATGACGACAAAACGAGTGGAATTAGTAAGACGCTCACTTCATAACCACGGAAACTCTATTACCAGCGAGGGTGGCCAAAACCTTCCCAACAGATATAGGATGGACTCGGCCCCGTTGGAGATTCATGCCGATGATGGCATTGCAGAAAGAATGCTACTCGGACCAGATCAGGCATCCCCCGCTTCTACCCTAGCTCTTTTGTCAACACGTTCTTTGAAATGTGTGCTCCCGCATAGCAACCCGGGAGGTTGAACCCCGCACTCAAGAGCCTCAATCTCAACTACCGATGTAACCTGACACCGAACCCGTATGATTGGCATGCCCAGGCTTTACACACCAGAGGAGCGGCTGTGCAAAAGAAAAGGAGCGATCCCCGTCAATAAGTGCTGATTTGCCGTTGCACCGGGCGATCTCTAAAATCTCCCCTTGGCCAGTCGTGCGAGCCACACCGATGATGCCCCGCATAGAGGAAAACACTCTGCCCTCCACCACATTACAGCCTTGTTTTGCTAATGCTGAACCTTGACAACATCCATGGCATAGATCTCGGAAATATAGCTTGTAAGTTTCGGCTGGTCAATCGTCTGTGGCGGATAAAGCCTTGACCTTTGCCCCCCAAAGGCGGGATGTGGCGCTTTGGCCGACAGCGAAACGTCTATGCGTTTCGGCATCGAGGAGGGGAATAACTGGATTCGGGGAGCAAGTAAACTCCGCCTGATGGTTCTCTCATTGGCTAATAAGTCCTGTTCCTAGCTCGCAAGTTAGCACGATTCGGGAGACCTCAGAGAGGCCAGCGAGCATCCCCCTCAGAAGCTTAAAAAATTGTAATTTGTCGATGAACGAGACGGCGTGTCAGAGCAAGCCACATGAGCTGATCATTGGCCGCCCAGACCGCATTACATACTGTGCTTTCGATATTGCCATTTGCTGGAATTGGAATCTACTTTGAAGGGACGTGGAAGATGGGTGAGGGCCCTAGGTCTTTTCTCGCGGGAGGCAGATCAGAATTCTGCAACACTCCAGCAATCCAGACCCAGGAAGTCCGACAAACAGGCCTCTATACTCACTCCCGTGAGACACTGCTAACGCTGTCCCTACAATCGGAATAGTCCAAATGTCATACGATGCAATCGGCTCGCTTCGGTACGGAGTAGAAGCTCTTCGGTGTACAGCAGCTCGCCGACGCAGGCTCAAACACCGCACCTCAGACGAATTCTGTACGCCCACTCGGAACCTCAAGAGAGTTTGCTTCGAAGCTCCATCATTGCGGTCAGACGTGCGATGTGCCGGGCACTAGGAAACATTACCCGCCTTTCCCGCCCCCGCGCCAGGTGAAACTTGACCCCGAAGAGGACGGACAGTGGCACTAAAACGTCAAGGATTCTTCACGTAGTGCCACTGGCGCCAACGTTGAAGTGAGGATTGGCCACTCCACCAGCAGGGATATGCCCAGCACCCTCAGGGGTAGAGCGGGATCATCACTCCGCGATGTCGGATTGCGAGATTCGATCGAACCGGGCGTAGGGAGTTTAACGATGCTGCATCAGTGTTCGCAAGCAGTTCCCATCGGTGCATCTCTACGGCCTTGTTGGAAGCTGCGGATGGCATGTTCTCAATGCGCTTCTGCTTCTGCCAGTGAAAGTCTCGGCCGGGTGTGCTCAGATATGCCGACAGAGAATGAAGTGGCACACCAGCACAATTGCTTACAACCAATTACCTTATGATGTATGGTGCACCAACACGACCGGCGTGGGTTGCGATGTTTGGAGTCAAGCTTCAGCAGGGAAGAACGCACACGCACCGTGTCATCCCGCTGCCAAGCAAAACGTTGTGGGGGGGCCAGATCTGTCATGATGTGGCAGCAAGGTGCACATCCCGCAGTCTTGGCGAAATGGAATACTCGATCAACGCTCATCGTGGTTGATAGATCTACGACGCTCTCAATAGTTGGGGTCACTCAAGTCTTCCGAGCCTTGACATCCTTGGTCCAGGGAGAATCAAACATTGAACGTGTGAACGGCAAAGAGGAAACCGGCGAGGCAGCCCTGCAGTTGATCCGGCCAGCCAGCATACCCGTATATCCGTATATCAAAGTTTTCGCGTTCCGCGCCAGATGCTCCCAGCACGCATAATAACCCGGGGAGCCAATAGTCATTGTCACCATCATGTTTCTGTACCAGCATTTAATAATCTAGCAATTATATAGGTGGGCGTTCAAGGCCTTCCCTGCTGGTTGATAACGACACTTTACCAGCCAGACTTAGGCTATACAATTATCATGAGATGACAGAGGCTGGAGCAATCGGGTCTTTTGGCCTCTTACTATCCAGTGTAACACGATGCCAGTCATATGGGATGAAAATGCTACAATTGGTGTTGAGCGTTGTACTGGCCGCCATCAGACGACTTCTGCCCCAATGACTCGCACGTTCAATGCGAGGCTGCGATATTGGACCATCTTCCTCCCGCGAGGCGAGGTATGCAGACCGAAATGTCCATGGGAAACCCCAGAAAGGGTAATACAATGGGAATATGACGGCACGGGTTCCTGCACTTGAGCCAACCGAGAAGTGCCGTGTGTGTGTGTGCGCGCGCGCATGGTCTCATCCGAAGTGTGATACGCGAAGGACATGTGAGCCCAGATGGGATTTTTGACGTCACTCGCTGTGGTAAAACGGAAAGCTGGCTCCGATCAATCGGCCGGATGTCTTGTTGAGACTGGAACGAGTGAGGCCGAGTATTGGATGGGCTGCTGCACTAGGTAGAGAGTTCCGATTCGCCAGCACATCTCTCATGCAGCTTCGCTGTACTGTAACTTAGTCGTATCCTGCCCCCCCGCCAACGCAAGCCAAGGTCAGTTTCCCTTCTGGCCTGGCCTTGAGACTTCTTGCGATGAGTTTTGCGGCTACAGCATTGCGCTTTGCTTGCTCGGCTTGATGACCGCACCATGAGGAGTTTTGTGGGTATGTAACGACTATGTTTCGAGACATTCACACATGTTCGAGACAAAAGCTGCTCTCAGCACTTCCAATTCCAGTCCCGGCCGACTTTGATCACAAATCCATTGGTCAGACCCCAAAACAACGCAATTGCCAGTAAACAAGAGGCGTATGGTCTCACAAAAACGGGTACGTCGGCCATGGTAAGCAGGTCTGGGGGTGTGTCAAACAACCCCCAACGTTAGAAAGCCAATCTTCAACAACAAAGAAGCCCGAATGCTTCGGTTTCAAACTTCAGCGTTTCGGAACTCGACGGGGAACCCTCCACATTCTATACCGTGGTTTTGTCATTCCCTATCCCGACTGTACTCGATTCATATTATTTCTTGTCAGCTACGACATTGCTTGTGCTTGGTTATTTCCCTCTTGCACGTACAGTTATTCGAGAACGCGCCCAAACTCCAGGTATAGCCACCGGGATATTGTGATAAACGTCGGTGCATTGACCCATTCTCTAACTCTCTGATTCTCGTTCTTCTTTAATTTCACTATGGTCTAAAACTTCCCATTGCTATGCAACTCAAGTCCCTACAGCATTATTTCGTACGGTGCTGTTCCGGACGTTGCCACTAATACTCCGAATTCAAGGCCATATTATCTTTGTTCAATGATTCCAGCTCTAATTCCAAATTCCAGGTTCTCAGTGTGCAAAAAGTAACAGATTTGACAAAATGAGATAAACCAGGCTGAGGTTTGAAGTTTGTCCGATATGCACGATGCCATGCGTGTCCCTCGCGGCAGCGGCAAGCACGAAATACTGACACCACAGGCTGAGAAGACAGCTCAGTATAAGTGCGCCCAAAAAGAAAGCCTCCCTCACGGTCTGTGTTTCGGCAGCTCGCCTTCTCCCCGCTGCCTCGTGATCGGCACTCTCATGGTGTGGTAGCTGGGTGGCAGTTACGAAGACGTTGGTGACAACGCCAACGATGCTGCCGATGATGACAATGCCGGTGATCGTGGCGAAGAGTATGTAGACGTCCCTGACTTCCCGCTGTTGTCTGGTATCTGTATTGGTGTGGGTGGCAAATATCTGCTTCGCAATGCCGATACCGCCGCAAAACATCATGACATGGCCTGGCGAAAAGGCGATAATTCCCAGAAACAAGCTCCACAACCCTCCCGCTGCAGTTTGCTCCTTCTTCGGGGCTTCCGTGCTTGCTTCTACGGATGTCGAAGGCGTTTCTACTCTGTGGATCCCGGGGATATTGCTGGTGATTTGTTCCAGAATGCTGGTCTTCTCTGATACCGAAACAACACTGCTCCCCGATGATGTCGATCGAGTGAGTTCCGCCGAAGGTTGCGGAGTAACCTTGTAATTGTTGGTCATTTCTGTGAAGTCCTCGGCTCTTGTCTCTTCATCCTCATCACCCTGTTTTTCTGGTTCTTTGTGATCCGTAGGGTTCTTCTCTGATATAACCAAGAGCCCGATTGATCGGATGATCACCACAGCCACAACGTGCCCAATGGCAATGAGCTTGAGGTTCCGGTCCTTCAGTTGAGGTACTCTGACAATTGCTGTCAGTACCAGAAAGAGCATGTCCACTATGCCGCCAGTATACACGAATGCCTTGTATTTAATAGCTCGATTGGGATTGAGGGGAGCCTTGCCGTTGATCAGGCAGACCCAAATCCAGATTCCGATGACATTGCTTATCCAAGCAACTGTGCCGTAAGGGAGGAAAAAGTGCTGCAAGTCTCCGGCGACTGAAAACGTGTCACCCAGCGTCACGTTGCAGCTGGAATGCCCCTTTCTGTCGTTAATGCAAATAGATTGATACTTGTCCGTGTTGCACAGGGTGACCAGTGAGCCCAGGTAATCAACGGAAGAGCACTCCTCCATTGCAAACTTTGGTTTTAAAGAAGGCAGTCAAAACAGCTTAGGTGTAATAATTGTCTCAGCGCCATGATTTAGAAAAGGCTGGGTTATGATGGGTCCAGGAGCCTATATAGTCCTACAGCAATACTCCGTACTGCGGCTCTGCAATATATCAATTAACGCCCAGTCGCCCGATAGACGAGGAGTGGCGACACTGAGGCAGAATTCGACGTTTCCGGTGTTCCCAATCCTGCAGGATTGAGGCAACAGCCAATAATCAAGGGTGTCTGTTGGCTCGGCTGCGTTGAGATCGACAACAATAAGGATCAACAGCCAATCACGCACTACCAGCGAAGCCAATGAGACACAAATGGATGGTTTTTATGAAATGAGTCCATCACTAGCATGCGCCACAACGGTCTGGGTGCACAGCTGAGCTTTGTCCTGGGTGAGGCACCCTCTCGCAGAATATATTACCATGGCTTCTGGCCCCCTCACTAAACACGTTGGAAAACACGTGACAGCAGAACATCGGTTTACGACCATAATCTTCCAGGATTTTGCTAAGGAGACAATGAGGAAAGCCTTGGAATATGGTTCAGGCATCGAGGCCCTTCTCCGAGCCCCTCTTTGCTCCGATATTAAGGGGTGCTCGCCACCATGGCTTGCCCATGAGGCAATGACCATGCCTGGATCCTCGTACATGGGGCTATTCGCTCCTCCATTCCGCGTAAAATCACATGCCGCTCCCCTCAGCAGACGCAAAATGGGGCAAGGCTATTGGCCACAACATATGTTCAAACTTCAGTAACGAGGAGAGGGCCAAGAACGCCTCCACGGCCGTCGGTCCATCGCGGCTTGGCTCACAAGCATTTACTTCGGCTAGTGCCCACTAGTGAACCTACTATGCAGAGAGGGTCAACAGAGGTCGCCCGTGGCATTCCCAAGCTGTCTCGGCCAAGGAAGTGTATGCCCTTACAAAGTTGCTCCTCAGAGGCTCTCTGCCACAATTAAGGCGGTGTCTTGATTCATACTTTATGCTAATGAACATTTGGCCACTGCATCGCAATCTTCCATCCATTTTCCAACATGCCTCGCTGAGCCCTGTCAGTGGTGACTGATGCTGGTGTCAGTGAAGCTATCCATAAGGTCAAAGTGGGCGTCAAGTGATATGAAGGAGTCATCATTCTTGCCTACGATGCTCACCTATACTGGAGCCACCTTAATAACTGGGTGAGACCATGACACCAGGGCTTTGCAGGGTTCATCTGCGGTTTTAGGGTAGGAAAATGCTTCGAGAAACGACATCTCGATGGATGAAGAGCTTAAAAGATGAGGCTGATTGGCCGACAGCGCAAATTGCTGGGGTGTTCGTCCACGTTACCGACGACGCAGGGATGACAGCTGCAAATGACACGATCAGACTTCCACTTTGCAGAACTCACTAATCTGAATGTTACTTTATTACCAGATGCCGTTGGAGTTGTCCGTAACCCACTTAGTCGTCGAAAGTCTAAACCATCCTCTTCCTCTGATCTCACCGAATGCCAGCTCGCGCCAATTCTGCCAAGGAGCGCCAAGGAGCGGAGAACACCAGCTAAATTTATCGCCCAGATATCTTAACCCGATAGCGGATTCTGAATGTACCCGAAGTTGGAGATGAACGAGGAGCAACGAAAGAAATTGGCCTTTGTTGGCACTTGATCTGCCAAGATGAATGAATCAATCAATCAATCAGTCACCTAGCCTCCGGGTTTGACGTCCATAAAAGGACTCTCGTGGCCGCTGCAAACTCATAGCAGTAACCATCCACCAAGCGTCCTCGCTGTTCCCATCTTCAGTGTCTTGACTCAATACCACAGAAAGCCGTGAACAACGCAAAGATGGGTCGAGAATCGTGGCACTCTTCAGACTCTGATGACTTCTCATTAAAATCCACATCATCCGCCGAGTCGGTACTCCCAGAATCAAAACGACGTTCTCTGAGGCAGAGAATAAAAAAGTCTCTACGGAACATTGGACATCCACCCACTTACACCTACGACCTGGAACATGGCACCGATACTCGGAATCCCGCTCTTATCGGGCCCATGGGCTCCAACGCCCTCAACCAGTCATTGCGGTTATAGTGGTCCGAGGTCGAGGCGCGGAAAACAGCACAACAGTTGAACGAGAGCAAGAACTAAGGAATTAAGTTTGATACAGAGGGCACAGGTTGCCCAAGGATACCTTGGCGGGTTATACGCTCGAATGTGGGTTTCTATGTATGGACCCACCGCGAGCAGGGGGAATATCTTGAAGCCGTATTAAGGGAAAATATATCAGCGACAGAGGGGCGCTGCACAAAGAAGGGGGATTCGGTTACCTTGAGGGGGCCGCTGTTCAGACACCTGAGAAGCCATATTCTTACCTTGGAAAAGGCGTAGAACATCATGCACTCAGACTGATTAATTGAAAACTGCAGCTGGCGATCTATGCCCTGCCACATACACACTTCAAAACTTTGCCATGGTTCTTCATATGTCTGCTATTGAGAAGTCAACAGTGATGTGGCTTGTCCGCGTAGCGATCTCAAAGAGAGTGAGCTAGCCTAGGTGTAACAATAGATTAGAATAGCGGCCCGCATGCAGGCTGGAAGTTTAAACAACTCTAAAATCTAAATATGCATTGGGCTATTGGGCGCTGCAGATGACTGATCACACTTACCATTTCATCGCCCAGTCTCTAGTCGATTTCTAACCTCCCCTACTGCAAAAGCGTCCCGAGAACGACTTGTCGGATCCGGCAGTCGCCATCGTCATCGTTGATGTCTGTTATTAAAAGCAGTCATCCTAACAAGCTTATTTCTGAAACGAGGTACGAAGTTGACAGAAAGTCGAATAGAAGGCGACCGCCCCTCCCCCTTCTTCAGTAGTGAGATAAACCAGAAATTGTGACTTTCAAGAAAACCAATTAACTACAGGAAATGTTTTCTCGGCTTTGTCTCCTATTTGTTCGGTCTTGGTCAAATATCTAATGGTACATCGGCTTCCCAATAGCATTGTCCTAGTTCCTAGCGCGACACAAACCGCACGCCGCAGGAACCAAGATTGAGGCTGTTGATCAAGTGATGTTTAGACTCCAGAAGAGCTCAGCGATCTCAAATGTGGCTTCAAGCGTTTCAACAAGTCCGCGGACCAGCCCCGTTTCCCCGCATTGTCCTGCTCCATGTCCCCAGATTCTGCAGGTTTACAAGCAGTTCAGCGCAACTTGTGGTGTGTAAGAACCGACCAACTGGGCCATCAGTATCACTCATCATTCATCACCTACTCCAAGGCCTCAGTCACAATCGGACCACAACGCTGGATCATAATACAGGGCGGAGAGAGACAGGACATGTCTGTCTGTATTCAGACTAGACAAAAGCATAAAAACATACAACACCAGGTATTCGCTGGTCGTCACCGACCCAACTACTAATCCGGCCCTCACTGGCTTATCTATGGGAGAGCGGACGGGATCCCGAGTTCTCCAGTGGGTATGGTCGTATGTGGCAGGTTCGTCATGGGAAATGAACTATATAGTGAAGCAACGTCACAGGATTAATAGGTGTATCTCTTATGATAGTTAAGAGCAGGTTTGAACGGCGACACACCACACCAGCGACGTTTCCGCGGTTTGACCTTACGGGTCGATCTGGTTACTTCTGCTAAGTCCTCTAAAGAGTTGGAAAGTGAGCTGAAGTCTTTTATCGCTAGGAGTCCAGATTCGCAGGCCTCTTGTCTAGACTAAGCAGCTGGAAATCGCTGTCAACAATTGTCTATACATATCCGGGTATTTCTTGCAGTAAGAGCATCTCAGCTAGGCTGATTAGGATGTAGTACCTTCACTTCGATTGCAACTTGAAAACGGGAACAACTTCAAGTTTCTCTTGGCTCAACTTCAGACTGTGTGTCGTTGTCTAGGCTCATTCTCAAAGCTGGAAGTATTCTGCCATGCCTATGTCTTGCTTCCAATTGTCAGTCCAGAATCTGAACATGAGTGCGTGACGGTCACGGCGTGACCAGAAGGCAATATTTTCATCCCCAGTCCCATGTAAATGTTAGGAGCGAGAGCAGCATAACGTTTAGGATAGGTCATTTTTAATAGGTTTTATGTGTCTACACTACCTAGGTACGGTCTTATGTGTTCGTTCTCACATTGTGAACGTGAACCCCCTTGTGAGGCTAGCCAGAGCCCCATATCCTTGGATTGACACTTCGTAGAAGTAGCAGAAGCAGGGGTTTCATATTTTATGGTTATTCGCCCGTCTGGGAACCGATCCAGACCTTCCAACGCTTATGGCTTCCATTTTTTGATATGCTGTTCAATACTAGGTAGTAAACATACCGCTTTCTACCCCCAAATCAAGAACGAAAGAACCACGCAGCTTGCCAGGACTCATGTCGAAGAGTTTTCCACCGTGAATGCAAGACTCCCGAAGCGGAAGCGCCGTCGGCCCATCGCGGCCCAAGATTTGCCAAAACCCCTCACTCAATCAAATCTAGAACGCCTACGAAGTCTCAACGCCAGCGCTTTGCGGGCGCTTCGACTGTAAGGGAGCTGAAGGCATCTCACTTGCATTTTCGGTCGCTATTGCTTGAAGCGTATTCGTACAAGCAGATTGCCTATATTGGTACTTGTCCCGCTGCTGGGTTCAACAAGTCTGCCGTCGTCTGACCATGCATCAAACGTCTCTGCGCATTCGTAGAACTCTCCAGTCGGCGAGTCACTCGGGCTTAACATGCATTTCGGTGAAAGCAGCCAAGCCGGTCGACTACAATCATGGCACGATGCTACATCACAATCCGTCCGATTGTCTCTGGTCAAGTCATTTGACTGCAGGTTGTGCGTACCTGGCTCATCGCCTTTCGCTTAGTTCTTCTGTGGCCTGTGTCGATGATATCAAAAAGTATTTGTTTGTTCTTTGTTCCTCGGCTCAAGTTGATTTTATGCCCTGCTGTGTGCTCTGGTAGCTCATGACAGAAAGCGTACGAAGGCCGAGTACCACAGACTGCTCTCGCCACAATGTATGCGTGATGGATGGAGACTGGCTATATTGAAATAAGACTTTTCAAATCCGGTCTTTATTGGTATTGGTACCTAATCTAGAGGTGATCGAGCCCATCGACCTGAGTTTCGAGGGCGATTTTGACTAAACCTCTCCGTGGCGGGTACCTATCTATCTTAGAACATTCCGATGCTGTAATTTCGACAAGATCAAGACGCAGATGCCTGATCACCCAACCACGAACTGACCGAAGGTGGCTCACGCGTGTACGTTTTACCCACTACGTAGCGCTGCCATGAACTTTCCATCAACAAACACTTAAAAGACCTAGTCGGCGAGAATGCGACGAAATTTTGTTTCCAGGCCCTAATACACAGTTGAAAAGGACTTTGATCCGGAGATACCGGGTTATCGCAGGCAGGTCAAGCACGCCAAATCCACGACAGGATGCGTCATGTGCAAGGCGAAGCGAGTCAAGGTGCCCTTGTTCCAGACTCACCTACATATCTGCTGGTTTCTACGGGAACGGGACTACAGTGCGACGAGGCCAAGCCTGTCTGTGCCCGATGCCACAGAAACCGCCGGGTCTGCCGTTATCTACAAGCGCCGGCCGACATCCTCGCCATGCCCTCGCACCCGTCCTCTGACGACGAGGTGCCCGGCACGCCTAGCAAGCAGCTGCTCCATCACTGCCAGGCGCACTGGGCGGACATCTTTCCTGGATTTGACCAGAACGAGGCGTTCCTCTCCGCCTTTAGGTCAAGTCCCCTAGTTCGCAGCGTCTGTCACGCCATCGCCGCCTCGCATCTGCGACACGTCCACGCGGCCCAGCGGCCACACGTACTTGCTGAATATTCCCACCGCGCCGCAGCCTTGGACGAGTATAAACAGCAGCTTAGCCTGACGACTGCGCAGCTTGGTCAGACTGGCGTCAACGCGATGATTCTCGGGGCCATGCTGTTCAGCCTCCTGACCTTTCCCTTATCTCCAGCCGAGCATGAGACCGGAGTCGAGAGCAGCAGCCCCTGGCTGTCCCGCGACCATGACGCAGATCTAGGCTGGCTCACCTTCCAAGCCGGCATCGGCCCGCTGATGAAGTCGGTGCTCATATATCTCCCGCGAGCATTCCAGTTCCTCATCACCATCTTCTCGCCACAGGTCGGCGGGACCGTGTCCCCAAACGTGGGACGAGTGCCGCCGCCGGTACCCAGACTGTGGACGCGCTTCTTCAAGCTCGACGAGGAGGGTCTCTTTGCGCAGCTCTCCACTCCTACCAACGCTTCGTTCCCTGTTTCACGCCCTGCTCCGCTCGCGTCCAGTGTTCGCCTCCTCGTGCCCACGACGGCGCTGATCCGCGGCCTCGAACCCACGCCGTCCAACTCGGTCTCCTACCCAAAGGAAATGTCGTGGCCTTTACCATTTAGGAGGTTGAGAGCTTCCCGGTAAGTTATGCGCGCGAACGGGACCGGTATACCTGCGGGCGCTGTGCCAAGAACTGCAGCTACTTTCTTTGTGTGCTGAAGTACCGCCTTGAAAATGTCGTGCAGAAAGATCTCGACCAGATCCATGATGTCGTTCATCCCTCCCGAGCAAAGCTCTGCCTTGATGTGCCAGTACTCCGTGAGATGGCGGTTAGTTCGGCTCTCATTTCTGAAGCTGGGCCCGAGGTTATACACCCGCTCGTGAGCATGGGCAGCGGCTTCGAGATAGAAGCCAGCGCATTGGGACAGAAACAGAGGCTTGGTCGTCTTCAGATTGGAGATGTGAATGGCGGAACTTGGCTCGTAAAGTATGGAGGGTGTGATTAGTGGTGCACTAATTTCAACGAATTGATGGGCCTTGAACCACTCGTGCACAGCTGAAAAACACTGAGATCGGTATAGGTTGAGCGCCAGGATTAAGGGGTTCCGGAGGTAGAGATGCCTATGCGAGAGCAGAACATCGGTATTCTGCGATTCAAGGATGCTCGGGCCAGCGTGCCGAATGTCGGGATGGAGCATACCAGTTGCCTTGGAGATGATACTCACACCGCGGGCGACGATGTCGAAGGTCGCATCATGACGGAATGCAAGAGATCCATGCACCATGAGACTCGACTCCGGCTTCAAAGCTTTGAGTTCGAACCATCAAGGCACTTTGGATGACTCAACAACGACCTGAACGGTACCTGTGCTGTCGCCCACGGGGAGAAAGAGCACGCCACCATGGTGACGAGGACGACTGACAAGCCAGCACAGAATGCGCACCTCGCGGTCAGATGGTTCCCCGGTTGAGGTGGCTGACAAACTCATGCTTGAAACCCTTAATATCTGCGAATCGTCTGATCGATGGCATCTCGAACGATTTCTCGAGACTTTGAAAAAGCGCTACCTCCCCCGACATCATTTAGTGTCCCCCAGCAACAGTCTCACCGGAGGGCCGTACCAACGTGATCGCGGATCGCGGCAGCCGCTTCGCTGGGAGTCAACTGCGTGACGTCCAGCTCCAGTTCATATTCATCTTGGAAACGAAATATGTCCTCTCTTTCCCTGATACTGCGCAGAATGTCTAGATTGGTGAGTTTGGTATTGGATCCCTTGCCTCTATCCCTACCTGTGGCCCTCGTTAAGTTCTCTTCCAGCTCGCAATGCAGGACTATGGAGATGAACGGAGAGCCGCGGACACGGGCGGCATTCTGGTAGTCTCTGGCAGAGGAGCTTCCGAGATTGCTCGAAGACTGCTGGTCCGTAAAGATCCAGGTAACGTCGCGCGTTGACTTGGCGGTTGCAATAGATGTCAAGACTTCCCTGCGCTGCACCCGGTGTCAGAGGAGAATTGCTCGAAGGACAGATAGGTGGTGCTTACCAAGACCTGGCGAAGACGCTGGTACTCTTCCGCAGTTCTGTCGAAAACAGCTGCAGCGGGATCGATGAGGAGGTGATTGCTAAAAGTTTTGGCTTTCGGGAGCAGTTTGCTTTCCGATCCCGGAGCGCTGGTATTAGTGGATTTGAAGCGTTTCTCAGACGGGCGCAGTAGGATCGAGACACACCTCAGCTCTTTGGCCACAGTGAGCTTGCCCACCCCGGGATAGCCGTTGATGTAGATGAATGGCGGCATCACGGGCCACTGGACAGGGTATTGTTCGTAACTGATGAGTGGACGCCGAAAATGACGAGAGCGCGAAGTTGTGCGAAACCGATGGAGAAGTAGGAAGGAGCCCCGCCGCCCCATTTAAGAGCCACGCATTATCAACACGGGGCGTGGTAGGTGTGACGTATGCCCCAGGCATACAGGTACACATCAAGTAGCTAGATCTATACATACCGTACTCCGTATACACTCGGTAAATACGACTTTGGCTAACGGGAGGCGTGAACGTCACATCTTACTCCCGAGATTTGCATCAAAGCAAGATCGAACGAGCCCAGTGAAAGCCACCAGAAAATCAGGAGAAGTCGCTATTCCTATAGCATCACAAAATGCCCCTTCTATGCAGATTTTGAGTTACCACGATGGCTTATAAATACTACGGCAAGTTCCAATGCCTACTTAGTCTCATGTGACTCTATCCACTCATTTTTAAGAGTTCTACAAAATTGATTTTTGATTATTCCCTAAGGTTGATTAGATGTACACAATTCAGTAGTTAACTGCGTAATATAACCACATAAAATGAGAGAAACGCAATATATATGCCTAGACGTAATCTATCTTTATAAGTTAGTAATTTATTTATGAATCTATCTTTGTATATTTGGATATTATTTCCACTCCCTCAGTTGTGGACTCAATCCTAACCTGTTACAAAGGGCGTATGGTGAGTCCGAAGTCGTGGTTCCCGACCTCGCCAGCTTCACGTTGCAGATCAATTCGTGTTCTGTGGAGCCAGCTGCCACTTTTTTCCATGACTCCAAAGCTTTCTTGCTCACTTCGAGCTGCCATGTCGCTATCAGGGTAACCAGTGGCGATTCTTTCCAAAGGTGATATCTGAAGACGAATCCCTCGCCGGCGCCTGGAGCCCAGATTTCCATCATCCTCAGTAAAGGCATGCGCAAAGCGGCCCAGCTCGCCTGGAGAATCAGCTGTTCCAGCGATGATTGGCTGGATATCAGATCTCCAACATTTGTCGTCAGGGCTAGGTATCTAAGACCCGGCCAGGTACGAGAACCATCTGATGGCCCAAGAGGATTGTCCGGCGCATCCCTCAGTGCACACCGAAAAAAATTTCTAGCATCAACAGCGTGACATAGAGTAAAACATCGGAGACGATAGCTTGCGTTAACCGATGAAGAGACGAGGCGGTCGTTGCAAAACCTAATAAAACGTTTGTTTCCGTTCAGTGGAGACTGCGCTTCCCAAATATGCACCGATCTTATCGTGACAAGTTCGCCGGCGAGGTCGAGCAGCGTAATCATTGCCTCGTCGCGGGGAAACTGTTCGTTTCGAGTAATCGCGTGCCATGGCTCGTAGCTGATGGTTTTGAGACGGCAAAGACTGGGAAGAATTTTCGCAAGTAATGCCCTCGACAGGCTTCTATAGCAATGTTGATTCACTGAAAACCTTCTGATGATGGGGACCCGCGCAAGCTTGAGAGCGCCAGAGCTGATGCCCAATAAGTTTCCAAGAAGACGTCGTTTGGAATTCAGAGAGTGTACACGGCTCCGATCATGTTGACTCGTCTCGGCGCGATACTTCCAAGGGTGGCCTGAATCGCTCGGAGAGCTGGCGCTCAACCTCAATTCAATACCACTATTAGGTGACTCATTACACCATGTAGAAAGCGACGCGAATAATGTTTTTATGGCCCGACTGAAGAGTTTATTGTTCGCATTGATCGTGTCTTGAGTCTCCAGTTCATCGAACTTGTCCTTATTGTCGTACTCTTCAGTTCTCACGTGAAGTGAGATCCTCTTGATGAGACCTCTTCGGTAGCCGTGAACAAAGAGGCTCAAATTTTCGATGTCAGAACCAGGATATTGAAGCTTCAGGTGTTGGAAAATCTGCGGTTCGAAGAAGGCTTGCCATTCCCTTGAGACCCTTGCCCAGTCTGACAAATCATGTCCCTTGTTTCTGACCTCGACTTGCTCCAAAATCATCAGTCGAATCTCTGCAGGCAAATCTGCCCAACGAAGGTGATTATTGATGCCGTCAGGCGAGTGCATGGTGCTTGAAAGGAGCTTGATTGTTTAACCGGATTGTTGAAAGTGAGTTTGTATTATGATAATGAGCTCAGACATAACGAATGACCTGCCTTCATGTCGGGAAATGAATTCTTTCTCCAGAAGGCTGATGCGGAGACGTGAGCTTGATTGACAAGGTTTGCGCGTTGTCAGTCATAGTTCATCATTGAGGTACGCCAGCAACCCAGTCAATCGTAAAGCCAATGTAAAATTCCATAATGTTAAAGTGCATCACCCAGCACTTTACACGTTTAGGGAACCATAGAAGCCCAAACGCTGCATTGCTAGGTTTCCCCCGGGCCCCTCCCATGGCCAGATTGGCCTCAGCCACCCAGTGTCACAGAGTGCCAACCCCTATACATTGATTAGTTGGGGCCATGGGGCCGATAGAGCTTTTGGTCGGATTGGTTGGCTCAATTGGTTAGAGTCACTCAGGCTATAGGGGCGACGACGGCCACATTTTTGGAGTCAGTTACTGTGAGAACGGGAACTGGGCTTCAGCATGTGCTCCAGCTGAAGGCTTCAATCTACCCAAAAAAGTTCCTCGAGCTAGCTTCTTCGTACAGTCTGAACGACTTTGTCAGCCTGAAGATATTCCGCAATATGGGCATCTATGCGGATGATACAGAAATCCCGTTGCTCTACCGGGTCGTCTCACAATACGGCAGATATACAGCGTTTCACCAAGCCTCCTTTTCTGCCGAAGGGGGACTGGTTCCGGACGAAATCTCGTTGTAGAATTGCTGAGCAGGGGAACAAACCCAAATTTCGAGATTGCCGGCCAGACTATATGGGGGTGCGCACTCAAGAGATGCGTTGAATTCTTCCACAATTAGTATACCCGGGAACCGAAATACGTGGTACATGAGTTGAGGCCTCGCTTGCAACATTGGGCCCGAATCGTGAGAGCTTTCATCAACTCTGGAGCCGACCCTCGAATGAATCGCAATTCGCAACAAGGACCATCTATCAGAGAAGCTTTTAGAGTCCTGTCGCCTGATGAAGCAAGTCGCTTAGAGAAGAAGATAAGCGAGGAGAAAACGCCGGTGGTCCGCTGCTGGCAAGTTTCTACCGCCACCTCAAGCGCCGGGAGAACAATCAGCCCATCCATTACAAGCGCTCCCGGTTCTGAATAGCGTGCAGAGAACGATGAGTCCGGTTTTAGACAGGAGACATAGATTCTTACAGAGACGTCCCCGCCTCCTTTCTCCAAACCTACCAAATGTTCCATAGCGCCAAGGTTCAGAGAGGCCAAGGTCGGTTAAAGAATAATACAAGGTAGAGTATATATATAGTGCATAAATATTATACTTATAGAAAAGCCAGCAACATCAGACAGGATCGCCGTAGAAAAGTAGTGATGAACCTCTAGGACAAAAAGAGGCATACTGAAAACATACAACACCAGGTATTCGCTGGTCGTCACCGACCCAACTACTAATCCGGCCCTCATTGGCTTATCTATGGGAGAGCGGACGGGATCCCGAGTTTTCCAATGGGTATGGTCGTATGTGACAGATATGCCATGTTCATTGAAATATATAGGAAGATATCTCACTGGAATCATCTGGATGGAGCATAGCCTCGACGTATACGGAGTATATAGACTGGCAACCAGTGTGCTTCATCAGCACGTGAATAGGTACTCATGTGCCCCCCTGAGTATATAGTTGACCTCCTTGTGTTCTTTAACCACAGGAAGGTCAAATTCCAGAAAACACACTGACTTACACCTATCTTTCGCTTTATCTTGCTTATGCTAGTTGTTCATATCTTTCCTCTTCCGTTATCGTTACGCGCGAGTTCACTTACTCACTCCCGCTCTGTCGCTTCGTCTATTCACGTCGCTCTCGTGTTATTACACAAGAGCTGCCCCAGCCTGTCGCCCCTATCAGATCCGGAACGGCTGCCAGGAGGGCTGTGCGACCTGCTCCAATACAGTGACCACCAAAAAGTCTGACAAATCTGCATGTGCCGTGCAGCCACCGCCACTTCCACCTAACCTACTTTCCTCCTTACATCTACTAGAACTTCAGGAGATAGACAATAGATTAGCATACACAATACTAATAGGTAACGATCTTCTTCTGATTGACTAAAGTATTGCCTTATAACTTATCAACTTCGTTGTTCAATTGCTAGTCGAAGTGGTTGGGTAGTGATGTATAGGGCACCTTGGATGCGCGGTTCTTAGACTTTTTGGTGGTCACTGTAGGTCTTTCACTTTCGGCCAGTCCGGCTAGGCTAGACTAAGCTCGTGCGTAGGCATGGGGTCAAGAATTAGTATGTGGGTTTCTGCTAAGATTGACTCAAGGACATGATTAGAAACCTTCCATCACTCCTCGAATTCCCCAACCGGAGATCCCGGTTCTACACCCAGCACTACCGTAAAAACTCAGCAACTCAGCATAAACAGCATCCACCCCCCTATATCAAGCCGCTTAAGCAGGGTATTGATAAGTCACACTAGATAGAATGTTGATCTATCAAGAATAAGAGGGCCAGCAGTTCCCTTGCATACAAAATCCAAGCGGATTCTCTTATGCTAAGCTTTTACAGCAAGTACAGTGAGCTTGACGCAAAATTATATATTGTTTCGAAAATATTTCTAGATTTCGTTGGTGTTACAGCGATAGTGCTCTACCTATTGCGTGTTGTGTTTCATTCTACAACAGTAACCTTTATTCTTAGTCTCATCTCCAGCATGCATACGACATACTTGCTCTTTCTCTTTTGGTCGCTACTATGCTGCACATTTGCCGCTTCTGAAACGGGTCTTCGTCAAGACAACGATATTTATACTGTTGAAAAGGATGGAGATGTTTACTCCGTGTACACACCCTATTACACACCACCAACCCGCCTTCAGCGCGCACCAGTTACAAAGTTAATATTCCCAAAAAACGATCCCGACCGAATAACTGTTGTTGCGGCTTTCAACGGCAGAGAAAACCCACACCCCGATGGTACCCCAAGGCTACATCTATCTGATATAATTCGAGCTGTAGCAAGCAGCAGGCACGCAAATAGGCCACTCAAGTCTATTAACTGGATGAGCGGTACACAAGTTATAAACGACGAGGCGCTTAAGGTTCTTAATCGGTACTTTGACGACTGGCGAAAACGCAACCCAAAAGCCCAGATTCCAGAAACATTCACTTTTACCCCATCTAGTCCGATTTGGCCATCCTTGCAAAGCACGCCATTCTTCAAAACCATTAAGTGGACGCTCGATGGAACCGGGAGGACTATAGGATCTATGTACATTAGTCCAAAGAAAGGGTTGAGGGACCCGCTTCGGTGGCGGTTCCATGGGGCAACGATGTCGTGGCGCATAGTATGACTTAAATAATCATAAAGAATGTATTCTTTGTTTTATCTTGCTCCTTAGTACACGAGTGCAGGTAAACTGACGGCGAAAGAATACTTTTTTCAGCTATCTCTCAGCGACCCTCCAAGAACATTCCTTACTTTAACAGTAGCCCCAACTCCAACCCTAACCCTGACCCTAACCTCTGAATCTTGGATCCGGTATACACAGACTTATTACTGAGGACTCATGCACGAAGCGTCGGTGCCAGTGGCGCCTGCACCAACACAGTACGACAGCATGGCGCAGCTGTCAACTGGAACGTAGCCCTCTCCAGTGCCGGTGGTTCCGCCTTGGCAATATGTGACCTCGTTGTTCTGCGCCCAAACGGTGTAGGCAGTAGCGCCAGCATCAAGTTTGGCTCCTGCATTGTATGCACGGCATGCTGCCCCTGTGATTTCGTTGGCGATGCTGCCATCAGCCATAGTGCAGCGGCAGTTGTCGTAGTTGCCGCCGCATGCCTCGGCGACTTTGATACCGGCAACAAACCCGACGATGATGGCGTTGATGATTGAGGTCTTCATTTTGGAAAAGAGAGTGTGTGTAGATGCTTTAACACAAGTATAAAGAGAGTGTGGGATAGGCTTTAGTGAGTGTGAGATATGCTTTAGTGAGGGGTGTCGAGTGGAATAAGAAGACCTATCTGAAAGGCACAAGCTCGACTTTATATGTCTTTTGACTCTTTTGCTATCATTATACTTAGTCCTATAACGCATTATTTTCAAGTTGAGACTGGAATACTCCGCTTTTGGTCTTAGCAATCTGGCTAAGGACATTTGACAGCCTCCTCTGTATCCCCTCAGGGGCGATAAGGCCCCATCTCCAGAGTCCACAGTGGGCACCAAATATAACCCCGCAAAGGTCAGAACATGTATAGTACCTCTATTTACGCCTATTTTTTCCCATGCTAAAGGTACTAGATGTTTCCCTCCTTATAAAGAGCTATATCATAAGTTAAGCAACTATGATAAGACTTTCTTTGCTGTAGGTAAGTAACACTATTCCTAGATATCTTACCTAGGGCTACCCTACTACAGTAGGCACAGGGCCTATACTTTCCTCTTAAACCCTCTATATAGTCTTGCTATCGAAATAGATTATTACGCCTATCTGTAGGGTACCTAGGCTAAAAACATTATCAAATAGTTAAAAATGTTAATTCTAGTAGTGTTACTATACAAAATAACCTTAAGACAAATAGTGTTGTGTTATGTATTCTTGTCACGTGCTTGTAGTGCGGAGAAATAAGTGGAGATGGGGCCTTATCGCCTGAGGGGATATGATCATCGGTGGATACTCTGCCGGCTACCCCGATTACTAGAATTGTGGTTGCGGAGTGCCCGAGGGCGAGGAGCTTGACTCGTTATATTAGGTGCGGGGGAGGGGGGGCTGTTTCACTTCAATATCAGGTAGCCTACGCAGGCCTAAGTAACTAATGCTATGAGGCTGCTTTGTTACCTACACTTTAACACAATAAGGGTAGTCTGAGCTATCATACAGCGTGACCATTACTAATTGGAAGAGCGGCACTTTGTCATGCCAGCAGAAGTCTCGACAGTACAAGTGTCAAAAGACGCGATATAAAGTGCCAAGTTGACGAAATGATGTGAAAGATGAAGTCGGCTTCGTTAGCGCGGACATGCGAATGTCTGGTGCACAGGCCTCTACTTCTAGAATACAGATCTACATAGTATTTACTAGACATATCCAGCTGGTTGCATTCCTTGGCGGCGCTTTCTAACGAGCAAGACGCCCACCGAGCCACCCAGTCTCTCGTTCAACCATGGCTCCGGGTCTCAGTCATCGGGGGGCAGTCCGCCTCCGCGCCATGGAGCTAATCTCGCGCGTCATGCTCTTTGACCACTCCCCAGCATGGCCCGTGACGGTAGCGGTTAACAGGCAGACACTTTGCGGGTCAAACCTTAGCATCTCAGACTATCTCAAAGTACTGACCCACCTCCTCTTAAGTCACTTCTGTCCCTACACCACCAACTTCAAATTCTCTACACTACTAACTTCAAATTTTTAACTCCTAAGTCAACAAGAAGAGAAAAAAAGCTTTTTTAATAGTTTATACTATAGCTTAGGTACTCCTTATATCTGAAGAGGTCTCTAGGGGTAGATTTCTCTAAAAAGTTAATTTATGCTACTATATTCTAGATGTACTTTAAGCTAACAGAGATATCTCTGTTTTCTTCTTTTTTCTAAAGTAAAAGGGTAAACTAGTCTATGCGTAGGTCTATGCGTAGGTCTATGCAGGATAAAGCGAGAGACTTCAAGAGGTACTTTGATGACTCAAGTATTGCCCCGCAAAGTGTCTGCCTGTCCAAGGACGACCCGCTCCCCCATATCTCCCTTACCTAGACCACCAAGGCGTGGGACCTCAAATCTATGGATTTGCTTCCAGAAACGCAGCCATCTGGGGATCCCAGAGCTCAGCGCCAGCGGTAAGAACAAGCTCCCCTCTTCGTCAGGGAGCACATCAACTCGGCGAGGCCGTACATCTGGGAGGAGGCTGATGGGCTGCTTGATCAGATGACCAAACAGGGATGCGATGCGCCAGTCGGCTAGATCGAGAACCTTTGATTGACAAGCGCAGCATAGAGCCGAAGGACGTTCTCATCAGCAAGCTGGTCATGGAGCACCTCCGGCCCAGCCACGTAGGAAAATCGGATGCCGTCTGGGTCGCATTCCTCTTATTCGTCTCTGGGAACGCGACGATGGTTAACATGATCGCGCTTGCAAGTCCTAGCAAGGTACGAGAACAACTCGGATCTGCTAACTGATCACCGCCCCAGGGGAGGGAAGATGTCACAAGTTAGAGCACAGCAGGGCATTGGAGAATTCAGGTCTAAGAAGCTTGATTTTATATAGATAACTATGGAAAGAATGGTACTATATATATATAGGTGAGATGTACGAGTAATGAGTGAAACGATACGTGGTAAAGCACATGACCAGGCTGTTACAGACTATGGAAGATGGTTGAAGCTATCGTGAAAGGAGGCCATCAAGGCGGGTGAGGGCATCGTCGCCTCTCACCTGTCCGTGAACCGCGACGAGGACGTGTTTCCTGACCCGGTCGTCTTGGGCGCGCATCGCACGCCGGAGCCCGAACCACGCGCTGAGCTTCAGCGTCGGGCCGCACGGGTGCGAACCGCTAGCTCGTGCGGAGTCGTAGAGCGTCTTTGGTAGGTTTACTGTTCAGTCCCATTCGGCACTCTGAGGAGTTTGCCCCCTCCATCCTCTCGCCATCTTCCCTGTGCTGTTGGAATAATGGCAGTACAGCGACGCTTTGCAAGAAGCTCCCGAATCCCGGACTCGCCACCCCTATCTCCGCGGTCGTGTACACCCCGCTTACAGAGACGTCGGCGTCGTCACGTCGCTGGTCTATTGGTGGCCGCCAAGGTGGGTTACGAAGCTCGTACAGGAAGCGCAACATTGAGTTACCGAGGCTGCGGGTGTCGAGGTCTCTCTCTCTCTATCTCTTTTTCTCCTCACCAAGGAGCCGGGGTGCCCATCGCTGGGTCTCATCGGAAAGGTGGCCCAAGTGGAAGAACATTGGATGATAGGGCTATAATTCAAGAAACACGTCGTCCATGCGCAACATGGTCCCCGAGATCAAACATGGCGCGGGCGCATCCCAAGGTTCGATCATCAGGCGCCGCCGCGCTGGCCAATGTTGGAGCTTGCGGCACCGAGTTCGGCCATTATACTTTTGAACGTCATCCAGTTGACCCCAAGATCCAAGCTACGAGGCCGAGGTTCGAGCTCCGTAGCTTCCGATACGGGGCAGTGTTTTAAAAGGGGGAGCTGAACTCTCAAGACGGCTGTGTTAATGGTGTATGCCCTTGGAGCTTCAAAAGATATTCTGCAAACCGCTTTACCATCAAGAAAACAAACCACATAGTGAAACTATCACCATCAAGACACCATGCAGGTCGCAGGCAACCCGATCGTGATGGGGGACAGGAACAAAGCGGCGCCGTGGTACTCGCCCGAGTTAAAAGTTTCTCCGGAAGCGCGCCGGATGCTTGAAGAGTACGCCGGTATCCCTCCGGACAAGGTTGACGACCACGTCCTCACAATGGTTGGTGGCCCCCCTGCTGTGCCTCGCGAACAAGCATAGTGAGCGTCTGCTGACACGAACAACACCCCCCCTACAGCGGGACAAGATCTGGGAGATCTTCCCCTACCCGTGCATCGGGGACTTCCACTTCCTCGACTTCAACCTCGCCCAGCGGTCCAGCTACCCGCAGATGATTGCCACGCTCCAGGAGCCGGAGGCGCGGCACCTCGAGATCGCGTGCTGCATCGGGCAGGACCTGCGGCGGCTCGTCCACGACGGCGTCGACTCGGCCAAGACGGTGGCCGTCGAGGTGGAGCGCGGCTACATCGAGGCCGGGTACGAGCTGTTCCGCGACCGCGAGAAGCTCCGCACGCGCTTCGTCGTCGCCGACCTGCTCGACGACGGCAACGCCGAGCTGGCCGGGCTCGAGAGCTCCTTCGACACGGCGCACATGGGGCTGTGCTTGCACCTGTGGACCAGGGAGGAGCAGCTGACCGTGCTGCGGCGCGTGATCCGGCTGCTGAAGCAGAGGCCCGGGGTGATGGTCGTTGGCACCGCGGCGGGGCACAAGGACGCCGCCGAGGTGCCGGGCATCGGCAACAAGCTGACGCTGAGGCACAACCCCGAGTCGTGGGAGAAGCTATGGGCGGAGCTATCGGAGCAGACGGGAACCAAGTGGAAGCTCAAGACAGATATGGTCGGGCATCTAGTGTCCGAAAGGAGTTGGAGGAATCCGGGGTGGTGGGGAGACGAGGAGCGGTTCCTCACGTTTGAGGTCACCAGGGTCGAGTGAGGTGCGGTTGCCTCGGCAGTTGGGGCGCAGCAACGGGCTTCACGCCACGGACGTAGCGTAGTGTCTGTAACAGCAGACAAAAAATAAAGATTGGGAAGACGAGAAGACAGTGTCATGAGGCATTTCCTTTGCTAGCCTAGGGCCATGGCCCGATTCTCCTAGTTGAACATCATAAAGCCCAATCCGGTTCCCAAACCATGCCTGAAAGGAGAACTTTTTCATCCACTGCTCGTCATCACCAACGCCTGACGCACCCGCACCGAGTACCGACCAGCGCTTTAGGCGGAGGTCTTGGGGGTGTTGGGCACGATCTTCTTGCCGTCCTTGTTGTAGCGGACACGGGGAGGGGGCGCGCGGTTGCGGCGGCCGACAACGGAACGAACACTGCGAGGGACTGTCAGCATTAAAAATTCTATCACGAGGCCCGTTCCCCGAGACGGCCGTCGACCTCCGCGGAGAGAGGGACGGTGTCGTTGGAGGACAAGGCACAGGGCATGTGGGAGCTTCGAGTAGCGCCAAGGTTCTTCTGAAGCGCCTGCGCGACGGCGTCTGGCGGCGAGCCAGATCACCGTCGTGCAGTCGTCGCTCCCGCGGACGAACGTACCGGACAATCTTGCCGTGGATGGCACAAGAGACACAGTACTGCAGCTTCAGGTACATCTTGGGTACGGTGTACTCCGCGAAGACGGAGGCGTCCGAGATATCACCTATCGGTTGTTAGTGGACCAGTTTTCAAGGCAGCGGGACGGACGAGGGGGGTGGGAGTGGCGTACGGATAGCAGCAGACTCGACCATGTTGCGGATGGTGAAGCGCTTGATCGCCTTGTCCTTGGGCGTGCATCGCGAGCAGTTGCTGCAGCGGATGGGCTTGACGTGGCCGCGGCCCTTCTTGTTGCGTCCGCTGGAGGAGAGCCAAGTCAGTAACGGGGTTCGGTAAGGATAGCCAGTAGTCTCTCGCGCAACCATCAATCGCCGGCATCGTCGAGTCGGTTCGGTTCGCGATGGCGGGCCGTCATCAAGACCAACCGACTATCAACAACGGCGACGACCAAGGAAAACGTCCGAGGCGGGCTGGCAGGATAATTGAGGGGAGAGGGCATTGCCGTACTTGTTCTTTCTCTTCTTGACCATTTTGGCGACGTCTGACTGTGTGTTAGTAGATCCGTGAAGGTGAGAAAGAAGAGAGGATCTCGGAATTCGAGGCAGACGTACTTGATCTTTTTCTGGCTTGCTGAGTCAAAAAAAGAGGTTCGGTGGGTGCGCGCGTCCTACGGGTCGTTGAGTGAACCTTTGGCAGAGTGGGCAAAAGAAGGGCTGGTCCAGGGCTGGGTGACGTTTCTGTGGGGGACCCGCTGAGAAAAAGAGAATGCCCGTTTTGGCACTTTACGCGAGGATGCACGGCCGTTTCCTCCTGCTACGCGGTACAGTCGCCCTTCGGTTTTTTGGAAGGCACAATTGAAATTCCAAAACCCGAATTCAGCCAATCAGATACCTGCAGGATCACATGACCTCGCTAAAGTCCAGGTCAAGCCCCTCCTACCACTCACTGGCCCACTCGCGTTTGCCCCAAATCGCCCCCCAGCAGGGCCTGGCAGTTTATCCCGTGCGCCTGGCGACTGGCCCTTTTTTTACATTTTCTCATCCCCATCCAACCCAAACCCATCTGAGGATCTGCTTAGGAAGGCAATAGACATATTGTCGAGGTACGTCTGAAGATGCTTCTGCTCCCTCTTTGTTAGGCCAATGTGCCTGTTACCCTTTCTCTCTCACTCACTTTCTCTCTATCTCTCTCGTTTTGGCATATTTGTTTCCTACAGTCATGTAGCGCTTCGGCCTTGGTCTTGACGAGCGCAATCGCGAAATCGAATGCCCTCAGCAGACGGAGGTCGAGGCGCATCATATTGTATCAATTTCCAGCGTGTGCGTGTAAGTGTATGCGTGTGTGTATGTGCGGACGCCGGCGACGTTGTAAAATCTGTCAGCTGTCGCCCAAATCACCACCATCACCCACTGTCGCTCGCCGGTAGAGAGTTCGAGAGAAAGAGAGAGGGAGAAGAAAAGGGGACATTGAGGGAGACCAGACAGCATTCTTTCCAATGCCCTCTCTCGCGGAATTGTTTCTAACCCTCTGGCAAGCAGGCAATCATGCAGATCTTCGTGAAGACCCTCACGGGCAAGACTATCACCCTCGAGGTGGAGTCGTCCGACACCATTGACAATGTCAAGTCCAAGATCCAGGACAAGGAGGGCATCCCCCCCGACCAGCAGCGCCTGATCTTCGCCGGAAAGCAGCTCGAGGACGGCCGCACCCTGTCCGACTACAACATCCAGAAGGAGTCCACCCTCCACCTGGTGCTGCGCCTGCGTGGTGGTGGCAAGAAGCGCAAGAAGAAGGTCTACACCACCCCCAAGAAGATCAAGCACAAGCGCAAGAAGACCAAGTTGGCCGTCCTCAAGTACTACAAGGTCGACTCCGACGGCAAGATTGAGCGTCTCCGCCGCGAGTGCCCCTCCGACACCGTATGACTCTCCTCCCCTTATACTTGCTTTATGCTTTGGTTCATAACTGACTCGTTCCTCCCCAGTGCGGTGCCGGTGTCTTCATGGCCGCCATGAACGACCGCCAGTACTGCGGCCGCTGCCACCTCACCTACGTCTTCGACAAGAAGGAATAAACCTTGCTCAGACGGATTCGCGGGTGCGATGGGACGGAACACGAAAAAAATGACAAGCTTTTTGGGGTGACGGATCGGTTTTCAAGGGTTTTATAGCATTCTAGTCGGCAGGAAGCCGCAGCAAAAAGGGCGTTGATGTGTGGCATGTACGCCGCATCACTGGCTGGCAATGACGAAGCAAAAAAATTTCACGACACTTGATTCTCTCCCCTCGACACATGTTGGCTCTACACTGTGATTTGTTCTACAAGAAAGTGTGTGCTTGTGACTTCTTCTACCCGCTATCGACAAGGACGGCAAAGCTACGTATGTGTCACTGAGCCAACTAGCTCTCGAAGCCGTTTCGCAGATTGTCGTACTTGGTCTCGGGATACGTGAGGCAGTTGTCTCTCCGCAGCAGGGCGGCGAGCCCCCCGAGCGTGTGGACGACGTTCCCGATGAGGGAATCGGGCCCCGGCTTGTCGGCGCTGCTCTCCCACCACATGGCGCCGCCGAGGCCCCATGTGCGAATGAACTGGGCCTTGGTCCGCGCCATATGCACCGTGTCGTACGTCACCATCTTCCTCCGCGCTGTGTCGTACGAGTAGCTCGCGCCCGACTCGTCGTCGTGGTACTCCTCGGACCCTGGCAACGGCAGCGCCTTGTAGTCGTACACGCCATTCTCCCAGCTCCCCTCGCCGACGCCCGAGAATGGGTTGCCGGGCCCGTCCGTATTCTCAAAGGCGCGGCCGTAGAGCGGCATGCCGAGCACGATCTTGTTGGGCGCCACGCCGTGGGACGTGTAGTGCGCCAGTGCCGCGGCTGTGCTGAAGGGCGTCGAGCCCGGGTTGCCCTGGCACGGCTGCAGGTTGGCCTGGTGGCCGGCAAGGCTGTCCCATGAGCCGGCGTAGTCGTAGGCCATCAGGTTCCAGAAGTCGAGCAGGGCGTCCATGGCGGGCAGGTCGAGCCGCTCGTAATTCTGCGCGCCAGCGGGGCAAGCGACGGTGAGCTCGAAGTGGTACCACTCGGGCAGCGTTGAGGCGTACTGGTCCATGGCGGAGCGGACGGCCTGAAGGAGGGCGACGAAGTCGGCGGCTTCCCCGGGGTTCTGGGGGTACTCCCAGTCGATGTCAATGCTGTTGTTTTTTTCTTCCGTTAGTATTCTTGTATATCAGACGCGAGGAGGTGGACCAGGAAGTTCAGGCGTTGGAAAGTCAACGTACCCGTCGAAACCGAGATTCTTGATGAGGTCGACGCAGCTGCGGGCAAAGGTCTCGCGGCCCTCGGGTGTGCTGGCGGGGCCCTTAAAGTTTGACGAGTAGGTCCAGCCGCCTACGGACAGCAGGATCTTGAGGTTGCGGTTGCGGCGCTTCAGGAGGTTGAGCTGCTTCATGCAGCCGTAGAGGTTCGTGCCGACGTCATTCCAGCTATCGCCGTCCCAGTGGATATCCGTGTCGGCCCAGCCATCAGTGAGGTGAACCTCACCCGAGTCGGGGCGGACGTTGGCGAAGGCATAGAGGATGTGGGTGAGTTTCTCGACGGGGAGGTCCTGGGGACGGTGGTTGCGCGCATAGATTGCCCTGCCGAGCCGTGTTAGTCGAGCAGTCTTGTGTGCAAGCGGAAGCAGAAGCCGGGGCCATACCAATTGACGAAGTAGGCGACGGAGCGGTAACCTTGGTCTGGACCGCCACCCATAGTGTCTTGGTTCGTGATGTCAGATTTTTCGAAAAGAAGCGGCAGGCGTGTGAAGAGGCCTCTGTAGGTGCTCGCCAAGAAGACTGTGGTCAAGAGGACGACTGCGGATGTGATGATGGTCGTCGAGCGCGGCAGATACATACGGTTGATGTACTCCGCAATGCCAAGATGTCACGAAAAGTGGGAGATGCACTATGAGAACAGAAAACAGCGGCGACCTGGAGGGAAGAAAGATGACGGCTCTTATTGTCTGTCGGTTGGGGAAATCACCCTAAGGCAAGATGTCAGTCGTCAATGTAAGGCAAAGCAACGTAGGCCAAGGGGGTGATGCAGTTCCAGCAACATGGAAGACACAGACACAGCAGCGGACAAATGAGCAGCCGCACATTCCAGTTGCGACACACGCCGCCCCTCCCCCTCCTTCTCGCTTTCTCTCGTAAACTACGTAGCAGTGCGGCGTGCGTGCCTCTCTCTGTATGGAGTTGCGTGGAGCTTGGAGCTCGATGAGGCGCGAGTTGTCGTCAGCCGCCAGGGGGAAGGAGGGCAGCTGTGCCACTGCGGCTGGTGCTGGGCGGGCGGGTGATCGGCAGCGAGCAAGGTACCGCGACGGCGTAGGAGCGGCGCAGAGGTACATGTCACACTTTACTTTTACACTTTCGGGACGTTACGTTGGTTACCTCCCGTCGGCGCGTGTTTATGTAAGACAAGATGAGGCCAAAGCCTTATACCGCTACCTAAGTAGGTAAGTACCTTTTAGCGAGCCAGATTACGTAAGGAAGGAGTGGTAGGCACATGGCAGCCAACACACCTTTGGGTTTCTGCGCGCGGAGACACATGTCTCTGGCCGTTGAGCACGCACCGGTCGGGGTGAGTCGGTGACAGACCGCCCCTGCAACGACCGCCATGGGACGGACCCCCAGTGCGGTGACATGGGACGAGAGAATGTGGGTGAGGGGGGAAGAAAAAAAAAATTGTTGAGTGTCCAAGCAGACTCTGGCCGTGGACCCAGGAGAGATGTAGGGGTCTCGGGATTGCATGAACTGCAGTCAATCGGCAGATAATCATCAGTTGTTCGCATTGAACCATCAGGCTTCCCATTGAGGACGGACTGCTGTCTTTTGGCGCCTCACTCTGACGTCGGGCTTATTAATGATGGAGACGAAAGATGAGCTGGCTGTATGCGTATGACATGCAAGCAAACAGTACAGGGTACATGCTAGATTCTAGGTATTCTACCGCTTCGGAACCGTATCCGTAACCCTCCTCTGCTTACCTATCTCATTTCCATTGAGTCTCGGTTCAGCTTTCCAAGCGCACATGCCCGACACGATGCGACGCCACATATAATAGAATTGCAAGCAAGCACTTGGATAGTTGCGTTCAAGAAAGGTACAGGCTTACGACAAAATGGATAGATATCTACGCGATTGTTGGTTTAGGGGGAGAGGGGGGGAGGAGCGGGATTACTTCTTCACAGAAAAGATCGCCTCTTTAATCAAATTAAACATCAGTGAGAAAAAAATCTTTCTTCCTTCCCCCAGCAACTGATTCTTGGCGGGTCCCCTTCTTACTGCCTGCCTCTATCCGTACTAGGTACCTACTTACTACAGAGTATACTGCCTACCTACCTATAGACTGTCAGACATAGTACGTACACTGCCAGCCGGAGAGATGCAAGATCCCGACAGGGCGGGGCAGCCACAAACGCCATCAACGAGGTCATCCGCGGTTCGTCCGGCCACACGATTCGTCCAGCCCCCGTCGTCCTCGTCCATCCTACTATGTGTTGCTCAATCGTTGCCGGTGCGAATGGTCGTCTCCTCCCCTTTGTCTTGGCCTTATATATGACCATTGATTGAGCTAAGTGACCCCCCTGTCCACTCTAATTCCGCCCTCCGTACCTATTGCATGCATTTCGTACGCTGGGGAAATTGGTTCAGTACGGGGTACCTACACTACCTACACAAGAAAAATAAACTCCCTCCCCCTCCGACGACCGCCTCTTTTCAGACTATTTCCTCCTGAACCCCCATCGATTTTTCTTTTCTTCTTTTCCTTTTCCCTCCTTTCCTTCCCATGCTCGACAGGTCTTAACCGACTCTTGTCCGTGTCTATTCTTCCATCTCAGTCCCATCGCGAGAGACGCATGTCACGCGACCGTTGTCGTCTTTCCACCTCCTCACCCAAAACAAAACATCAACAATCATCCCCCCCTTTGTTCCTCCTTTCCGGCATCACCAACGGAGGCATATTCTGCATATCCAACCCGCATCTGCCGCAATCATGACCGCCCCCGAGGCCCCCATGGCTCAGTCCTCTGCTGTTCCGGCCTCGGCCGCCAAGGACCAGATCGCGACTCGTCGCCGCAGAAAGTCGAGCGTGCGCGGTCATGGCTACGTCCACGATGCCTCCTCGCGCCACTCCTCCAAACAGGACCAGCTCGATAGGCTCTCCAAGCGCAGCCGCGCCCGCGCCATCCTCCGCCGCTGCAAGCACATTGCCGTCAAACACACCTGGACCACCCCGCTCGTCCTCACCCTCGCCTTCCTCTCCCTCTACGCCATCAACCCGACCGAGTCCAATGTCATTCACCACTTCATCTTCCTTTCCTACAAGATCCCCGCCGCCGTCGGAGCTGCCCCTGATGCCGACGCGCCCCCGCAGTACGGCAAGGGTCTCTGGGACATCGCCTTCGTCAGCTTCTACGCCATCGTGCTATCCTTCACCCGCGAGTTCATCATGCAGGAGCTCCTCCGTCCCCTGGCCAAGTTCTACGGCATCCGGTCCCGCGGCAAGCAGCTTCGCTTTATGGAGCAGGCCTACACTGCCATCTACTTTGGCATCCTCGGCCCCCTTGGCGTGTACGTCATGAGCCGCACCCCCGTCTGGTACTTCAACACCACCGGCATGTATGAGGCCTTCCCCCACAAGACCCACGAGGCCATCGTCAAGTTCTACTACCTCTTCGAGGCCGCCTACTGGGCCCAGCAGGCCCTGGTCATGCTTCTTGGCCTCGAGAAGCCGCGCAAGGACTACTACGAGCTCGTCGCGCATCACATTGTCACTCTGGCCCTCATCGCTCTGAGCTACCGCTTCCACTTCACCTACATGGGCATTGCCGTCTACCTGACCCACGACATCAGCGACTTTTTCATGGCCGTAAGTTGATCAAATGACGCCCCTGTTTCTCTTCCAAAAGAGAAAAGGGTCACCCCTCCTCCCGCAAGAGACGAACGAGGCTAATCACTCCTTTTCCCCAACAGATGTCCAAAACTCTCAATTACATCGACAGCCCCATCACCGGGCCGTGGTACTGCCTTTCCCTGGCGTCATGGATCTACCTCCGTCACGTCATCAACCTGAAGATCCTCTGGTCCATCCTCACCGAGTTTTCCACCGTCGGCCCTTACGAGCTCAACTGGGAGACGCAGCAGTACAAGTGCCGGCTCGCCAAGGTCATCACTTTCACCCTGCTCGGCTCCCTGCAATCCCTCAACCTTTTCTGGCTCTTCTTTCTCCTCCGCATCGGGTACCGCTTCATCCTGCACGACGTTAAGCAGGACGACCGCTCCGAGGCCGAGGACTCCGAGGCCGAGCCCATGGACACCATGGACGAGGTTTCCAAGGTGGACGCGGCTCCCATTGTGAGCGGCGAGGCTGCCAAGGCCGCGCAGACAGTTGCCAACGACATCAGCAAGGCGGCGGGTGGCAGCAATGCATCACGGACCCGCAGCCGACGCGCCGCATAAAAAGGAAGCTACCAGATTGTCGGTCGCCCCATCAATATTTCTTTCTACTAGCTCTGGCCTCATATTCGAACTCGTTGGTCCGGAACCATTGTATATGTAGTATATTTCATAATGCCTAATGTGTAATGACCATGAATACGCTGAAGAAGCCTGTGCCGAGTCGATTTCACGTGAAAATTTCGGATGGTGCGCCTAGACGAGCCAGGCTTGGTTGGGCTCGTGATGTCATGAAACGCCCGTTAGGTTTCTGGGCGACTAAATCCCCTCCTCCAGACGCCGGGAGTGACGGGAGGAGCGACGCCGCGTCCGGCTTAATGACCTGTTGAAATCGTCGGAGGCTCCGGGAGGGGAGCTTGCGGCCCTACGGCAACGCCCAAACTTATCAGCCTCTTGTTGTGTTGGAGGAACCCCGCCGTCGCCGAGCCTGCCGACGTAGTTGGTTCTGATAGGTCGGTGAGACATGTCGGGTTGTGGCGCGATGGCACTTGTGACCGGCGGCTTACTCTGAGCTGACAGCTGTGAACGTGATACCGAGGACTAGCAAACGAGAGACAAATCAAGAGACGGTTATATTCAGGAATTGGCCAAACGTAACCTTTTGGGATGCATTGAGTGTAGCCCTTGTGCTGAAATGCAGGTTTGTTGATACACAACAGTGCTTCATTTCCTCCTTTTAACAGGACGAATTAATCAACATTAAAAACACTGGTCTAGCCACAACACAATCGAATAGTCTCAAATCGGTATAATTCGAGTTGTAATCCCCTGAGTATTCAGACGAGATTGGTTCTACCTAGAATATAGCTTCTACACCCGAGATGTTTGGCCTCTACTCACTCACACTCTCTTTGAGAACCCTCCCTGGACGTAGTTTGTACCAGGAATGCTAGCTCTAGGACAGTATTCGCCTCGCCGAGTTGGTGAGAAATTATGACTAAAGGAGGATCATAGAATTCGGTCTGTCTAGACTTAGTGTCTGGTGTTCAAGTAGAGTAGTAGTCCTCGCGGTATCAAACGGCCTTCATCCGCTGCCTCGTCCAGCTGAACAGAGCCCAGCCACAAATAGTAGCGCACCACCATCAGCCACAGATGCGCCATACAGCCACACACAGCCATACGGCTGCTTCCCCCACCATCGGCTGCCGGCCTCGCTCTGCGCCGAGACTCACACCCACGTGACTCTCTTGCCCACCATCCACACAACCAGCACAGTGAGCCTGGTCCGAGCGTCAGCTTTTTGGGAGCTCCAGAAAAAAATCCAATTGACACCAGTGGGGGGCGTCGAGGAAAATTGGAGGGAAAAAAATCCGAAAGATTTCTGCCATTTTCTTTTTTTATTTTTCTTGCTCTGCCCCCGACACCCCTCGACCAGCAGGAACAACAAGAAAGAGAGGCTTGACTGTCGGAAAAGAGAGAAACCGCCACGGAGACAAGAGAGCCGAATTTTCCAAAATGGCCGCCATCAACTACCTCCTCTACGAGGCCCCCATGGGCTACGGTGTGTTCCACATCGAGCACCAGCCCGACAGCATCGGCCTGCGCCAGAAGGAGGCCCAGGAGTCCATTGCCGACCTCGCGCGGTTCGGCAAGATGGTGAAGCTCGTCAACTTCACCCCCTTTGAGTAGGCCTACCCGTTCCGCGATTGTTGTGTGTGTTGGTGGTGGTGGTGGCAGATGCGCGACGGCTTCCCAGAAACGCGTCTCGAACTCTGGTTAAGAATGAGAGGTGGGGATGTGGATGGGAAGGGAGAGGAGAGGACCGGCGGAGAAGATGACCGATTGAAAGAGGAAGAAGAACGAGAAGAAAAAGAAGCACAGGCTAACGCACGTACTCGCACAGCACCGGAAAGCAGGCGCTGGACGAGATCAACCACATCTCGGAGGGTCTCATGTCGGACCACCTCAAGTCGGTTCTCGAGCTCAACCTCCCGCAGACGAGCGGCAAGAAGAGCAAGCTCACGTTGGCCGTGGCGGAGAAGAATCTGGCGTCCGTCATCAAGTCGACGTTCCCCGGCGTCGACTGCGAAACCTCGGAGACCTCCGAGGTCGCCGGCGACCTCCTTCGCGGCGTCCGCCTGCACGCCGACCGCCTCCTCAAGGGCCTGCAGACGGGCGACTCGACGGCCGCCGGCCTCGGTCTGGGCCACTCGTACTCGCGCGCCAAGGTCAAGTTCAGCACGACCAAGAACGACAACCACGTCATCCAGGCCAGCGCCACCGTCGAGTTCCAGGACAAGGGCGTCAACCAGTTCTTCATGCGCGTCCGCGAGTGGTACGGCTGGCACTTCCCCGAGCTCGTCAAGATCGTCTCGGACAACCTCACCTACGCCAAGCTCGTGCTCGCCATCGGCGACAAGGCCACCCTCACCGACGACCGCCTGCACGACATCGCCGCCATCGTCGAGGAGGACGGCGAGAAGGCCCAGGCCATCATCGACGCCGCAAAGGTCTCCATGGGCCTGTCCATCACCCCCGCCGACCTCGAGATTGTCAAGGGCTTCGCCGAGGCCGTCGTCGCTCAGGCCGAGGCCCGCCGCTCCACCGCCAACTACCTCGACAAGAAGATGTCCGTCGTCGCGCCCAACCTGCAGACCCTCATCGGCACCCCCGTCGCCGCCAAGCTCATCTCCCACGCCGGCTCCCTGACGAACCTGTCAAAGTACCCGGCCTCGACGCTGCAGATCCTCGGCGCCGAGAAGGCCCTCTTCCGCGCCCTCAAGACCAAGAGCAACACCCCCAAGTACGGCCTCATCTACCACTCGTCCTTCATCGGCCGCGCCGCCGTCAAGAACAAGGGCCGCATCTCCCGCTACCTCGCCAACAAGTGCTCCATCGCCTCCCGCATCGACAACTACACCGAGAACCCCACCACCAAGTTCGGCGAGGCCCTGCGCCAGCAGGTCGAGGACCGCCTCGAGTTCTACGCCACCGGCAAGAAGCCCGCCAAGAACTCCGATGTCATGGTATGTCTTGTCTCTTGTCGCTCCCTTGTTTCACAACCCCCCGCTGCTTCCATACCTAACCAACATCTCATGACGAAAAAAAAAAGAAGAAAAATACTAACAAGGTTGAAAAGGCCTCCGTCCTGGAGCAGGTCGAGGGCGACATGACGCTCGACGACGCCGAGATGGTCGACGCCGTCGCGCCCGAGGTCAAGAAGGAGAAGAAGGAGAAGTCCAAGGACAAGAAGGAGAAGAAGGACAAGAAGGAAAAGGAGAAGAAGCGCAAGCACGACTCCGAGGCCGACGGCGAAAAGAAGAAGAAGAAGAAGAAGTCCAAGGACGAATAAGCGCGCGCGCGGGAGTGTCTCCTTTTCTTTTTCTTGGGTCTCTCTGTTTCCCCCTCCTCCCCCCCTCCCTATCACCACTGATACCAAGCCCACCCGAACACACCCACGACCAACACCACACACGAGAGCAAAACACCCCAAACCCGCTCTCGCCTCCTGTCTGGGGCCGAACTTGTTGTTCCCAAAGAAAAAGAAAGAAACCTTCTTCCCATGTCTATTGTGTAAGGTCGGCGGCGGCGGCGGCACATATGGGTTGCGGGGGGGGGTTGTGTCTTCTGGCAAATCGGACGGACCTCTCTCCCCCCACCCCATTCTTGTCTCTTTTAGGAACCTGTTTGTTCTCTCTGTCTTTTTTTGTTGTTTTTTTTGCTGTCTGGGAGTTTTTATTGTAACGGGGAAATGAAAAACCGGGCTTTTATCGGAGTTTTTGGGCTTTGCCAAAAGAAAACAAAAGAGTGTTAATGCATCATATCCCGTATGTGTGCGCGCGTGTGTATGTGTGTATAAGATGAACAAATCGCTCACAACCAAACCCATGTTGTGTCCCCTATGATGGTTAAGACATGGTCATGAGTTTGACAAACCGCCTTTCCTGATAAGTTCTTTACCGGCTCGCCACGTTTCCCATCCAAAGACTTGGGGAGAAGAAAAAAATAAACTTTATCTGCTTGGGCATTTTATCCTGTATCACCATACCTATCACTCCCCTTCCCTCCCAAATAGACTGCCGTTCATCACAAAGGCAAAGAAGAACGAGAAGGAGACTCCAACCACAAGAGCCAAGCCTTTCGAGGCCATACTACCACGCCTCTCCCCCCCCCCCCAAAAAGAAAAGAAAAAAAAAAAAGAAATACCAATGATTTAACCTCTCTTTTTGTGGGTGTGTTTTTTCTCTCGGCATAAGTAACAAAAAAGGTTCCCCCCCCCATCTCTTCCATTGTTGCTGCAACGTTTTTGTATTGTTCGCTTTGCTGCAAAGGGGATGAAGAAAAAGACGTTGCAATGCAACAAGGTGGTGATATAAAAAACGAACATGAAGTAGAACAAACATAAAATAGGACTTGATATTTCCCCACCCAATGCCGGCCGTTTCAAACGCCAGAGGACGCCGCCAACTCTTGTCTCTGTTTCTGTCCCCCCCCCCCTCAGACACACACAAGCTTTGGTTTGGTCATCCCGAATGGTTTCGCTTCATAGCATTCTGTCGCACACACACACGCTCTCTCTCGTTGCATAAACTGAGAACCAAAGGTTTAGGTCCAACGACACACACACACACACACACACACCCCTTTCCCAGTGCCTCGTTTTCGTCTCTCGTCGTTGTCTGTTCGTGCTTGACTCGTCTCCTCTCATGCATATCGGAGATGTGGGCTCGCCCATCCCGAGAGTCTGTAACCCGGACCGGCTGCACCACGCAAGCTTCGGTAGTCTGGCTCATGCGCCCTCGCTACCAAACTCGTTTGTCCACTCTATTTGCTTTGCTGCGTCGTCCTCGGAGACGGTGGGATGCGAGTCCCTGAGTGCTTGCTTGAAGTCCTTGAGCTCGAGGGTGGGCGCCATAAGCTCCTCCGAGTCGACGTCGTGGTACGTCATCTCTTTGGCGTCTGGATCGCCCGGCGAGCAAGGTGTCAGCTTCCTGACGCCGTCTTGCATAACCTGTGGTCGAGTTAGCATGCAAGTCACACACGGGCGTGCCCTTCAAATAGGAGTCGGGGCCGTCAGCGCGTCACATACCGGCTTGAAGTGTGTGGCCTGGATGATCTTGCGTACGGGGCCCATCAGAGCCTGCTGCACCACGTTGGATATGTCACTGCCCGAGAAGCCTTCCGACAGCTCGGCCAGCACGCGGTAGTCGTCCTGCTGGAGGTTCGTTTCCGTGTCGCCGACGGCGAGCTTGAACATGCGGGCGCGGCCGTTGACGTCGGGCAGACCAATGTGAACACGGCGCTGGAAGCGTCTGCGGATGGCGGCGTCGAGCTGCCAGGGGATGTTAGTCGCGCCGAGCACCAGGATGCCCTTGCTGTCGTTTCCGACACCGTCCATCTGCACCAAAAGCTCCGTCTTAATACGTCTGGATGCCTCGGACTCGCCCTCGCCGCGGGGGCCGCAGAGGGCGTCGATCTCGTCGATGAAGAGCACCGAGGGCTTGTTTTCTCTCGCCATGCTGAAGAGCGCCTTGACGAGCCTGTCGTCAAAAAATAAAGTCAGCGTGCTCGTCCTCTTTTGCGCCTCGCGTTGGATGACGACTGAACTGACCTTTCACTCTCTCCCATCCACTTGCTCACCAAGTCGGAACTGCTGACGCTGAAGAAGGTGCTGTTCGCCTCCGTCGCGACCGCCTTGGCCAGGTAACTCTTACCCGTTCCCGGGGGGCCGTAGAGCAGGATACCCTTCCACGCCTGGCGCTTGCCCTGGAACAGCGACGGGAACTTGATGGGCAGCACGACGGCCTCCTTCAACGTATCCTTGGCGCCCTCGAGACCGGCAACGTCGTCCCACCGCACGTTGGGCCGCTCCTGCAGGATGGCGCCGCTGAGAGCATTGCGCAGCTTCTTGTTGTCCTCGTCGACGTCGTCGTTCGCCTTGCCCTTGCCGCCTCCATTGACGCCCATGGCGCCGGGGGTCTTCCCACCGGCGCCCCCTCCGCCGCTCTTTTTGGCCTCGGCCTCATTCAGGTACGTCTTTAGCTTCTCGGCGCGGTCCATGTACTCGGCCGTCTTCTGGCGGATGAGCTCCTTGGACTTGGGGTTCTTCTCCCACTTGACGGCGAGGACGAAGAGCTCGAGCGACTTGGTGTAGAGTTGGAAGGCCTTTTCGTATTCGGCGGCGTTATCGGCGTCGATGGCCTGCTTGACCGTGCTGATGGCACGGCCGAGGAAGTCGGTGATTCCCGACATCGTGTCTGTTGTGTATGCCGGGTTTGGGGTTGCTGGTCGTTGCTCAGACTTGTATTGCGGCGCGAGGAGGTGGAAGAGGAAGAGAGAGTTCGTGATAAGATGGAAAGAGCGGGGAAAGCTCGCTATCGTCGTTTGCCTCTTTGTCGTCGTCGGCGCCTGGGATAATTAGGAGAGAATTCGGAACGAACGTCGGAAGACAGACAAGACAAGGAGTCCTGGGGCTGGCGTCGGTCTCTGGGCGCAGGACGGACGGGTGAGAGAGGTTAAGGAATCTGGACGACTTATTGGAGGGGGGCCTTGAGGAGGCGGATGCGGTCGTGGATTCTGTGACGTTGCCTGGGCAGTTCGTGATGGACACTGCGCCAATCGAAGTGCCTTGAAGTGGTGGGGGTGGGGACCTATGCCGCTTATCACGATATACCTTACTAATTGCAACCAGCTTGCTTATGCATCACTTGGAGAGTGACACAAACGTGGGATCAAGCGAGTGGCCACGAACTGCGCGGATACCAATGGACTGTTTGGATGTACTTGTAAGGGATAGTAAAAAGCCACAGGAACAACTTAATTCACATGAACAACATGAATGAAACGCAAAGACCAATAGGGATGAACCTGTTAGCCTTTATCTGTCTCGTCCGCTGGTTCTAGACTCGCTTTCCGCCGGTACCCGCTTACCCGCTTACCTGCAAAATTAGTCTCAAATTCATCTAAACGTATAATCTGTCACCACTGCCGCAGTGGACGCACGCTCAGTCGCTGTACCGACCATCCTCCAGACCACCCCACCACCTATCTATCGAAAGTCGGAACAAAACGAATTTATCCTCCAGGGCCTTGACATTCAGGAACGTCTAATTATTAGCAACGTCTCAGGTCCCTACCGCTGAACCAAGCCACGGTATTCTCGCCGCCGTCTTTTTTTTTTATACTGAGCCAACACTTCGGATTCTGGTTTTTTATTTTGTTTTATTATTCTCACTCCATCCAGCTTCTCAGTGAACCCCTCACACACATTCTCACTCACTCGACCATGGCTGAGATCCAGGCTAAGCTGCAAAAGCTTTCGGAAGAGTACACTGCGCTGCAACAAGGTACTGTGAAACGTCTATACCAAGCTCATCCAAAATCATTCGCTGACCTTTCATCAGAACTCCAAAACACCGTCCAGTCGCGGCAAAAGCTCGAGGCCCAGAAGCAGGAGAATCTCGGCGTAAAAGAGGCGAGCCCACGGGATCCGCAGTCCTTTTGATGGCCATGCGACTAACGAACCCCCTCAGGAGTTTGAAAAACTTAAAGATGGCGAGCAGATCTACAAGCTCGTCGGGCCCGTCTTGCTTAAGCAGGACAAGGTCGAGGCCGAGAGTACGGTAAAGGGCCGTCTGGACTTTATCCACAAGGAGATGTGAGTGCGGACGGTTTTCTTTTGCTTTTTATACATCATTTTTCAATCAAAACGCAACACACGAAATATACTCATTCGTCGTCAGCGAGAGACAAGAGGACCTCATCAAGGACACCCAGGGCAAGCTCGAGAAGAAGAAGGGCGACATCATCCAGCTCCAGACCAGCGCGCAGGCTGCGGCGGGTCAGGCGAAGCAAGCATAATGCCGGTGAAGAAGAAGATGACGACGACGACAACGACAAGGAGAGAGCACGAAACAAAAACAAGACGAGGCGTGGCCAGAGTGGTGATACAACGAAACTACTAGGACTATGAACTATACCCAGCAATGCTCCGACGGGGTTTCTTTCCAAACAAAAACGCCATGCTGATGCGCCGATTTTCCCGATGGTGAAGAATGTCCGCGCCACCTCAGAGCACCCAAAAGTTTCATTACAAGAAATAATATGCGGTCATGATACGTGTACGATCCCCAATACCTTCGGCACCTTCCCCCTCAACCTCAGTTGATAGCCATGATGGAGAACCCCCACGGCAGGCCCATGTTGCGCGAGGGCAGCTCCGTTGCCCAGCCGATGGCGTTCTGGTACTCGTCCTCGGAGGTGAACTCGGCGTCGCTGACGTTGCCCTCGACGACGTCCATGATGAGGTCGGCGATCTGGCTCTTGGTGTAGCAGCGGCTGAAGAGGCGGCTCTCGTCGATCTTGCGGATCATGGCGGAGCGCAGCTCGCACTCGGCGAAGCGGCGGACCTCGCGGTCGAAGCCGGCCTGGGTGATGGGGCCGTAGCGGTGCGAGGAGGCGAGTCTTCGGAAGAAGGCGACGGTGCCGGCAACGGCCTGCGCGAGCATGTGCGCCTTGGCTGCGTCGTCCAGGTGGTTAGCCATGGCGGACGAGTCCTGCTCGATCAGGCCGTGCTCGTCGTGGTCAAAGGTCGCGTGGACGACCTTGGAGATGCTGCCCGGGGCGGAGAGGACGCCCTCGGGGTCTTGGAGGGCAAAGGTCCTGGCGACCTCGTTGTAGCACTGGGAGAGGGTTGTCCAGAGGGAGACGTTGTTCTGGACGGATGCCTTGCCCACGCTGACTGTGAAGTGTGACATGGTGCTGTCGATGCTTTCTGTTTTGAATCGTGTTAGTGTCGTTGTGGGTGGGCTGCGAGTCGAGGAGACAAACTCACTTTTGCAAACGGCGGAAGACATGGTGACGATGTGAGGTCTTGAGAGTCTTTGGTGATGTACTCGGTCGATGTTGTACGAGATACCAGGTATGCCACTGGAACAGGTAACGGGCTGTAGGTTGGAGGAGATGGATGGATGGGTAATGAGATGGGGAATGAGGATAGGAACTTCATCATCAACAACAGCGGAAAAAAGCCTTCCTTAAATCTCGACGCGATTGTAGCCTTGTGGCCTCATGGGGAAATTCTTTCAGGTTGGCCTAGCTATGCAGGACGCGATGGTGGCCATCCCTGATTCCGGCATACCCAGAGGAACCCATGGCAAGGACCCCAAAAGAATTGCCGTTCCTAGTCAGGTCTCTACGTACCCGGTACCCGATTCTTCGCGGGAGACGCTCGGCGGTGGTTTCGTCCGTCGATTGAAAAAGAAAAACATGGAGCCATCACGCTGTCAGGTTGCATAGGCATGGCGAGATGCGATGGCCGATGACCTGACTACTTGACACTGACACGTCCCCCTTCCCCCCAGCTTGAGACACTTGCTGATGGGACAACGCACGATTGACACTGAGGGAGGCCACATAACAGCAAGAAAGTATTCAGGGAATGGTATGATGGAGCCTCATTTCGTCTCCCGCCCACCGGCGACCAGCGGGAGCGTGGGGGGTCCCCCGACCTCTAGTGTGCAACTCGACCCGGAACAATGAGAGGCTAAGAGCAATGCACATCAGGAGACAACATCTGACCTGGTTCAAGCAGGCGGTGGAAGCAACCCCTCAAGCATGGTGCCATGTCAAGACTCGGGCCGCGAGAGGATCAGTGCGATGAAACCAGGAACAGAAGTTGGACGGACGGGTTCACCGGCCCGTCTGGACGCGCTTTTGCATTATGCTTTGGCGGCTGGTTGGTTAGTTGGTTGGGGAGCAATATTTGCGGGAAAAAAACAAGAACGAAAAATTGTACTTGGTCCCGACATTTCCCGATCTTAGAATGAGGCGAGCACATCCCCCCCTGGAAGACGCCGTTGTCTGCTGGCAACCGAGATGGGCCTCTCTCACTCGTAGATCGAACGGAAACACGCCCCTCCCGACGAATCGACGATTCCCTGGGATGTTGGCAAGTTTCTTCCGCCGAGGCAGGCAATGAAATGACATGAAGGTTCGTCAAAAGTTTTGCGATGGATGCTTAATGACCTTTTTCCAAATTGGAGCTGAGACGCCGTTGCTCCCGGATGTTCCCCGTCAGATGGCAGCAGCTCTCAGAGTCTTAGAGCTAGCTCCCAAGCCCCAGGCGCTTTTCATTGAAGCATTGTTACAATGTGCCTATCTATGTATGCCTTTGTTATTTGTTCATGTTGCTTGGTGCTGCTGCTGTATTTTCTTTTGTTCATCCCCGTCACTCTCCGATTGCTGACATAATACTTCTTGCTGCTTAGGTCATCCGGGTCGGATCTCCCATCACGTGGCCGCATCAAAGAGGCCCGAGCTCTGCCCCTGCCCCTCCATATGTTTTGCGGACCTTGTCGGTCTCCCAAATGGCGGGGTGCTTCAGCCACCCGTGGCTGGCCTAGCGCTTCGTCATACCCATCTGGTCTGTTGGTTGTGTATCTGGGACGAAACCCGCAAGACATTGACATGACCGAATGATCGTGCATCTGTCACCTTTAGGTTGCCACTCTGCGCCCTCCGGAACTCGAGAAACATGCGATCGTCAGCCTAAACGGTGGACGTCACCAACCACGACCCCATTTGATGAGCCTTGAACGACCACGAACCGTCTACTAGAACGAGAGAGAGACAAAGAGAGCTTCCGGCACGCCGGAATAACTGCCAGATGATGAACGGCCCTCCCAGTCCGCGGCCTGCGCGGCCCATGAGCGTCAAGGAGATCACCAACGCCGCCGAGGACTTCGAGTTTAGAACGACGATTCCTTTCAAATACTGGGCGCGCTCCGCTGACACCCTATTCCAAGAGGTTCGTGTTCAAACCTTCCCCCCCCCCACCTTGCTGCCCCTCCACTTCCACGGCCAATTGCTGACGATACACGACCCAGGCCTTGTTTGCGCTTCAGGATCGTGATATTGGAAAGGCATATCAGATGCTATGGCGGCATTCGATCCTCGTGCTGCAACACCTCAAAACGCACCCCGACGCCAAGCTCCCCGAGAACAAGGCTCTCACGAAGCCGCTCTTCAACCGCCAGCAAAAGGAGGTGTTTGGGTTGCTCGAGGAGCTGAAGCCGCAGATCGAACGCGAATACAACGAGTGGAAGTCGATGGATGCTTCCAGGAGGACGGCTGACGACGAAACTGCAAAGAGACCCTCGAGCTACGACGAGTTCGCCGCCCGAGACCCCACCTTGTCCGGCAACGCCAAGATCCTGGACGCGGCTGACAACCAGGAGCTGGCCGTGTCTCTGGCACAACGCGACTTCAAGCGACGAGATGCAGCGAGGAGAGCGACGCGACAGGCCGGCGTCACCGAGGAAGAGGAGCAAGAGCGTCGGAAGGGTGGCCGGTGGGAGGATTGGGAGCAACTCGGCAGCCCAACGGCAGCAGCGACGGATGACGACGAAATAAGGAGACAGATCGAGGCAACGCGGCGACGACTTGACGGCGCGGATCAAGGACGAGATGACGATAGCGTCAGGCAGTCGCAGGCCCCCAGCTACGGACGCCCAGCACCGCCGCCCAATTACTCGTACCACTACCCGTCCATCTCGAGACCGAGAGCACTCGAGTGGGAGGCGACGCCCTTTGAGCCGCAGCGCACGTATGCACCGACACCGCCCCAGCCACCGAAGCCGCCAAAGGAAGGCTTCACGATGCTGCGGCAGGAGCTTGACGCGGCGCCCCCGATGCGGCCTGGCAAAAACCCTTTGCCCTTGTACGAGCCATCACACGACGTCCCCGAGCTGCCAGCCAAGGAGCTAGTCGCCGCGCCTTCAGCCAAGGAGCGACTGACGTTCCGCCCGGCGGCCTACCTGGAGAACGGCGATCCCATCCGGCCCGTCTTCCTCCCGACGCAGCTCCGCGACCGGTTCCTCAGCATCGCTTCCGAGAACACCCGAAAGGGCCTGGAGATGTGCGGCATCCTATGTGGCCGGCCTGTTAACAACGCGCTGTTCATCAGCTGCCTCCTGATCCCGGAGCAGAGGAGCACGCCCGACACCTGCGAGACGGAGAACGAGTCTTCAATGCTGGACTACTGCATCAACGAGGACCTTCTGATGGTGGGGTGGATTCATACGCACCCCACACAGACGTGCTTCATGAGCTCGCGCGACCTCCACACACAAGCCGGCTACCAGGTAATGATGCCGGAGAGCATCGCCATTGTCTGCTCTCCGCGGCACCAGCCCTCGTAAGCGGCCCCCCTCTTCAGAATACCCTCTTCAGAATACATTCTCGTCAAACAGAGGGGTCCATCCAGCTAACAAATATATCCAGATATGGCATCTTCCGTCTCACGAATCCTCCCGGGCTCACTCACATCCTGCAGTGCACAAAGTCGGAAACGTTCCACCAGCACTCCATCGACAATCTCTACACCAAGGCGCAGAACCCACCGGGCCACGTCTATCACTCGGACAGGCTGGACTTTTACGTCAAGGATTTGCGACCGAATCGATAGGAGTCGGGAAAAGGTGCGACAAAAGGAACGGCGCAGCGTATGCCGTGAGTTGGGGGGAAGACAAAGCCGGCGTGGCTCATGGACTGTATGCCACTGGTGGGGGAGGGGGCGGAAAGGGAGGTTTACCACGGTCTGCGGCGTATGAATGGGCGTTGAGCCGTGATTTGCTTGTTTGCATGGCGAGGGGCGTTCAACGGAGGGATGCTGCAGGATTGGGAGAGGGGGGAGGTGGCTCGACGAGCGACGTCCCACATGCTACGGATGAATTAATGTCGGAAACCCGGGAAACTTTGTACGCAGAAAGGACACCCTACGATGGTCCGGCTGGAACAAGATTATCCAACCACTCTACGTGGTTCCTCATCTCCTTTATGGTGTCCTATTCCGGAGGGGGGCCTCGCCCGAATCTTTGAACGGGGTAAACAGGACGTCTCTCTTAGCGATGATAAGACGGCTGGCGAGTCCAAACGAGGCTTGTTTGAACGCGGAGCTCCGCAGCCGTTCCCTCGCAAGAAGAGCTGTTTGTGTGTGTTTCGGTCCGGGGCCCGGAGCGTGTGTGTCCTGCGTTGTTCCATCTCATGTTTATCCATCCATTCCCATGGAGTTTTTTTTCCCCCCTGTGAGTGGCGCCCCACACGATGGATAGAACCAAGCAAGGCACGATACAAGTGCGAATAAGAGGTGCGACGTCATTATCGTGACCCCGCGGGCTTTTTCCCGTCGTGCCGTATGCCGGCTTTATCGAGCTCCGTTCCTTATAAACAACGAGGCCCGGCCTAGGCTACCGACGAGCGGCATCGCAAAAGGGCAGTTTTCTCTAAATGGCATAAGGTATAAAAACCAATATTTATGCTCGAACAAGACCGGATAGAAAGACGCAAAAAGAAACTCGGAACGGATCACATTTCTAAACATAATAAGGAAAAGAAAAACAAGCAAAAGCCTACAGACATATCCACTGCCGAATAAAAGAAGAAGAAAAAGACAGAAAAAAGAGACTAGAACCATGGCTTTCCCGACCAACGTGCTGGGAGTTCTCATCGTTCTCGCCAGTGGCTTCGCGCTAATATACTCGGTCGACTCCATCTTGCGGATGAAAAAGTACGAGGACTTGGAGGAAAAGGCAAACAAAGCGGCAGAATGGAGCGTTACAGCGGAAAAGAAGCTCTGGGATCTCAAGTTGACCCTCGCGACGGGCCTCGTTGGTGTATGTGTCCTAGCCCCCCCCCCTCCCCCCTCTCCCCTTCTCATCTTCATCTGCCCGCGAGGAGCATCTCGAGTCGGAACCGGCCCCCTCCCCCAACGTATTCGATGAGACCTGCTGAACACCCGTGAACAGTGCCTCATCTCCGCCGTCAGCGGCCTCGCCTTCTCCTTCTTCGTGGCCCCCGGCCCGGGCTTCGTCGCCGTGGCGTGGCCCGTCCTGCTCGCCGCCGGCCTGGCGTACGGGCGGCAGTACATGCGCGACTTCTGGGCGTCCAAGATCAAGGTGCCGAAGATGACGCACTTCAACGAGGCCATTTCGGACATGATGATGGTGCAGAGCATGATGAAACCGCTGGCCGGCGCGTGGGGTCTCGTGGCTGTCTGCAAGCTTGCTGGGCTGTAGAATAAGCCGAGCTCGGTTCCCTGCAGTTGTGTCAGACATGGGAGGAATTGGGTAAAGGGGGGGGGGGGGGGGGGGGGGGGGGCAGACAATTCTTTTTCCCTTTTCTTTTTGGCAATGTAGAATAGGCATGCGTGTAGTGTAGTATTGGGTTTGTCTGAAAAGGAATAACAAAAAACAAAAAAAAACTACAGCGCTCATTCTCTAGCAGGAGGAGTACCCTTACGCCCTCGCGTCTCTCCTCATATATACCCAAACATACTTTCCCCATAAATCCCTGCTGCCCGTGATACGCTCGTTCTCCTCGCCCGGCGTCTTCCCCTCGGCGAAGGCGTCCAAGTCCGCCTCTAGCCTCCCGGCCTCGCGGAAGCCCTGACGCTCGAACGCGGCCTTGCCGCCCATGGACGACTGCACCCAGCAGTACACACCGGGCTCCGCGTCCGCCTTGTCGGTCCCCCACCTCATCAGCCGCGACCCGACGCCGCGCGACTGGAAGTCCGGGTGCACGACGTAGCTGCACAGGAACCGGCACCGCGCCCCCTCGGGCATGAACCGCCGCACCCAGTACCCCATCGACGCGTCCGTCAGCTCGCCCAGCTCCGCCACCGTCCCCGCCGCCCTCCCGCCGAGGCAGGCATCCGCCGTCGGCTCCTCGGACGGGCCGTCGTCCAAGGGCCTGTCCGTGTCCCCGGCGAACCCCCTCCGTACCCACCCGGCCCAGCCCACCAGCTTGCCGCTGCCGGGGGGGTGCTGCTGCTCGGCGACGACGACGTCGACCTTGGGGTGGTCCACCCAGGACGCCAGCGCCTGCGCCATGCCCTCGGCGAAGTCGTCCGCCCCGCGGAATGCGGCCTTGAGCTGCGTGTGCGTGTCCGTCCGGAACGCGGCGTCGGCGATGGAGGCGAGGACGGGGACGTCGTCGCGGGTGGCGAGGCGGAGGACAACATCGGCTTTTGCGGGGCGGCCGGCGGCGGCCGGGCTTTTAGCCGAGGCGGAGGCGGAGGCCATTGGTGCGGAAGGCCTCTTTTTCTTGGCGGTGAGGACCGGACGGGATTTTCCCCTCCCTCTGATGCGGGATTACGCGTGGTGGGAAAGATTAGGGCTTGGCTCGGTGACGTGGCGGAGATTTTGAGGAACGAAGACGGGCCATGACTGACGTTACCTGGACGGGGATATGCCGGCTATCGCGCCCCCTTCTTCTCCTGGAGGGATGTCAGATACGTGGCCCCTTATACCCGATACGGACTGGCCGGCTGGGGATCTGGTCTTTGAGGGAAAATCTCACCTTACCCACACGCACCGTGTGGGAGTTGGCTGCGAAATCTGACTTGGTAATTCTGGTCGTTGAAGAACTGGCAACTTGGTAACATACTTCTCGCTGGAAGAATGCTCTTTTGACGTAGTTCCCTGCCTATTGGCCAACCATCCCGCGTACCTGTTCATATTAAGTCCGTCGGGCTGAAAATCACACCTGCTAGATATCCGGAGATATCATCCGGTGCGACATTTGGATGGATACAATGTCATCGCCGCAGTTGAGACCGAGTCTTGACCTCGCACCAGTTCACAACCATTTGTTTAATCCGGTCAGCAGGATGCTGCCGTAGCCAGCAAATGGCCAAGAAGAAGAAGCACCTGGCCATTACCATCTCGATGAAAACCATAGCCAGGTTACTGGGCCCAGCAACAGGTGCTAACTCGGACGAGTGCTACCCGGGGGAGTCCTAGCCAGGTAGTTTGCATTCGGTCGCATTGCATCATCCGGGAGTCTTTTGCTTCCTCATCACATCAGAAGAAATGGCCCGACTGTGTTGCATGTACGTCATGCCACGCAGTCAGGTACGGACAACGGTGATCCCGGGGGGCTGGGAAGCAATGGCGAGATCCCCAGGGACTCCTTGCCCATACACACGTCTGCAAGCAAGAGACGTACAGCCGAACGTTTATAGGATTGGTCAATCTACTACTAGACCCTGGGAAATCAACGTGTTGGAACCCTTGAGCCCTGGATAGCACGAATCACGTACCCTGTGTGGACTCGATAACGCGATATCAAAGCGCCTCACCGAGCCTGTCTATTAATTAGAAGAGGCTTATGTGTGCGTCTAAAGGCTTTATTGACAGGACGATACGTCACAACTCGCCGCTCAAGGGAGCAATATATCGGAAACTCTGACCCAATGACGCTTCGCGAGTTCTACACTACATAGCGCCGTCATGTCATGGTCTTTACTCACCGTCAAGCGGTAAAGGCGATGTAGGAAACTCATACTGGTTGACTGTACGAATACATGTCACGCGATTGGCGCCACCACTGGACTGCCAGCAGCAATTAACGCTTGAATTATATACTCCGCAAGAGAACGCAACCTGAGCATCGTACACCGCCCAGAAATGCAATACCACGCTGGTATAACCATCAAATATCATCGAACGAGAAAGTTGCAACTGGATCACCGTTTCCTGCACGCGGAAATCAGCTCACGCACCGGACATCTCCCGACACAACCTCCCCAACTATTGATCAAACAGATAGCCACAGTGATTGCTCAAATGAAGCTCAAAGTTATAATTATGTATCGGGTTCTGTTTTATAGAACCCGCTCAGATGAATCGTTATCATCGTTCTCGCGCAAGCAACTGCGTTTGGAACATCGTCATAATCTGAGGAAGAGGGTTCCGCGTGGATCAGGCTGATACAGTGGCGACGGTACCAGCCAAGCCCGACGTTGCAGAAAATTAGGGTCAACTTGAGAGGGGATGAAAGCCTCAAGAAAACATCGCTATGGTCGTTGAAGCGTGATGCTCCCAACCATCACGTCGTGCGGCCGATAACGCTCGGGCGTTTCGCGATGGCGTCGATCAACCCCGAACGATCATCTCAGGAGACCTCGACGAGCAGCAGATGCTTGGGGAGAAAAAAGGCTCTTTCTGGACGGCCCTTCCCGCCGCGGTTCCAGAATCTACTTGAAGACTCGTTTGGCGGCCACAGGGAGAGGAGTTTGGCAGAGGATGGGTAGGGGAGCACGTGCGTCAACCGGCGATAGATACTTTTTTGCCGATTCGACGTTGAATTATGGAAACCCTCTACCTTTTGCAATGCCGGTAATGCAGAGCAACCTTTAAACAAGGTTCTGCAACCAAAGCTAGCCAATAGGTCCTGTCCCGTGAATACGGGTACGAGAGTCGGGAATCCCAGCGGAGAGCGGGGTGTTTCGAGGGCAACCCAATCCTTACCTCTAGACCTGGCGATGGTTGCAACTTGTAAGGCTTTCGAGGGCACCATCAGCTTAGACTACGCCTCGATGGAATATGCCTGGCGAGAAAAAGGCATAAAAAAGCACAGTCTTCACGCTCTCCAAGGGGGGATCGGTTGGGTGTGAATGCGTCCTAGCCCGCCACGGGCATGACGCTAGTCTCTCATCAAATGCCCATTACGGTAAGACCCTCGTCGTCGCAAACATGCTACACCCTTGCGCGTCCCAGACAACTCGGCCAGTTGATATAATGCCAACGCCGCAGAAGGGGTGGGTGTCCCGACTCGGCTGGCCCAGCGTGTGAGCGTCGTCGAACGGTCTTGCATGCTTTGACTGCGTTGGCCATCCTTGGACGAACGTTATACAGGCAGAGGAGAGTGAGGGAGGGAGGGGCGTTATCCAGGATTCATCCCAGCGTTTCGTCCCTATGCGCCGCCTGTTGGGAGACTTTATGACGTCCTGACGTGACCCGCGATCAAAGGTTTCTCAGCTGAGTGCCCGTTGAGAGCATATTAAGGGCGAGGTAGAACCCTCGGTAACATTCGAGGATCAATGGCTTGAAGCTGCATCAACATCCTTCGGACTCCTGTACTTAACCCATCTCTAAGACGAGTCCCAAAAACGCGAAAGGAAAAACACACCAAATACCATAACCTAGACGCTCAAATAGTAATAGTACGACAAAATGCTCGGCATCGGCGGCCGGATATCCGCGATTATCCCCATCATCGCTTCGACTGTCGCCGTCGCGCTGTCCATCGTTATGTTGGCGGCCGGGACACAGCCAAGCAATGCGGGCGATAACTTTTGGCTATCGGTGAGTTTCAAGACCGAGACACACGGTCCCCCCCCCCTTCCCATCCCTGCATCAAACGGGATCTCGACTGACGCGCGGGGGAAATCTGTAGATGAACACGTCGAAAGTCGGCCAAGACATCATCAAAGTCCAGGCGGCGAACAACACCAACGGGAATGGAGGCGGCGGCGGCGGCGGCGGCGGCCTCATACCCGGCATTACCGACCCGACGGGCATCACCCAGGGGATCGGTAACGCCGTCGGGGGGCTGCTCGGGAACATCACCAACTCCATCGGCGAAGGCGTGCAGGATATTCAGGGTCAGCTCGTCGGTAACCTGACCCAGCTCCTTGGCGTCAAGGACAACTACCGCCTCTACCTGACCAAGATCTGCGAAGCCACTTATGCAGACGACAACAACCCCAAGAGCAAGGTCACCATCGATAACTGCAAGACCTACGATGACAAGACGTCCGGTATGATTGGATTTCCTCCCCCCCCCCCCCCCCCCAAGAGATGTTGTGGCACACATGCTGACCTAAGAATAAAAAAAACAGGCCTGAGAAACATCACCGACAACATCCCGTCGTCCTTCGTCCTCGGCACCGCCAACGTTTCCGTGCCGCTCGTCGCCGCTCTGGCCGGCACCTTGAACCAAGTCGGCGGCCTGGGCAGCGGCGGCGCCAAGGCCCTGACGGCCTTCCTTGCCATCGGCACCACCTGCGTTGGAATCGTCCTTCTGGCGACGCTGCCCATCCTCCTCTTCGGCTTCGTCCGCGCCCTCGTTCTTGTGTCGCTCGTCTTCTCGCTGCTCGCTTCCATCACCCTCCCGACGTTCGCCGTGATCCTGACCGCGCTCGTCTATGGCGCCAGGAACATGCTAAACAAGACGATGGACGCGTTTGGCATCCAAATCCAGGCGGGCGGGTCTTTTATCGCCATGGCCTGGGTCGCGGCCGTGGCCTCGATGGCCGCCGCGACGTACTGGTTCATGGTCTGGTTCGTCAGCTTCAGGCGCACGGCCTTTAGCAGGCGCAAGCGCACCGAGAACGAGATCGGCAACTGGAGGGGCATCTTCCGTGAGGTCAAGGGAGACCTGAAGACGTGGGAGGGAGGTGAGAAATAAGGTATCCGAGCGAACGTTAGCCCGCACATCTGTTGTAATGGGAAATGTTGGAACATACATTCTCACGATATGATGAACAGTATATATTGGGAAAGTCTTTGAACAGCAAAAGACAGGTTGGGCGATAGTGGAGTGATTTCCAGGTAGCGTGGGTTTATTTTGAATTTTGGATACGATATTGTGTTGCAATGAGCACATGGTCAAGTGCTATTTGTATAAAGGTACCCTTTGTAATGTATTGTTGGTGTTGTATCCGAGAACATGTATACAGATCATTGCAACGGCGGTTGGTCTAAGTAGCTGTGATGCTTGAAAAGAAATGTCAAAGTTCGACCTCGGTTGAGTCAACGCAAATGTCAACGGCAACACTTCTTCAACGTATCATATTATGAATACAGTATAATTTAAGAAAGGCGGACAGCGATGTGTAGACCAAGAATCTAAGTTGCTATAAGTTGGGCAATCTGAGTTATATTTCGATTACTAAAAAGGAATTCTTGTATATTCCAAAAGTCGGATTTCTTCACATTGCCATCATTTGACACTCGACACTCGATAGAACCAAAATCCCAATCCTTATGTCCAATTATCAACATGCACACCTGGACGCCCCATGCCACCTCTGACGTCGGCCAAACCACCCGATCAGTAGGGGGAGCGGATATGCACCCGCATGTTGCCGTTGCCCCAGGCATTGTTCTGCCCAAAGACGAGGCCGTCACGGGTGCAGGCATCCATAATGGCACCGGCCGAGCGGGCAACGTTGCCGCAGGGGCTGGAAGTATCCCTTGGAGGGTTACCGCCGGTTGCCACGCCGGTGATCTGGGCCTGGCCGCGACGGCAGAAGGCTGTGGCGCTGACGACGGCCTTGCACTCCACGTTGGCGCGCTGGGCGATGAAGTCGATGCACCAGACGGCGTCGGCGACCTTCAAGATGAACGTCAGCGGGGGAAACTTTCTATGGTGCATCTTTTACTCGGGGAAAAAAAAAAAAAAGACAAGAGGACTAGGGAGAGCTTACCGAGGCGGCATGCGCAGGGTCGTTGAAGGTGCAGCTGACATCGGCCTGACGCTTCTCGAGTCCATCTTAGGATGGAGATAGGTCAGCCTTTACATCTGTATACCAGAGAGATAAACATGCTACGAACCGGTTGAGGTCTGGTTGAAGGCGAGGGCAATAGCCTCCTCGGGCGAAGGATGCTGGCCGTTGGGGTTGGTGATGATGTCGTCTGCCCACTTCTCGAAGGAAAAGGGAACAACCCCCACCTCTCTAACTTCAACGTTATCCGCGACGGCAGCCGGCGCGGCAGCGACGAGGGGAATGAGGGCCAAGAGACCAGCGGTGAGGATGAAGTTGACCATCTTGAAGGCAGTGGTGTAGTGAGACTAAGTCGCGAGAGTGAGAAGGAGAGACAAAAGATGACGGGGCGATGAAGTGTCGATGTGAAGAGGGTAGAGACAGTTCTGAAATCTGTGAAGAAGAGACTTTATATAGTTTCAGACAATCTCTATAATGTCCTTGGGAGACTACTTCGCAAGCGGGCCTCTGGATCTTCTCTATCCGCAACAGTCTTCCCCCTATACGATCATTGGGTTTCCGCCGCAGGCATCCGTACAAATATTGCCAGGAGCCGAATCCTTATGATGTGACTGAGGCGATTTAGCGGAGCTGTTAGCTAACGCTGAGGTGCCCATCCAAGGGTGTAACCGTGCGGTTCGTGACGATTGGCGAGGGCCGAGATGCCCGCGGTGGAGGCTTCATATCCACTCCGGCTCAGTAGCACAGAGCCAAGGCGGATCTTGCCCCGCGTTGCCTTTAGCGATTTTCATGTCACTGGGATACCACACGAAGCTCCAGCTCTGCAAGCCACCCTTGTAGTCCTCAGTCCCAGAGACACAGCGGCTTAGCTCTATGTGAGAACTGCGGTCTAGACATGGTCGGCAACAAGCGAAGCTTGGCAACTCCTCTGAGAGTGAGTCTAGCCTAGCCGAGGGTAGAAAATAGTATCGCGCAGCTTGGCTAGGGTAACACACGCCAGGCAGCCATATAATAGGCTTCTCCGCAAAGATGTAATAGGCTCGCTCGCAATGGAGATCGGGTCCAAGAAATCAAGTTATATGGGGCCCCGAGGCGATACCCGACATTGCTACGTTGACTAGCGCTGATGGGAGGACCGGCCGGGGTGTAGGAGGCCTACTCGACTCGGGATTCACTTGGCCTGCTCCTGAAGGAATTAGCCTGAGCATAGGATGTGGTAGCGAAGAAGGATGCGAGAGAATAGCAAAAGTAGCTGCAGATCCATCACGACCCTTGGTTACCATATCATGTAAGCCTAGACTCAAGTGCTTTCAGCTTCCTAAAGCAACTAGTTCAGAAATATCGGCAACTCATCTCCCCTTTCACCGTGATTGAGGTTCAAAATGGAGAAGCCAACGCGTGTGTGGCCTTTCTCTTCCACTGTTTTCTCTTTATTTCTTTCTTTTTTTACATCTTCAGTGACACAAGGAGCATAGCCCAGGAGAAACCAAATCAGACCATCTTCATAGACAAATCTTTCCATACAAGGCTGTTAGTGCAGGGCTGATAGAAGCAATATTCTGTTGTCCCGGGTAATGATTACTTGCGCTTGATGAGTGCCCTCGCAGGGCTCAAGTGGCTTCAAGACATAAACAAGTGTTTATTTCCGCTTCGTAACTACGCAGTATAGATCTGTCAGCGAGTAAAATAACTATACCGTGAATCACTAACTAACACCGTCCCTCTGGTCAACAGCGAATACGAGAATCCTCTAAAGCCCAGACACAGGCATCGAACCCCTCGGCATCAAAACATGCCGCCGGACGTCTCCGCCCCAAAGAGGTCCACCCACCGCCTCGCAGCTTTGGGCGCAGAACACTCTGTCCCGTTGACGCAAACGCCGAACCCGCAACAGTTGTCGACCAGGCACACCGCGCCCCCCGCGCACGGCGAAGTCGCGTTGCACTGGAAGTACCTGTCGCACCCGCCCGACCGGAAGGCGACCCCCCTTCCCTCGAGCGTCGTGCCGCAGAGGCAGTCCGGCGTCTCGGTCGACGCTTCGAGGGGGTAATGCGGCCCCTCGTCGGTCACCACGCACTTGTGCGGGTTCGGACAGCACGCGAGGGCCGTGGGGTCCGTCACGTTGCGCTCGTACTCGGGCGCCGGCGAAGGCACGGTGGAGATGTTCGCCAGCGGAACCGGAGTCGCGAGCGCGCCCGCCGTGAAGGTCAGGTTCAGCGTCTCCGAGGAGATGAGAGAGCGGCAGACGTCTGTCCGGACGGCCGCGGCGCCGTATCCCGCGACCATGCCCTCTAGGCCCGAACTGCCGCCGCCGCCGCCGCCGCCGCCGCCGTCCGAGGTGGAGTTCCGGAAGGTCGCGGCCGAGAAGTCGTACACCCTCATGAAGCTGTCAATGACCGAGAGGATGCCCCGGCCCCGATCGGTGCCGAGGTCGAGCCCGGCGTCGAGGAACGGCTGGAGGAGAGCGTCGACGTTGACTACGCCGCCGAGTTCCCGGGATAAGAGACTCCATACGGACGTAAACGACGGGCAGGTTCCGGCCAAGGACCCCCGCGTGAGGTGGTCCAGCGTCTGCTGGACCGCGGTCTCGCATTCCATCGTGCTGCTCTCGCCGCCGGGGAACGCGCATCTCGCGACAAAGGTCCCCGTCGTCTCGGGGAGAACAACGCATCCCGTGCCGCCGAGTGAAACGGAGACGGGCAGGTCGGCACGCGCGGGTTCGCCGCATTGATCAGTGAGGCGAAGAGTCACGTTAAACGCCTGTTCCTGTCTCCTATCCAGTGTGCCCCTGAAGACTCGAGAAGGGCCAGACGTGCGTGTGCTGTTGACGGGGACATCGCTTGCCCCGCCGCAGCTCGTGTTGGTTAACGCGTTCAGCTGCTCGAAAAAGCCCGATATAAAGACGTCGATCTTGGGAGAGCAGTTTGACGAGGTGAAGTGCAGCCCCTCGCCGTCGACGGAGAGCACATTGCCCGCTCCGTCAACGATTGCAACTTTTGAGGGACTCGAGACGTCGACCAGGATCGGATCGGTATTGTTGTTCCTCAGTCGGAGATACTTGACCGAGTTGGTGGCACCATCCAGATAGAATGCGTCGATGTACGGCGGCTCGCGACCTGTGTTGTTGAGAACGGACTCGTGAAGCGAGGCGATCGGAGTGGGCTCTACGTAGCATGTGCTTCCGTTCTGAGCTGCAATGACAGAGATGCCGGTGAAGGCTGAATCGTAGCTCGTGGTCGCTGTTGCTGAGCCCCTTGTTGTTGCAGAGGAAGACAAAGAAGCAGTTGACGACGTGCTCTCGGTCGTCGTGGGGATGCTTCCGTTGAGCGTGCTTATCAACGTGGCGCCTCCGGACAGAGTCAACGTAGAGACGCGGCCACTGATGGTAACAACCGATTCTGCTGCACTCCCTGTACTTGTAAAAGGCTGCGGCAGCGTGACAAAGACGGTCGAGCCGCCGATGACGATCCAACTCGAGGTGATTCCATCGACAACGCTCGTGACCACTGTAGGAGTAGCAGAAGCTGTTTGAGTTCCTCCCGCTGTGTTGTTTGCAGATCCGAAAATGGTTGAGCCTCCGATGACAATCCACGTTGAAGTGGCACCTCCAACGACGCTGGTTATGGCCGTAGCCTGGCCGGTTTCCGTTGGCCTGCCGGAGACTGTCGAGCCCCCGATCACCGTCCACGACGATGTAACGCCGTCGATGATGCTGGTGACAATGGAAGCACCGGGAGGTAACGCCGGGGTTGCTGAACTTGTCGTATCGAGTGACCCGGTGACAGTAGATCCTCCGGTGACGGTCCCGGTAGATCCGACGCCGCCAACGACGCTGGTGATGACTGACACCGCGCCGCTTTGGGTCCGAGTCGACGTCGTCCCGTTGGAAACTCCGGAGACAGTCGAACCTCCAATCACAACCCATGAGGAAACAGCTCCGTTGATTACGCTCGTGACGACAGAGGCCGGGGCGGAAGCAGACGTGGCCAAAGACGAGGGTCTAGAAAGAGTCGAGCCTTCAATAATGGTTAAGATTGATGTAACGCCGCCGATGACGCTTGTGATGACACTGAATGCGCCACTGGCAGTTTCGGATGGGACGGAAGCTGTGACTGTAGTCGGGGGGCCCGACGAGTTGACTAGGGTCGAGCCTCCGATGACGGTCAACGTCGAGGCTATGCCATCTATGATGCTAGTGATTACACTAACAACTCTGCTCTCTGTCTCGGAAAGAGTTGAAGGAGTTGAAACGATCGTGTTCCCCGTAGAAGAGGCACTCGCTGTGATTCCTCCGATCACTGTCTGAGTTACGCTTACGCCTCCAATGACCGTAGTAATGACGCTCACCACGCCGCTGGGCGTCTCTGAGGGAACCGTAGAAGGGTTCGAAGTCGCCATTGACCCATTCAGCGACGGCGTGAGAGTAGGGCCTCCAGTTACCGTCCTGGTTGTACCCACCCCTCCGATGATAGTCGTAACGATAGTCAAGCCACCACTGGCGGCTTCGGAAGGAATTGTCGAACGAGTTTGAGAACTCGTCGTTTCGCTCGGCCGAGAAGTGGCATTTGACCCTCCCGTGACTGTCAAGGTCGTTACAACGCCCCCAACGACGCTCGTAATGACGGTGAACCCGCCAGTGACTATCTGCGAAGGGACTTCGGATGGACTGGACGTCCCCAGGCTCGAAGTGCCGGTGACTGTCGATCCTCCAACCATCGTACTCGTTGACACGACACCGCCAACGAGACTGGTAATCACACTGAAAATCCCCGAAGCAGTCTCGGAGGGTGCGAGAGACCGAGGCGTCGAGGTACTGTTGGGAAACGACTGTGTTCCGCTCGCGGTGACTATCCACGTCGAACCGCCCCCGTCGCTCATGATCGTAGTCACGGCAGGTGGAATTTGCGCCAAAGACGAAGCCGTGGACCCATCGATGGAGCTTGCGGATGAGCTAAGAACCAAAGACAGACTCTGGGAAGACGCAGCCCCGGCGCTGGTGTTGGACAGGCTGCTGATCGTGGGGACGATCAGCGTCTCAGACGATGTCGGGAGCGGAGCGTCAGATATGGTGGTCGTGGTCCCGTTCAAAACCAGTGTAGTCGGCCTAGCCACCTGGGTGTCTGAAGAAACCCCCAAGACGATGGTGGTAAACGTCAGGTTGCCGCTGGTGACGATAGTCAACGCCCCCGTCGAGCCGGCTCCTGCGCCCGGAGATGTCGCAGATATCGTAGGGCTCACGATCTGCGTGGCAGTCGAATCCAACCCCGAAGTCGCCCCCTTAGATCCGGGTGAGATGGTGCTGGTTCTAGGCGGCGGCGCAGGACGACCTCCGCTGTCCCCGTCACTCGGAAACGAGAAGCTCGACGTGGAGGTGCTACCGCTGCTAGATGCAGCAGAGCTGTAGATCAGGATGGTGCTGACCACGGTCTCGGTAACCTGCAACGTCTTGGTAGCCTCGCCCCATCCACAGGTCGAGGGTGTGGTTGTCGACTGGCCGGCGTCGGGGAAAGAGTAGGTATATCCGCCGTCAAAGACTCCGCTCGACGTCATAGACGAGCTGAGAGTGTCCGAGACCGCAGTCGATGAAGAAGCGGCGGCCGTGATAGTGGTGGAAAAGTCTCCAGACACTGAAGTCTCAACGGCCGGACTTG